CACGTTCCCCAATTTTGATTGTTACATGCAGTTTTCCACTTATCGGTATGCACTGGCCGGTAGCTGATTTCATTTGTAGGCCAACAATTGGTTTAAGGTGTTTCCTGATGTTGTGCTCGAGCAGCCGAACATTTATCACCGTCCTTGAAGCTCCAGTATCTAATGTTAGCTGACTGTTTTTCCCATTTACTTGACCGTCTATCACCAGAGTATTTCCATCGTTGGTTTGCTTGATGTAGATTGTTGGGGTTGTTCCACTACCAGCCGGCGCCCACCCCGCAGCCCTGGCTGGATTTAAGTTTCCCTGCTGGTCAGAAGTTGAGACCGCCGTGTCCTTGCGGTTCATCTTCTTCGGGCAGTCGCTCCGTATGTGCCCACGCTCTCCACATCCATAGCACATGAAGTTCCGACGGCGTGGAGGTACCTGCTCCGTTGTCGTCATTTCCCGCAGACGTAAGGTACGGGAGTTGCCACGCACGGCTTCCACTTCCAATGCATGGGCCAGAGCTTCTTTCATGATCTTGTGATGGCCCAGATGAACAGCAGCTCGTACTTCTGGGTCCCGAATACCGTCAATGAACGCTTGGAGAAGCGTGCCTTCAATCATTGACGGAGTCGACCGGAAAGCTCGACGTACAAGTTTCTCGATTTCCACGGACCATTGCTGTAGGCTCTCATTAGCACGCTGAGTACGCTCTTTTAATTGCGCTCTGTACACGTGCTCGAGGTGGCTGTCTCCAAAACGTGCTTCAAGTGCGTCGAGGAGGGCACTAAAGCTGAGAGCGCTTGATCACGGAGGGCCAGGGTAAGGGCTGACTGTGCTTCCTTCTGAGTCCAACCATAAGCCTCCATAAGTGTCTCAAACTGTAGCTTGAACGCAGTCCAGGATGTTGTTCCGTCGTAATGGGGAATCTTGAGCCCTTTCGTTGCGCTTAAGGCCGCATTTGGGGCGTCAAAAACGGCTGCAAGACGGCTTCGGCTCTTCAAAGGGCTTGGGTTTGTCACTTCCTGCTTGATTTTGGAGATCTCTTCTTCCAGTCTCTCCTCTATCGCCATGACGCGAAGTTTCAACTTGCCTAACCCTTCCTCCACTTCTTGTACCCGTTCGACAGCCTTTTGCAGTCCCTTCGTGAAATCTTTATGCATGTCCTCCAAGCGACGCGCTTGCTCCTCTTGGCGACGAGCTTGATCTTCTTTCAGCTCCCGCAGCTGTTCTGACTGACAGCGTGCTTGCTCTTCTTGGCGGCGCGCTTGCTCTTCTTGGCGGCGCGCTTGCTCTTCTTGGCGGCGCGCTTGCTCTTCTTGGCGGCGCGCTTGATCTTCTTTCAGCTCCCGCAGCTGTTCTGCCTGACAGCGTGCTTGCTCTTCTTGGCGGCGCGCTTGATCTTCTTTCAGCTCACGCAGCTGTTCTGCCATCATTTGCCGCAGCTGTAGCAGAAGATCCATCTGCACAGGCTTGGCTTCTGCATCGCTGGTCTGAGCTGCAGCACCCTCTTCCCTCACACGCTGCGCTTCTGACATAGCACGGGTACTCACTCCTCTTACGTCCTGCGGCACTAGCGGCATTTTTCTCCAATCCCACTTCTGACACCAAATGTTACGTGCCTGACGTCACGTTCCTGACTATGCGGGCTTGGGTTACGGGATTGGATGAAATGAAACACTAATACCGGTTTTCAGACTTTCTATTGCACTTAAGTTACAGCGTCCACGGAGTTAAGTTATCGGCGTTCCTCTCCAGCAGAGTCCGGCCGACTGACACAACTTTGCCGTTCACGCTGACTTAACTCACTTAACTGACTGCACTTCACTATTTCACTGCACTTCACTATTTCACTCACTTTTCTTCTTTCTCACTTCTTCCTTTTCTTCCGAATCGCTTTAGACTTAGAACTCAACTGCCAGCGGTGAGCCGCAGTTCCGGTTATATACCCCCGGTCAGGTTCTAGAACATTCAATTTCGTTATTCTTTTTGATCGTCATGCCTCCAGAACCTTCCAATAATTTCGTTATTCATTTTTATTTATTCTCCTTCTCGCTCCTTAATTTTTCATTACTTTCACTCAAATATTCCAGAAAGTTCGACAAAACTTCCATCAACTAAAAAACTTCATGTTTACGGCGGGACTCGAACTCGGGGTCTCTGTGGTGTAATCCACACGCCTTACCGATTACACCAACTCGTGTTGACAATTCACGACGAAATTTACAATCTCTAGGCAACGTTTGACAACCATCCATTGACGTCATGATGTCAAAGAGTTTTCTGTCACAGTATCATGTATTAATATACGTCTTTTTTACACTGCTCTAAATCAAAGTCATAGTAGTTAATACCGTGCGTCGTATATTCAAATACCACCATATGTATGCTGTGCTAAAATTGCTCTTACAACTATTGACAATAATGTAAATAATCCAACTGGGGTTTATTGACAGTTACAATGAGAATATCTTTTCATTGACGTTAACTTATATTTTAATTCCAAAAGCATTGTTTTAATATGAGTGTTAATATATCATTTTTATGTACATACATTATTTATTTTTAATGTGTTGTTGTTTATACGCAGAGTATTTTATGTTAATGTTACATGACGTCATGTTATTCCGTTGAATAAATTTAGTCATGCTGTCGTCTCTTCGTCCAGCCATTTGATCTGCTTACCCCATTTGGTAGAGGAACGTGTCAGATTACAAATAGTACCTATTGTATGCGAAAATGGATGACTGCGCTTGCATACAATGATTGAACTACTTACTACATATTCAGACCAATTGTTTCAAATATATTACTCACTGTTATTACGTGTTATAGTATAGACCTTCTTATTTTGGCCCTCGATCTCGTATATGTGGTTACTATTTAACTTTAATTTTTTCCCATTTAAATGGCTATACCTAATTCTCTCCTACACTGCCCAAGGAACAAAAGTTTTCAACTTCCTATACACAGTAGAACGCCAGTCAAGTAATAACATTTTTTTTTGGTCAGTAAATGAATCGTGGATACGTATCACTTTTAATTCCACAACAATACTATAATTGCAATCGGACTAACTACGAAGTTACCACTTAAAAGAGAAACCAACAATGTCTAAAAACAAGCAACGAAGGTAAGGTCGAACAGAATAACAAACCAACATGATCTAAAGCTTTTAACTTACTTTGTTTTCCAAGTAAATTCCAAGAAGGCGTTAAAATTTACATTGTATGTATGTAGTAAGGAAATCACCACAATTTGCCCGGATAATCTGCCATATATTTTAGTTGACCTACAACGCCCTGATTGTGCTGATAACTTACAAAGTGTACACGAACTTGGAAACAAGGAAACTTATACTTTGTCTTTTAATGAGGGGGAGATTGGAGATTCTTGTTAGTCGTGGTTTGTCCCTACAATTTGGAGTAAGTAGTATTTAAAATGGTAGTTTATTGTATTGTTTATTTTAAAGTGTCCAAAAAATATTATAGCGACGCACAAAGATATTCAGTGATAAAACCACAATTACCTTCTACTCGCGCAATTGAGGTTTGTGTGCGAAATAAGACGGATAGACAATGCCTACGTATAACTGTTAGGTTGGGTAGTAGCCTGTACTGTAAGGCATTACGAGGCATTACCTCGAAAGTCTATTTCCTATCTTAAGGAACTTTTCTCTCTATTTCCAAAACCAACAAGCAACGAGAAAAACAGAATTTTCGCTTAGAAACTATCCATTATGGCGTCGAAAACCACGTTAGACATGTCCAGCAATAACGGAATTGAATACAACTATGTAGTTTTAATGAAACAATGAAATAAAAAGCGAAGCCTGTCAAGTGGGCAGTCGGTGCAGGTGAGGCGGTATCCGTTAAGACGTGTGTTCCGATAAAAAGCCGCACAATGTATTGCGTGAACCATAATCTATAGCACATACAATGTAGCTAGTAAGTGTCCGGCGGTTATCCACGACATTGTCACGATTGTGTGGGACAAGGCAATGAAGGGTCGCGGGTAATGTGTAATGAAAGCTAGGCGTAGGTTTTGTAATAAATTAATTCGTCAAACCACAAGTCTTTATTTACTATGATTGATTTAAAGGTTAAGATTATTATCAGTGTGACTCGGTTTACTATATGTGGAGATTGGGGGTATACGAGCTGATGGGTTTCTATGTTTTTGACCGGTTCTTGGATATAAATAACCCTATCTATCTTCTTTATGCCCTTCAGACTCCTATTTCAGATTTGACAATAATATGACAATTATTTTTCTTGTTATCTAGTTCTCTTGTTTGATATAAACTTTGTACAATCTTGACCCGCTTTCAGCTTATGCCAGAACCACACGTAATGAGCGTATAAGACTACAATATAGCAGTTTTTACAATGTTTGTCTTGAGAAACGCGTTCGTTGACATAAGACATTGGTTTTATTGCGCGTTATAGAGCGAGCCTGTCGGCAACGGGACTCGCACTTTGTTGTTATTATGTATTTTGTTTCAAAACAATGTATATGTGTTTACATAGTCGGTGTTACAGAAAATACATATTCTCAGTTCATTTATAGGATTTATGCTGTGCCATTAATGTCAGTGAACCTTCTACAATGTCCGGCTGTGATTTTTACATATTATTATTTCGCCGTATAAAGATGTCCGAAGATGAAAACGAATATGCTTAATGTAGTTCTATGATTGTTTTTTTTACACGAAACTAATATTTGTAATAAAACTAGTGTATAAATTGATTAATAAACTTTATAATAATAATAGCTTTTGTCACGCGGTTTCACCCGCTGCTCGGTTTTAACAAATCGTAGCGTGATGTTTTATAGCCTAAGCCTTCTTCCGGAAATGAACTAACAAACACAAAAATAATTATTCACTTCGAACCAGTAGTTCTGGAGATAAGCGCGTTCAAACAAACAAACTCTTCAGCTTTATAATATTAGAAGAATAGATTACGTTGTATTTCTTCATTCATAATATTAAAGTGTTGGTTTCTCGTTGTTATAGATGCTACAGGAGAAGCGGCTGTGTATCCTGGGCGCTGAGCTCTCGGAGCTGGACACATTCGAGCGGCTGATGCGCTTTGCAGGCTCGCAACTGAGACTCCTACAGTGTTTCCAAGTAAGTTCACATTTTATTTACTACTTAACTGCTAAGAAACTACATATTATAGAGTATAAAAATTTAAAAGTAGTCAAAATCGTTCTAGAATGATGAGATTCCTTCTGTGGTTAGAGGATTTTGTCGAGTATAAAGACAGTCAATAGTGGATTTATAAAAATTTTCCAAAAACTGACCAGTATAACAAATGCAAACAATAAGAGACATTATCATGTAATGTATTAGTTAATCACGCAGAACCTACCATTATCTACGTTTAAAAAAAACGTTGCTCCACACTAGGACTTTCCTGTGTCGTGGGTGTGTTTACAAATATACAATTTCACATACACATGACACCCAGACCTGGAACAACAATTTGTTGATCACACAAAGACACGTTGCACGGCAGCCAGTTGCCCAGCTACCGCACCAACCGTGCAGTCCACAGTGCAATTCAATAACAGATCAATCTGCGTTCACATCACATGACTGATTGTAAATCGATACTGTCCGATACTCCCAAAATAAATCCCGTTAACAATGTCTCGATGAATCTGCATCTAGTCACGTATCACAGTGAGTAGTAAACAGTGTGTGATTACGTCGATGTAGTCACAATGTCATACTCATCAGTTCACACTCATCACACAGAGATGCACGCTCCACCGAGCGCCAGGGCTGCCACGCACCTCTGTTGATTGCTATTACATAACATCAAATTACTTAGACCATTAGGGTTTTCTAGTTTTTATTTGATTTGATCTTGTTAACGCCAATTAAAGGTATTAAGTAACATAGATAACAGATAGAACTGGGCAACACTCTTGGCATCTTATGCCTTAATCATGAGACATTTTCGAGATATTGAAGGTTGGATTTTTCCTTATATACAATGAAACATACATTTCTATGTAACTTACAGATAATTTCGGAATCGAAAACCATATCTCTTATCTCGATAGTATTTTATTAGAATTTAATATAATAAACTCCGGGACATCTCACTCTAACGTCATGGCGGCCACCGCGCGATCAACAAGGCAAGCTATCAATCAGCCTTATCTCACCGCGTCAGTTGTAATGAATTATTCTTACACAAGGCAACGTGTATCTGCCATTATTATCCTTGTATTTTAATATGGATATTCCAATTTGTCATCAGTTACTATATATTTTTTGGTAACCTCTTTAGTCTTGTCACGTCTTAAATCCCTGCCGGTCATTATAGAAATAAACTTTAGAATATTGAAAGTAAGTTATTAAAATACCATTTAAAAATGGTCTTTTATAAAATAAAATAATTATTAATGAATTAAAGATGTTAAACAATCATGTTATACGCAATCCTAAAACCTAATCCTAAAACCTCCAAAACTAATCGCCAAAAGAATGGCAACCTACTCGTAATTCCTCCTTTGTTGGTTACCATCAGGCAATACAAAGTTCGATTTGACGTCCTATCAAATAAAAAAACGCAAGGCGACAAATGTTTTAACAATAAACTTTATCAGCCAAAATGTTTTAATTTTAGATAGGCCTATATGCAACAGTGAAAGGAAACCGGGTGATGATCGACGCCCTTATAGAAGTAAGGGACGTCGATTTTGCTTATAAAATGTGTACTATTGTGTATTTGATGGCATCCCTAGTAGTAACAGCGATTGTTAACTAAATAGAGTGCGCTGTTGCTATCAATTCAGTTGTTATGTCATCAATATTGTTATGGAGTCTATTTGTACCCCTGATATTGGCCTACTTAATGGCGCCTATATTACAATGAGATTGTAATCAGTTTCACATGATCTAAATGGCCACTGTCCACCAAATTAAAAAATTAAATAGAATTTGGTAAACTTATCGACAAGGTCTGAATCTGAATGAAGTTTGACGAGGAACCAGTTAATAGTACTTTTTCAATGGGATAGGACTGCAATTGAGTAGACTGGTTACCTCATGGTAAGCAATGGGCGCCGCCCATGGATACACGTAACACCAAAGAAGTTACAAGTGCATTGTCGGCTGTTTGTAGGTTGTTAGAGATGATTTGATCTCGATTAATCTTATTTATTCGGTATTTTTATTTTATTGTGCCTTGAATTCTGGATAAACACATCACGATTTTACGTTGATAAAGATCCATTTTTAACTTCGTCTCAAGTGCCTATGGCCCCTTATAATTTGAAATGTGTCGTTCTCCACAGGCGGTGATAGAGCATGGATCCAAGCTGTCCACCGAACTAGCAACCAGCTACCTGGCCAAGTGCGACTGCAAGTGCAACAGCCGAGCCTCACTCATACATCTCGGGTTAAGACTTGGTGAGTGGAACAGCAAACAGTCAAACCTCCTCCGTGTGAGAAGAGGCCTTTGCGCAACTGTGGGCACTTATAGGCTAATGATGATGTGTGACCCCAAGATTATTAAGTAATTCTGTCTCTGTAATTGAGATACAATTAGAAGATAAAGAGACCCGAAATAGAAACTCCATGGTTGGGTGACTAAGAAAAATAAGGCATAGGTCAGAAATGTAAAAGTCACTAAAATGTTTTGATCGATTTATGTACAAAATGTGAATTTTGGTGCTTCGTTAGTCTTCAAGATTCAAGAGCATATGGATCAGGCATAGCTCTTTTAGGACTGTAAGCAATCTTTTATGTATTCTTAAAGCAGAAAATTGCAGTGGACAGATAAATTGACCCCGTAATCCTGTCATCTATCAATTTTAAGTGCTCATCCGACACCCAGAGCTACCCACTGCCGGTAGTGCACAAGGAAGCAGGCTCATTAAAAATTGCACGAACATTATCCACCCACTGCAGCTTACATCATGTACTTACGTTTGGATTACTGGAAAATACTCTGACATAACGCTTATCCAGTATTTTGTTTCGTTAAATAAGTCTAGTCGTCATAATAAAAGTATCTTAATGTCCTATAATATTAACTCCTGGATGTATGTATATTATCGATAAAGGAGCAAAAAGGTTATTTGTTTTAATTTTCTTTTTAAGGTATAATATAAATTAAGTAGTATTCATAGACCTTTGTTACAGAAAAGTAGGTAAACTAAGAAAAAAAAGTTAAACGGGAAAAGTGTTAAACATTGAAAATATACCGGAGCAGAACGGGTAGGCTGCCCATTTTCAAATGATAGATAGAATGTGGTAACATAAAAAGTGATTTGTTAAAACTTGGTAAATGGTTTATCTATTAAGGTAATTAACCATATTATTTAGTAATCTATGTATATTTCATTGCACTACAAACAAAACTGCATTGTAATAGATTTGATAATGAAACTTGTCTAATTTCCTTCCAGGTGGTTTCCTAAACGAGGCCGGTTGGTATGCGGACGCGCAACGCGTGCTGCTGCGATGCCGCGACCTCTGTCGAGAGATGCCGCAAACCACACACTATAAGAGACTTACATTAGAATGCTGTCATAGGTAAGAATGCTCAGATTTGTTTAAAAGAAAAGGGTGATGCATGAAGCAAATTCTTTATCAGTTTAAACGTATCACGAGCTAAGCTTGCCATGCTGACAAAAACTACGAAAAAAGTAAAATGAGAAACGTGTAGGCAACGTTACGGACCAACCAATAGTTTGAAGCCATCGTAGGGTAGGGGTCCGTTTTCATGGGATCCCGACACTACTTCGGTTAGCCTAACGGTTGCATGAGTAAACCGTGAAATATACATACATTCCATTCCAGTTCCATAATATATTGCATTTTTGATGCAGCTGCGCAACGTTTTTTATAATTATAATAGTTCGGCAAACATGTAGACGTTACCAACACCAGAGGAGTTACAAGTGGCGGTTAGGTTACTTTTAGGGAGTAGGGAGGGATGGGGGATGGTTTGGGACTCCAGTAATCTCACTCACATGGCGAAACACAACGCTCTGATTGTTTCACCCTGGTTTTCTGTTAAGCCGTGGTATCACTCCGGTCCAGCCGGCCTCTTCATGCTGAAGCATGGCTCTTCCACATTTAAACGCGTCAGACAACTCTTTGTGTGACAGAATTTTCTTAATCAACAAACTTGTATATAAAGCTGTTTTCTTTGTAAAGGGAATATCTTCAAATTGCTTCTCTCACCCAGGGTAGGGCAAGAGGGAGTAACTAAAACACACCCCTTTCCTTTTTCTGCCTTAATCTGAGGCCGCAGTGTAGTTTTGCGTGTGCCCTGCATTCAGTCATTTATTTATTTATTTATTTATCACCAAAATACAACTATTATCACAGGAGTTTCCTAATACAATAGTGTAGTAACATTATAAAGAAATACATAAAATCAAAAACAATATAAGATAATAACTTAAACTTCATCATAATCAGCCTGTTGACCAACTGCTGAGAAATGCCTTTTCTCATACGGAGATCAGAGATATATCTCCATAGTTCCTCAAAGCAGTAAATTTCAACTTTAAATTAGAAATCGATAAGTCCAGGTTTCCTCGTGATATTTTCCGTCACTATCTGTCATTGGCTTCTTAGATTCATCTTAGAAGGTATATTCCGTGCCTCGGAAAAAGCCACATTGTTGCTCGCCGTTTTACGAACGCCTTCGGCACAGTATAAATATCATAATTACCTTGCCTTCGGGCCATGTATACTTAAACTTACATAATAACAAATGTTTGTTAATAAAGAATCTCCCATATAAATACCAATTAGTAACTTCCTAGCCTACCATAATATACAATACGAAGGTTAAATAGCGCTGTTCTATGGTAATGAACCATACATTGTACAAGTATTTGCATAAACAATGCACATACATAATGGCTATTAATTTATAACGGTATTTGCGTAATAACATTACAGTAGCGTGTTGGATTACCTGGATTCTGTTGTTTTTGTAGCTCTTAAGTAAAACTGCTGAGCCAATCATGGCTCTTGTAAAGATGTTTTTTTTAAATAAAACACCAATTATTTCTTCAATTACTTTATAAGCATAAAGAACTCGAATATTAAACCTCTTTCGGAGGTCATTCCAATTTTAAACAGATTTTTTTTATCACATATGACAGCGGAGTCACAGGCATTCTATAGTCGGCCTTCTGAAAGGAGTACCTACGCTTGTTTCTTACGTTTGAAGATTGTATTAGTTCGGAATTACCGCTGTCATATTATTATTCCATACTTTTACTGTGCGAGGCAGAAACACACGCGAAATTCGCTCAGTTGTTGACTGCCAACTATCGGTATCAAAGATACCTTTTACTACAATATGCATATCTGTTTTTTCAGGTTACTAAACACACAATCGGCTTACTGCTGCTTCCCTGCGGCGGCCGAGACGTACGCCCTGGCGCTGGACCTGCTGGGCATGCCTGATGACGTCACAGCCGAGATGCCTGAGCCGTTCGCGGCCGCCGAAGATGAACACATTGACCCCAACGATCCAGAACATAAGTGAGTGTGCTACTTCTATATTTATACTTTAGGGAATTTAGTTAGGCCCAAAATGGATGTCTCTTTTATGACTTTTGGTCTTTGCAAAAGCATTCCATTCTGCATGCTATATCTTTGACGACATTATTTATATTAAAAGTTTATTACAAATGTGGCACTTCAAAATAGTTAGTATTTTGAAATGCCACTTAGTAAAATTTCGGATTTAAATCTTATATAAATTGTTAGTTGTATTTGCAATTTTTCATTCAACAAGACTAACATTTAATATTTTTCAACCACGCCTCAGATGTGCATTCAGGTATGTTCTATATCATTGGTTATATATAGTATACTATCAAAAATTACTAGTATTAGAGAATATCCATATGAAGTCATCATCCATATTGTGTCTGTCGGTGGAGTGGAGGTCTGGCGGTGCTGCGCTGGGATACGTGTTTACCGCATGTGTGATGTGTCTGCCTAAAACATGTATCCGGCTCAGTAACCCCGGACCAAGCCACGGCGGGAACTGGGAAATTCAGGCCGATGTTCTGTCCTTTATAGCCTTTCTGTGTACTGATTTTAAGGTTGAAATTTGTTTACAAAAATAGTGTTTCCATTTTCTATATTTACTTGTAGATATTAGGTGTATTGTGTTTTTGGGAATAAGTACTCCGGTAACTTCACTCACACGTTGAAACACAACGCTGTGGTTGTTTCGCGCCGGCTTTCTGTGAGGCCGTGGTATCACTTCGGTTGAGTCGACTCATTCGTGACGAAGCTTGACAAGCTCTTCCACATTATAATTATATGTATGTAGTATAAAAATGAGGAAAATGCAGTATAAGGAGGTGTGTACAGATGCGACTCGGTGTGGTGGGTGCGGGGGTGCTGCGGGCGATGCGGGGCGGGCGCGTGGGGCGCCACGTCGCTGCTGGCGCGCGTCTGCAAGGAGTTCAGCGCGCTCGCCTTCGTGCGCTGCGACTACTCCGCCGCGTACGACTGGGCCATGCGCGCACTCAAACTGCTCACGCCACACACGCCGCCCAAGTACGTTGCTCACATTGTTTTAGTTATAATGTTGTCGAAAATTGAGAACATCCCTAAATATTGAGCAAATTTATTCCCTATTTATTGTAGCAAAATCTATTTTGTCACTTATATGTCGTGGTAAAAAAAGAAATATTTGAAACCGTAACAAAAATGAAGTATTCTTTTTTTATGCGATATGTTGGCAAACTAGCAGACAGATTATCTGATGGTAAGTAATCAACGTTGCCCATAAACAGGTGCATCATCAGAGAAGTTGTAAGTGCGTTGTTGGCCGTTAAGGGATGAGGGTTTTGGAGATTAGGGAAGGGGAAAGATTGGTCCCCCGGTTATCCAATTACACGGTATGACATAACGCTGTGGTTATTTGACGCTAAGTATCCACCAATGGGCAATGTGGCTGGTTTAGGATCACGATTGAGGTGCTCCGCGCGTGCGGCAAGGCGTGCGTGGTGAAGCGGCGGTTCGGGTCTGCGGGCGTGCTGGTGCGGCAGGCCGTGGCGCTGGCCCGCCGCGCCTTCGGCCCGCACCACCCGCGGTACGCCGCCGCGCTGCTCGACCTCGGCTTCTATCTGCTCAACATCGACTCCATCGTGCACTCCGTCGCCGTCTACGAGGTACACCTTATTCCATACTTGGCTACTTAGTTCATTAACCAAACCCCAAGCGAAAGCCGGTTTTCGCGCACCTATTGTTCTCGAATTACCAGGATTGAAAGGTTAATTTATATCACCATTTTTGCTCAAACGTTCATAAGCAGATGAGGCTTAATGTCTGAAGTGTCTTCTAACTTTGGTTGGTTGGTAAATGGGATAGGCAGTATGTTACTCAAAAATCAACAATGATTGCGAAATAAAATTTTGTACATTGTCACATCATTGATATTAAAAAAGATATAGCTAAAAAATTGCTATTCCAGTACTATGAATTACGATTTTTATTAAAAACATAAAATATTAAAGCTATTTTTCACTTAGTCCCTAAGTTTCACCACTTTGATATAAATACGCGACAAAAATTTATCACCTAGTTCATAGTAGCTATTCAAACATTATGAATCAGGAATTTAATATTAAAGTTGTCCATATACAATTCCAGGAGGCCCTAAGCACCCTGCGCCGCGTGTTCGGTCGCAGTAGCCTGCACGTGGCGACGGCGCAGGAGGACCTCGCGTACGCGCTCTACGTCCTCGAGTACTCATCCGGCCGCTTCTACAAGGCCCGGGACCATGCCGAGCGGGCCATACGGATCATTGAGGTATGTGGCTGTATCTATCTATGTTTTAATATTTGTCCAGTTTGCCCAAAAGAGTTGTAAGACTACTCAGATGCAAGGATTGTAATACATTTTTAATCGTAAGGCATACTAAATTTATTAAAAACTATCTTTTTGCCTTTGGCTTTGTTCGCGTGGAATAGTGACTTTCTGCAGATTTTTTATTTAAATACTATCTTATGATTTTTCTCGAGTTCTAAACTATGTCTGCACCAAATTTCGCATAAATAAGTTCAGTAGAATTCCTAATTATAAGTTTGAAATCGCCAACCCGCATTGAGCAAGCGTGGTGATTAATGCTCTAACCTTCTCCGTATGAGAAGAGGCCTTTGCTCAGCAGTGGGCACTTATAGGCTGATGATGATGATGATGATGATGAAGTTCAGTAGTTTAGGCGTGAAGAAAAGACAGAGTTACTTTCGCATTTATAATAAGACTAATTCACGTAAATTAACTAAGAAAAGCTCTACTAGTTTCAAAGTCACAACGGCACGCCAGTTCATGAAAAGCGTGCTCATAGATGTAAGTTTAAAAGTCATATTATTAGACAATAATAATTTATACACTTATCTAAATTTTTAAGCCTAAAAAAATTAATGGTTCGAAATCAATTGCATTAAGCGGACAGTTATAAATTTTTCTTCGTGTTCCAACATGGCAAATATGTTGCGTAATATTTGTTTGTATGTATCTCAAACGAGTATATAATTTACCAGAACTTGGTGCCCCCCGACCACTTGCTGCTGGCGTCCGCCAAACGGGTGAAGGCGCTCATCCTAGAGGAAATAGCTCTCGACACTCCTGCTGGACAGGATATGGCGGGTAATTATTACCTCTGAGTTTGTTTCGGCATTTCTTCTCAGAGTAGTCAGATAGTAAATGCCGGCTTCATCTAGTTTTTCACATATAAATTGACGTGTAAAAGTGCCGTTTTATGGCCTATTTGCAAAAATAAATTCATTGTTTGAATTGTTCATCATACTGATTAGTAATGCCTATCAAGTGTGACGAATTTATAGCAAATGAGAACAGACAAATCACAAAATGGTAAGCAGTTAGCGTCGCCAATGGCACTAACAATGACATATGAGTAACAAATATGTTGTCGACCTTTTTAGAGATTTGATGATTGAGGATGGGTGTAGTATTGACCTCCGGTAACCTCATTCCTACGGTGACACACAACGCTAGTTGGTTTTACGCCAGTATTCTGTGAGGCAGTGGTATCACGGAGCATTTTTTCTATCGCTACTGTACATAGGTACTGCAAAATTGCCTTTTTTGACCTTTGCATCCATGTCCAACCTTCTCCATATGAGAAGAGGCCTTTGCTCAGCAGTGGGTACTTATAGGCTGATGATGATGATGATGCTATAGATGATGATGATCCATGTCCAACAACTTGATAGTCTTAAGTGTGTGTTTTCGTCGTCGTACTAAGTAACAGTTTGTGTCCAGCGCCGAGCCTGCTGGAGGAGTCGGAGGCGCTGCACAAGGCGGCGCTGGAACTGTCCATGATGGCCTTCGGGGAGAAGAACGTGCAGACTGCCAAGCACTACGGGAACCTCGGCAGGCTCTACCAGAGCATGCACAAGTTCCAGGTAACACTTATAATATTATTATACTTTTTTAAGTATAATATTTGTATAATTACTTAATTATACATCATTGTCTTTTGCTTTAAGTGTATAGCAAGTCTAAACTACTAATAACAATATAACTAATAACTAAAAATAACACCAAACGAGTAATGAGTGCGTGGCCGGCGAATTTGGGAAAGAGGAGAGAAGGTATGGGGAAAGGGGAGACTTGGCCTTTTGATACTACATGATGAAACACGACGCTATGGTTATATCACGCCAGTTTTCTGTAAGGCCATGGTATCACCCGTCCGTCGGTTGATCCTGGTATTCATGGCGAAGCATGGCTCACCCACACTTTAAATGTGTTTACACAATTTAAATTAAAGAGTATAATGCAATCAATGACTGACTAATTTGTATATTTTCAGGACGCAGAGACGATGCACTTGAAGGCTATAGCCATAAAGGAGGAGTTGCTGGGCCCCGAGGACTACGAGGTGGGGCTGTCTATCGGCCACCTCGCCTCGCTCTACAACTACCACATGAACATGCACTGCGCCGCAGAGAAACTCTATCTGCGCTCCATTTCTATTAGTCAGTATTAATTTATTACCATATTCCAACTTAATTTTAAAGTTGTGACTTGATTTTGTAAGGTAAAATGCCAATATTAGTGTTGATCAGAATGCTTAATGGTGGCAAAAATAATGTGCCGCTCGTCATCATTTATCTTTTCACTCGCTGAAAATCGCATAAAATGTGTTCATCAAATATTTCTTACATTTTCGTAGTTTAAAAAAGAGAAATTGGAACGTTTTGGGAATCAAATATTAAATAATCATGATTTTTTTCCAACAAGAAATACATATTACAGATACGTTTATTAATTTTAACTTTTCTTGTGTTTCCTTAATTATAGGAAATCACAGCATGCATTCAGTTATAATTATACAAAAAGAAATTACCGCCAAGGCTTCAAAATGCGGGATTTCAATAGAAACTTGTTAACGCATATTGTGACGAGACCTCTGATGAATATTTATCATGGTTGTATTGAATTCGCGTTTAACAGTTGAATACTTGTCCATGTCAGGTCTGAAGTTGTTCGGCGAGCGCTACTCGGGCCTGGAGTACGACTACCGCGGCCTCGTGCACGTCTTCACGCAGCTCAAGCGACACGACCGCGCCAACCACTACAACAGGCTACTGCAGCATTGGCAGGGTCAGATATGTCTTCTATTTACATTAGCAGATATTAAGCCTGGTTGATTATAAAAATATATGAATTTGAGAACATCGTGGTGTGCCGGGTTCGAGACCTACCAATAAAGTACCAATTTGATTGTCTTAGAGTTATTTGTAAATTTAGAATTATTGCCCTGGGCTTATAATTTGTAATTATCAGTTTGAAATTGCCAATCCGCTTTGAGCAAGTGTGGTAATAAATGCTCATACCTCCGTTTGAGAAGAGGCTTTTGCTCAGCAGTGGTCTTTATAGGCTGATGATGATGTACTTTGAGTGTGAACTATATGTAACATTTGCTCCTGCAGAGCTCCGCGAGCAGTCGAAGGCGGAGCAACAGCCTGCGCTGGGCGAGGAGCAGATAATGCCGCTGTCGCAGTTGCTCGCCAAGTTCTTCGGCCCCAACGACTGAGCTCGCCGCTGTCGCGGGACTACTTACGTTAAGGCTTCATTCACTACAGAAATTGTCTGTTTATCGTAGTGCACTCGGAGTTGCGATGACGCGATCTAGAGGTTTCATTTCGGCCGCGCCGCGCCCGCACATACAAAGTATAGGAGCGCGTGTAAAATTATTGTAACTTACTGTAAATTGTCGATTGTAGCACAAATGAGACCTCGACCGCTTCTAGATCAGGTTTGGTAAAGCTGATACTGAGTGGAGTACACGGCACGGTGCGGAGCTCGTTGCAATGCTCGTCCCAGTATCTGTGTTGTAGCTTTTGTACTCGACACTAGAAATACGTGTCAATACGCTCACGCCCTATACCTGCTCAACTTGTAAATACGTAATATTATCATTGAGTACCGCTTTACGAAACCTGCGCTAGCTGTAGTTAGGACCGGGACGCATTGCCGTGTCTTAAAGTAACGCCAAAGGCTAGCTAAGTCATAAATTGTATAATGCAGGCCATATTAATGTGATTGAGCCTAACTGTTTGTCGGATTGTTTGTATCGCGTTATGAAGGTACGTGTGTGCCGGCCTTGACTGGCGGCCTGGCCCCGGCGGGTACATGTATGTCGTGTCAGATGTATTTGTTCACATTATGTCGCTGCACCGGGTGATGCTAGGAAGAGGCTCCATAAAGAGTTAAGTGTAAACAAATATTTTTGATACTGTAACGTCAACATGTGATGTTATCCTGTATGTATTTCGTGTAAATTTACTTTAGATATTGTTGCTTTCGCGTATTAGTTTTAGTGATTCGACGTATGTATGAATGTGCAATGTGTAGAGTTGAATGTGTATATATTGTTTGTTTTGCCGACGCTGCCAGTTCCGCTGGCGCAGAATAGAGCAAACCAGTATCTCAGATTACATAGTATTCGTCGTGGATCTTTGCTTAGTGCCCAGTGAATCATGGTTTATTTCTCACTGCCGTTATATTCTAAACGTTGTTGTGTGTAAAATATATAAATATCACAAGTTGTAATGTAGGAGTAGGAGAGAGAAACATATCTATTTTCGCTTTGCAAATAAGGCTCGCGCCAAAATGGTCCTATTTGTTGACAAGATACAATATAAATGTGGATTGCGAATATAAAATTTTATTTTCTTACATTCACAGCTTATGTGTTTACAAGTATTTTTATGAAAGTTTATAATGATGATTATGATTATTATATTATAATGTAATGTTAGAATCAGTTAACGGATGGCTGTAACGTGCGTATGGCGTGCGATTAAATAAGTTTTATGAACATGCAACCTTGTTTCTTTTATAAAACCTCTTTCTCTTCCCGTTAGATTGGCAAACAGTGTGCAGTAAACGATCTCAGAATTGGTAATTAGTAAAAATAAATTATTTAAACTGATATGCCAACAAAAATAATCAATCACGTCTTCAATTTTACGATATATTTAACCTTTCACCGCCATCAATTTAGTCGCCCGTACGATTGAATATCATATGGGTGATTCATTGATTATAGACCACCGCAGGTAACATAGGATATTTCCACGGCCTGTCAGTCTGGCCTGCGAGAAGCTACTGTAATTTTGTGAAATAATGATACCACATCTAAAAGTGTAGTGATGAATACAAAAATAGATAAACAATCAGTGAATCAGTTTCAGGAAGGCATTCAAAAAATTACCTTTTTTTTTTTTTTTTTTTTGTCAGGGGAAAATCATCCAATGACTTCTCCCGCCCAGGGTAAGGCGAGAGAGAGTGTCAGACTCTTACTGACTAAAAACCCCCCCGTTCCTTCTCCTGCTCTGGGCCGAGGTCGCGGTGCCTCATTGCGCTTACCCCGCAGCCCCGGCTAAACATCAGCCCTTTAGGGCCCCGACTGTGGTGGTCTATTGGCTCTTTGAGGTGCGCGCGGAACGCTACGCGCCGTACGCTCGGGTCCAGTTCTGGTCGGGCGGCGAGCTACCCTTACTCGCCGTCCGCAGACCCGCGCTTACGGTGGCCGGAGATCATCCCTCGATCCCCGACGTCCGGAATGTCGCCTTCTGCGGCGGCTGGGGCGCGAGGAGGATAGTTCCCTCACGCGCTCCGCCTCCTCCTTTGCGAGCATAACTGCTTCGCAGAAGGAGGAGATAGCTTCCCAGTTCCTCTCACGCTGCACCATGGCCTCGATTAAGGCCGGGCGCGAGAGGTCGCCGCCGCCGATCACTTCCCTGAGAACACGGCGGTGCTCAGCCCAAGCAGGGCACTCCGCCACCGTATGCTCCACCGTGTCCTCCAGGTGATCCTCACAATGACGACACTCGGGCGTTTCCTCCCGCTGGATCCGAAACAGGAACCTACCAAAGCTGCCGTGCCCGGTAAGCACCTGCGTCAGGCGGAAGGTGAGGACGCCGTGGCGTCTCTCAAGCCACTCCTCAAAGAGGGGTCTTACCGCTGCTATAGTAGCGTGCCCGGCCCTCGGTTGCGACAGTCGCTGCTTCCACTCAGCCATGAGATCTCGCCGGAGCTCATTCCGCCACGCACTAATTTGGCGCGGCAGAGGATCCTCGCCCCGGCGACGCGCGTCTGCGCGCAAACTGTAGACGCGCGCGAGCGCCTTCGCTTCCAGATCCCATGGCGGTGATCCGGCAAGGAGGTTCGCCGCCTCCCCGGAGATCGTGCGATATCCGCGGATTATTCGGATAGCCATGACCCTCTGGGACGCGACCAGCGTACGAGCCGGCCGCCGCTTCAAATCCGGCGCCCACACAGGGGCACCGTAGAGGGCCATGGATCGCACAATCCCCATGTACAACCTCCGGCAGGAGGCGTTTGGCCCCCCGAGGTTGGGAAGGAGCCGCTTGAGCGCGGCCCCAGACCGTTCCAACTTAGGAGCCAAACGACGAAAATGCTCCGTGAAATTCCATCGGCTGTCGAGGACGAGACCCAGGTACTTCATCGCCGACTCGACGCCGATGGTAACTCCTCCTGCCATTATTTGGGACCCATCTGGAGGTGGCGCGTTCCGACGGCCATAAAAACACATGGCCTCGGATTTGTGAAGCGCCACCTCGAGTCCCAACTGCCGGATCCTTGCAACGACTGTCGCGACCGCTTGCGACATCAGGTCGGCCGCCGCCTGATGTGACCTCCCATTCGCCAGCACCAGCGTGTCGTCAGCATAACAAACAATGCTGACGCCGCTCGGGAGGTCGGTGCGTAGCACCCAATCGTACCCGATGTTCCACAGGAGAGGTCCCAGGACCGATCCCTGTGGAACACCGCGCGACACCTCTCGCCGATTCCACACGCCCCGGTGACCGGGGTAGATGACGCATCTGTCCGTCAAGTAAGCCTCGACTACACGACGGAGATAGGCAGGCACCCGGTGATACCGGAGTGCCTCCAGAATGCAGCTCCAGGGCAACGAATTGAAGGCGTTGGCGATGTCCAGAGACACCGCCACGACGACTCGCCCCCTGGCCAACGCAGTCCCCGTCGTGAGGTCCCTCACGCGCATGATGGCGTCCACCGTGGAGCGCCCTCTGCGGAAGCCGAACTGGCCGTCCGCTAAATCCGGCCCCCTTCCAGACAGGTGCCCGACGAGGCGGTCTGATATTATCCTCTCGAACAGTTTTCCCACCTCGTCGAGCAGCACAATGGGCCGGTACGCGGACGGAGAGTCCGCAGGACGCCCCGGCTTCTTCACGAGGACCAGTTTACCCGTCTTCCACGACAGCGGAAACTGGCCCCTCTCCAAGCATGCGCTGAAAAGACCAATTAGTCGAGGCCTGAGAGCCTCCGAGGCCAGGACCCAGACGAGGCCGGAGACTCTGAGTCAGTGGGGGCGCCCAGGTGCGGAGCTTATCACGCACCATGCGGTAGGGGCGTCCCCACGGGTCTCTGTTCAGAGTCTCCAACATCTCCTCGCGGGCCCGATCTTTGGCCCGCCGGATCTCCACCCTTAGGGTGGCCTTCGCCGCCCTGTACTCCTCGTACAGCTCCGCCTCTCTGGTTTCAGCGTCCAGAGGGCGGATACGGAGCCTGCGGTGCCTGGTGTATCGGCGTCGCGCTGCGGTGCACTCACCACGCAGAGCAGCCAGCTCCTGCGACCACCAATACACCTGGCGCTTGCGTTGGCACGCCCGGATCCGGGGCATCGCCACGTCGCACATCCTGGACATGGCGTCCTGGAGCCATCTCGCCTCCTCGTTAACGTCTGCAGGCCTGACCGGTGGTATCACCCAGGCCTGCACGACTGCGGCTTCCAGGAAAAGCTCCCGGTCCAGTTGCCTAAGCGCCCAACGCGGGCCACACGGGGCCTGTCTGACTGGCGGGTCTGCGGACTCGGCGGAAACGTCGAACCGTATATAGCGGTGGTCCGAAAACGTCTCCACCTCCTCCATGACGCGCCAGTCGCCAACGCGCGATGACAGAGCGGGGCTAGCAAACGAAATGTCCACCACTGACTCGCCCCGCATCCGTATGCACGTGGGGACAGAACCCCGGTTCAGCACGACCAGGCCTGTCTCCAGAGCCCAGTCTTCGACCATCCTTCCCCGGACATCAGTGAGCCGGGAACCCCAAGCCAAATTCTTGGCATTGAAGTCCCCGAGGACCAGCACGGGGAGGGGACGGAACCCGACGACGACGGTGACTAATTCCCTGAGGGAGTTGTGGAACTCGACGAGAGTTCGGTTCGGAGAGAAGTACACGCCCACCACGGCGATCTCTCCGAACCGAGCCGCGACGCAACCCCTGCCTCGCTGAGGCCCTTCGGGGGTTGGGGTACCGGCGGCGGCCGACGAGATGATGGTCACCGAGCCGTCCAGGTCTGACAACCAGTGTTCCCTGGGTGGAACGAAGTACGGCTCGGAGACCACAGCAACATTGATCGACCACTGCGCCATGCTCTGGAGCAGGAGATCCTGAGCAGCGGCGCAGTGGTTGATGTTCGCCTGGAGGAGGCGTAATGGAGCCATTATTGGCAGTCCATCACGACCTCCTCTCTGGCACCGGCGACAGCAGCAGTCGCGGAGGCGGTGGCGACTGTGTCTGTATCGACGGGAACGGCGGGGGCGGTAGAGGCGGCAGAGGGCCTAACTTTACCCCTGGGATTGGCGGGGGGGGAGCAGGTTTTGCTCCCAACCCGGTGATCGGCCGGCTTACCAGCCGCCGCACATACTACGCAGTGTAGCGGTGCGGTGCAAGTGCCGGCCCTGTGACCGGGCTGACCGCAGCGGAAGCAGCGGTCGCTACGGTCTACCTCCGAGGTGCATTTGGCACCCACATGGTGACCAATAAGGCAACGATAGCACCTCAGAGGCCGGGGCTCAAGCAGCTTCACCTGCGCCGAGACCCAGCCCACCAGGAGTCTTTTGCCCTCCGACAATTTTTTTGCCGCTGTGACGGGGCAGCTGACTACCACAGTCCGCAGCCCCGTGCTGTCCGGGCGGATGGTGCCTGCCTTCACCTGGTCCACAGGACACTCCCCCATCCTGGCGACAGCGGCCGCCACCTCATTCTCCGTCACAGAGTCGTCCAGGCCCATAATACGTAGCTCCAGGCATTTAGTGGGCCTGGACACGCGAGCCTCGTCCGCTGCAAGGCACGTCCTGAGCCTCTCGGCTAGGGCGTCAGCGGACGACCCGCTGGCCGCGCCGGGGACCTCTAAGAGACGGGCTCCAGTGGCAGTGACCCTCACTGCGAACCCGTCGGGTGCCCCGAACTCCGCAGGAGATACCGCCCCCTTCAACTTTTTGAGTACGTCCCCGTACGTCACCCCCTTTTTAGCCGCATCCGGCTGTAGTGTAATCACTACAGCCGAAGATTTGGGGGCGAGGAGCATTGCCGCGGCGCGCTTCTCCTTGCGCCGCTGCTGCCGCCGTTGCCGCTGCTCTTTCTTGCGGCGCTTCCTCGCCTCCTTAGCGACCCTTCTCGCTTCCCCGGCCACCTGCCACTCGCCATCGGCACACAACTCCGATGGGGTGGGCGCCGCTCTGGCTGGAGCTCTAGCGGCTGCACCCCTGCGCCTGCGACTCATCGGCGCCGAAGCTGAAGTTGGAGCTTGCGCTGTCAGAGCCGCAGGTGCCGCCTTCGGCGCTTTCGCCGGCGTAGGCGCTTTCGCCCCCTTCTTCGCCGGTGCCTCAGCCCGAGCGCCGCAGCTGGTTGAAGGCTTTGCTGCTGCTGTTGCGTAAGAGCCAGCTGCAAGCGGGGGTCGGAGGAGCCTAGCCTCCAGAGCGTCAAAACGCTGTTGAAAGGCGGCCATCTCTCGCCGCATCAGGCCGAGAAAGTCGGCCTCCGTTGGCTGCGCCGGTTGGGGACGGCCTCCGCGAGCAGTGGCGAGCTCTGCCTTAGCTGCTCGGAGTTCAGCCTCCAAGGCCGAGTTCGCAGCCACCAATCGGGACAGTTCCCGTCGCATCCCGGCTAGCTCCTTATGCAGAGCAGCCATTTGCCGCCCCGTTGACCTCTGCTGGGCTACCGCCGACATAATGGCGGCTTCGGCGTGTTGAAGCACTCCGTATCTGCCAGCCTGGGTTTTCTGGCCAGCCACCGTACGAAGTGCTTCCTTCACTTCATTGCGAAGGCTCTCAGCGCCGCCTTCGCTTACAGAGCCCTCGCCGCCGGACACTTCAATCTCGGACGAGTCCGAGGGGGCGGCCCTTCCCAGGGCGCTCCCCTCCGCCGCTAGCCGCTCAACTGGCTCAGTGCGACTAACTACTGCCCTAGTGGAGCCCTTTCCTTTACCCCTTCCCCTCGCAGCCGTGGGGATTTTAGGGGCTGGGGCCTCCGGCTCGTTGGAGGACGGCTCTCGGCCATCCTCTAACCTAGGACGTTTAAAAACGCCCCGCTCTTTATGATGGCGCAGCGCGATGCCAACACCAGACAATGATGAGTCGGACTCCGAGTCCGACTCCTTCCTCCCCGGGGCCCGTAACCGGGATTTGCTGGGCACTTCTCCACGAGCCCGGGAGCCATTTCGGCCCTCACTGTCACATGCAAGCGAGCTGTGCTCGCTTGCCTTCTCCTGCACGTCTAATTTTTTATTTTTTTTAATATTTGTGTCTTCCATATCGGTCCCACGAGTATGGGGGAAATAAAAGGTCCACCCAGGGAGAGCCCCCTGTCCCTGGGTAAGTGTACATTTGTGTCCCAACCAGGGGGTCCACCGGTCCCCTAGCTGGGGGTGCGCTCACGACTGATGCTACTCCTCAGCCATACATACCATCGCCGCGCACCAGAACTTAGTATTGGAGGAATTTTTTATAGAGGTTGTCTTCCTCGCGGTCCGGGCGGTTAAGCCAAGACCCTCGTCCCGGTCCGAGTCATAAAACATGACCATGATCTCTTCCCGGATTACGATATCGACGGGTGCAGTCGGGCGCAACTAGTGCCCCGATGCTACTCGTTGGCAGGGTGAGTGCGCAACGAGCGCCGCCCTTGCTCCTCCGCTACGTTCTCTGCTAGGTCCAGAGGATCGTGCGGATGAACGCCCCCACAGAGGCGCAGGCCCTATGCCAGCACAGAGCAAGTCGCCTCTAGAACCCGACCGGGTTCTCCGCCCGGCCAGAAGTTCGCTGCGGGCGACAGTCAATCCAACCCTGTCTCCATCCCGTTAGGGAGACTGTCGCCCGCACCCAGGGTGCACCACGGGGAGGTCTTCTGGCACGCACCCCATTCAAAAAATTACCTACTACCTACCGAATGGTCTAACGCCCGGTTCCTATAATTGAGAAACGATCCGTTTTAATTACGAATAGTAGTTTTATATACGACTCGTAAGCTAAAACCATTCCTATAACAAACGTCTCGTCGTGCAACTTACTGACGGTTTGCAACTAACGGATATCGGTAAGCGAATTGTATGGAGATCTATGGTGTCTGTGGTTTTCCTATAAATATTTTAACCGTCAATAGACGGTCAAGATAACTATTCGTAATGTCATTTGGTCGTAATGCGTATACAATGACGATTCGTTAAATATAGGAACCGGGCATAAATGCGTATCCTATGTTGTCGAAGAAGAAGAAAAAAGAAGAGGAAAAATTGAGTAACCTAGATATGTTACTTGACAATAAATATCGCAGACACATAATTCATAATACATTTTACAGAAAGCGACAACGATAACGATAACGATGACGGCGACAATTTCCCGCCCTGGATGGGGCGAGAATGTCTGAAAAACTTACTGACTGACTAAAAACTCGTTTCTTCTCTACTCCAAGCCAGGCTGAAGTATATTGTTGTGCTTACACCCGCAATCCATGCAAACATTATTTTACTGAGTTATAGTTATAGAAATTGAGATAAAAATGGCCCAACCGGGCTAACGCCAACCTCCCTAAAATTTCTAGTCAATTTTTATTCATACTCTGTACGATTCCTAGACTAGGCTACCACGCACCCATTTTTGCCATTGCCTTTTTATGTTGTGTGTCGGATTATTTCGACTTATAACGTCATTTTCAGCCAGGTCGATTCGAAGCTGTTGTGGTCACCTTGCATGATGATCTGATCTAAATGTTTGACAGCGCTGGATTTTCAGTCGATACAAGGACAACGTTGATTGCAATCTCTTTGACCTTCTTTATAAAGAGTACAGATAAATAAATCTCTGAATCATCGAGGTCGCCCTGTCAGAGCGTCGTGTGCGCAATCTAGGCCCTAGGCGATATAAGCACACACAGTATTAAGTGTTGGGGATGTACCTAGTACATACCTAGTATAAGAATGTGAAGAACGTTCGAAAAAGGACTCGCCAGACATACTCCACGATTGAAATACTTTTTATGCGTACATTTTTATTTATTATCATGAGTTACCTCCTCAACACCATAGGAGTTGTGTTTTGCCGGCGTTTTGGAGATAAGTGTTTAAATAATATCTATACTAATATTATAAAGAGGTAAAATTTTTAAGTTTGTATGTAGGGGGTAATCTTTGGAACCGCTGGTCGGATTGCCAAAATTCTTTCACTGAAAGATAGCTACAATGTTCCTGAGTGCCATAGGCTACAAAACATCACGCTACGCTTACATGGAGCCGAGCGGCGGGTGAAACCGCGCGATATTAGCTAGTCAAGTATATGTACGTGATTAACCAACTGTTTTCTGTACTAATATTATAGAGGTAAATTTTGTAATAAAACAAAGTTATACACATAAATATTTAATTTATAAATAAAATTAAAGCTACGATAAATTAAATGATCGAAATGGAATGGAACTAGGATAAACATTTTCATAAATCAACATCCAATTACAACAATGCGATAAATTTAATTGAAAATCTTAATTTTCAAATATTATATTCTTTGTTGACAATGTTTTTCGTGGAACAAAGGCACTGCTAAGGCAGGATCGCGTGCTAACATTCAATGTACTATCGTACTATAATAACTACTAATAAAAAAAGCATACATAATGCGCTGAAATTCGCAAACCGTTAATTTAACTTTACTATCTAAGAAATACAGTTAAAAATCGGTCAGCCGCGAACGTCGTTGTTCAAATTAGTAAAATCAGTCATTACTTCGGGGGTTATCTTCATTATGAAGAATTATTATGCAAATAAATTAGAGATTCTATTTAATGCAATAAGTATTATTTAAACAACCAATACCAAAAATACTTTTGCAATGATCAATTTCTAAAATAAATGTTCAATCGTTTTTTAAACAATCCAATACTCACATTCGTAATATCTTCAAATAATCTATATAAACTTACAAATTAATATTTAAAAAAGAGTTTAAAAGTAAGTAAAACTTATAATATTATGCGCTCTACGAGTTTTAGGTCCACCCAGACCGAATACATAAATATTCCTAAATGTAACAATTAATATAATATGCTAACTTGCAAATTATCTCAAAGACATCTTGAGTAGAATGTAAAATTGCTTATCCTACGATTTAGCGGCACAAGACACATAAGCTTTTTGTTGCAATTATTACAAATAAATGGAGGTCCAAAGAGCAGAACGGATAGGTTACATAATATATTCGAGTATTGACAGACGATTAACGGTTCCCATTCTATTCTGTCAGTGTATTTGGCAGGATTTTCCCAGATTAAGTCACTTTACAGGATTCATTTTCATTCGGCTTGGAATCTTTTTAGGTCTCCATTTACCAGTTTCTTGCAGGAAAATTCGCCTTCTTCGTCCTTAAACGGGCCCCAACAGTGCCACCAAGGCGCGTTTGTAGTCTCCAGAAGTTTCACCCTGCTGACGTGTCGCAAAACCAACATGGCGTTACCAAGTAGTTCAGTCGTTCGGCAATAGATGGCGTTGTAAGGTTGGTGTCGTCAAATGGTGCGCATGCGGCGTGCGGAAAGAGAAAACGCGACATGATTAGTATTTTGCGTGGGTTTTGTAGACCCGTAACCATTATTAATGGGTCAATAGTTAGGGGTCTTTGAAATTGTGGGTTATTTACTTAGTTTTAAAAGAATTATAAAAGAGTATAGGTATATATGAGATCGTAATTACGCTTTTAGCTAAAACAGCCATAAAGCTCTATCTTTCTATAGTAACATTACAAATGGTTCTCACCTCCTTTCCATTCAGGGTGGCAGAGAGATACGGAAAACGTGAAATATATTAAACCACATCACATACAACATAAAAGTAATGATATTCCATTAATTAAATTAACATTGAAAGCGTATACAATTTACAAGAGAAATTAAAGATTTCATGCTTAATTTAAAGGATACAGTGAAGCATTACTTTCATGCCTTGAATGTGTTTGTAAATAAAGGGATTTTGTAAATAATGTTAAGTCTCATCTCTCTAACAAAATTAATAAAATAATAATGCTTTTATTCATTGACTGAACAAATTCAGCTTTACTAAGTCATATCATAACTATTGAGTCAGTTATTGAATTTCAAATTGAATTTGCTGAGAATAAGATTCAACATACAAAAACTGACTCAATGGTTTAGGTTAGACTAAAGATAAATATTTTTTTGTAATAGTTTAAACATTATTTATGGTTTAGTTTGATATGAACCTTTGACTATATTTTTAAATGCCCCGAACACCAATGCTAATAATAATAAGGCAGTGTTTGTTTAGCGAGTGCGGTGCTAATTTTAAGCTTACGGCTTATAACTTTAGGGCTGTGACTGACTTGATCAGTGACCATTTTATTAGAACTTCGATTTGGAAGCAAAAAAGATTCTTGGAGAGGATGCTAATGCTGGATTATTATTTTTTACTATTTTGTATTTATTTTAAATATGTTTGTAAAAGAGCTCGATAGAATTTACGATTGCAATAATTTCGTTACCAGAATGCATATCTGATGTCACCTATGTTTTTTGTGTTTAATATTATTTGATTACACAAGAAGTCCAAATGCAAAAAAAACGTTATAAGAATTGATTCCAGCAACTGCTTGATATTATCAAACACGCAATGCAAAAGACACATTTCAACATTCAAGTAATGTGCCTGCACGTGCAATAAAAGAATTTGGTTCCATGAAATTACAAGGCATCCTCTTCTTTCTTTTTTGTTTCCAAAATAAGTTATGTGAATAAAAGACAACGCCAAACTTTGCAATCGTTCTGAAGTCTGTCTTAAAGATGACAGATTAAAATGAAGACACCAGTTATTTCAAACTCAACATTTTTGAAGTTTTAACTCTATAACTCATTTGAATATGTATTTTTATAATTTTCAAAACGACTTTAAAGTTTGTTGACCAGCTCCCAAGTCCGTCACCAGCCGTAGGAGACATAGCAAGACATACCGAGAGGTCGCTCTGGAGGGTCTTATCATACAATCGTTCGTACTCCGCCTTGATGGAGCCGAGGTCTATCTCGGCGCGGCTGGTGATGACCCTGACGAGGACCTCGTCGGAGGTGCCGGCGCCCTGCATGGCGCTGCGCAGGCGCGCCGCGAACCACGCGGGCGCATTCTCCACGCACTCCACTGCAAGACACACGCCACGTTATACGTACCCTGATCTCGCTCTCCAGCGTCTTATCGTACAGTCTCTCGTACTCCGCCTTGATGGCCCCCAGGTCGATCTCTGAGCGGCTGACTATGATGCGGATGAGGGTCCGGTCGTCGGTGCCGAGTCCCTGCATGGCCTTCCTCAGCCGCGTCGCGAACCACGCCGCCGCGCTTTCCACACACTCCACTGCAAATAGTTGCGCGGCCAACAGTTGGGTTATAGAGGCAAAGCTTGGTGGCCTCCATCATATGTTACATCCGACATTTTGAAATATTTTATTTAGCTTAACATCTTACGTTTTGGAGGGACTATAACATAACTTCATACTAATTATCCTCCGAAGATAGTAGGTATATTGACTGACTCCCTGCTGATTAATTTCAAAATATGAGCTGAACTTTGTCTAAGCCAGAGACCTTGTTCAACTCAGAATTATTGGTTGTGATTTTAGATTGAAAGTTTGTTGCCACTGTCTGGATGTATTAAAAGGCCTTCGTGACCAGATTGCTTCTCAATAGGTGTGCAGATCAACGCTTGGTGACCAGGAGAGATGGTGGCCAAATTCCATAATTTGTAAAGTAATTTATAATATTTGTAAAAATAAATACAGTATGGTGGTATTTCAACATCTTGGATTTAACCTTTGAAGTCAATGACAATGTGTAACAAACAGCTTACATCCTATCGCCGCATGTTATGTGACACACAAATTCACCTAATTGTACCAATTACGATGAATTGCTACTGAGTAGTATGCGACATTGACAAGACACACAAAAACCTACCTTATTCAGACAAAATAAGATTTCATATTCACAAGATTAATGTGTTATAGTTTTTTGTTTTAAGTTCAAAATGGATATTTTAATAATTGTATGTCGTTCCTCTGTGACATAGAGAGTAACGAATGTAAATAGAGCTTAGTGAATGGATCGAGATCGAAGGACATTGAAGAAGATCTACTATATGAATTGTGTGAGGACTGAAGCGACGGAAATTGAATAAATGGACCTATAATGTTGTATTAACGTGCAATGATGGGGAAAGATTTATGACGGTAAACACAATTGATGTGCATATGTTTGTCAAGAAAAGTAAGAAATAAACTGAACTTAACTTTATAGGAATAAAGGAAAAGAACATATAAAGCCGAAGAATTCCAAATGCCTAAATGCATTTAGAATACAGACATTTTGTGTTCCATTGTCTATCATCTGATAAAACATAAATGAACATAATTTCTGTCATTAAATAAAATAAATGATGCAGTGTCCAAAAATGTAAGTTACAACATGCAACACGCAATTTGATCTGTTATAGCCCGGCTTACCTCAGCTGCATTATCCTTGAGTATGCCATTTGTTACTATCAGTCCTTTAATTAGCAAAACACCATGTCACACTCGTCCATAAGCGTCACTAGCGCCATCTACTAAAGCAAAATCTCCTAAAAGTGAGTGTTACTGACCAATAGCAGACAGCGCGTCCTTCAGCTCCCCTCCAATCTCCGCCTTGATGGCTTGCTCGATGGTGCGGCCCGAGATGTTCTTGTACTCCTCGAAGATCTGACTCAGCTGGGCAAAGCTCTCGTGGGCCAGAATCTGTGTGAAAGATGACATGGGTTTATTTTGACTATCGGTAATATTAAAAAGTTTAAATTTTATTACGTGGTAGACTGAATCTATTACTGTAAGGTAATTTGAATAAATAACAATGAAAAGGTTTTTCGACTAAACTGGGTCCTTAAATTGCAACCGGCACCCAGGGCACGGGTTTCCTTAACATGATCGGTGACCTAATAGTTATACATAGCAATTTATCCCCAAACTTGGAATGCCTTTGCACGTTGAATTTTAAACTTTAGAGAGCACAAGACTTTCCAATGTGTGCGCTTACAAACATAAAATTTGACATCCACAAATGACCTAGAGCCAAAACCAAAAATTGTGAATCACATGAAGAATTGTTTTCATGTGACAACCAGATTAGCAACACGTTGCATCAACTATGCAGTCAATTCTCCATTAAACATATCTACCAGTTCTTGTTAAATTGAGACAAAATACAATTGTTCTCCTTACCCTGTTAAAGACCTCTTCATCAGTGCCCCACTTGGCCTCTCCGGCGTCAAACAGCGCCTGTGCATCCTCTCGGGCCTTCTCAGGGTCGACACCGACCTCCTCATCCCGCGCCCCCTGCCGAGTAGACGACTATCACAACACCTAGCCTGTGTTCTTTATAAACCTTGGGTGAAGTGATCAGTATATTGCGTCATATTGTGTCATATTGCTCTGGGTTCACAGGCATACTACTTCTGACAGATATTCAGCTTTTTAAGACCCTCCCGGGCGCCATGTGCTATTTAATGGCAAAGAAGGAAGGAAGTTTTGCATCTTTGCAATCTGGATCTTAGTTTAAATAGATCTTATATTTGCAATCATTGCTAAATTCGTTTCGCCTCGCATCACAATTATCTATGTACCTATAGTTACCTCTGAGTTTTAATACCTCTGAGTTTTAATACCTTTGAGTTTGTTACGGCATTTCTTCTCAGTGGTGTAGAAGACAATTGTCTCAGAGTAGTCAGATAGGAAATGCCGGCTACATCTCGTTTCTTTACATATAATTTTGACTTATATTACAAAAATAAATTCATTGTTTCATATAATACATATAAAAAGTGGTATGGTGAGAGCATAACTCAACAGAGCCTGAACAAATTTGGGCAATTCTTTTTTGTTGTTTTTTATCATTATGAGGTATTTATTTCTCTTATGAGTAGCTGCATTTACTGCAGGTAAAATCAATAAAATACAGAATTAATTTAATTTGATTTTTCCTTCATACATAATGCAACAGTGACAAACAGGACAACTATATAACTAATTATTAAAACAATATGTTCAAGTTGTATGGTACTATGTTTTGTGAAACAATGCAAATTTAAAATCAAGCAATAACCACAGAAAGGACCGCTTACCGCGAAACTTTAAACAATTCAATCTCATCGTATTACATAGCCCTAGAGTACCAATAAATATTAGATATAGACGCGAATGTTTGTTTGTCACGTCTTTACAATCTTCTTGTAGTTTTGCTAACATACTAGAAACAGATACATCATGTAGGCAATGACGCGGAAAATTATTGTAAAGACAGGATATGTTTTTTGAACTTTGTTATGAATGTGTAAAAAGATAGTCTAACCTATTTTTCGTATTACGAGAGATGCCCTTGATGATTTCAATGTTAAAATTATGCTATATACAAATTATAATTATAGGGAAAAAAGAGTTGTAAGTAATTGTCTACAAATATACATTGAAACAACATTATACATTTAACTACACATTCACCTTGACAAACCACATGCATGCACACGTAAAACTCACATTATTATAGTAAAACAATCAATTTATGTAAATAACTAACAAATCAAACAAAATGTGTATCGCAAACTGATCACGCCACTCCAAGGTTACTGTAACCGTAGCGAAAGCGAAGGTAGAAAGGAAAATTAATGGTGCTTGCAGTGAGGGGATTCTATACTAGTCTATGGACAATATGGAGGATATTGTAGAGCAGCTTTTATGATATTTCTTTGTATTTACTTTTAATTATACTGTAGGCTAGCCAGGGTTGCGGGTGGTTACAATAATGTAACGCGTAACGGACCTGGAGTAGACAAAGTAACGGAGTAGCTTTTAGTCAGTTAGAGTCTGACATTCTCAGTCCCAACTTTGGCGGGAGATCATTTGGTGATTTACCCGCCAAAAGATAATAATACAATTACTATAGAGATTTTTTTATTTACTTGGAAGTACTAAAGTTAACTATGCATATATGTAAGATTTTTGGTTCTAATTTAAGTCTAGTGTAATAATAATATACAAAATTATAATTTAACATTTTTTTTAGTGTAGAAACTGATTGAATGACCTCTTTTTGAACTGGGTGAAGCGAGAAGGAATATCGGACGCTTACTGAGTAAATACCACTCCGTTACTTGTTCTGCCTACATTATTGCGCTAGCACTCGCAACCCTTGGCTGAACGAATAACAACCTACATTGACGTTGATGGCGGGGAAATTTAATTTTTTTTTAATATTCTATATTCGAATTACCCGGATGCCCAAAATTAAAAGAGGTACCTATGTACCTCTGTCTCTGTATTTGTTCTCTATTTACTGTATGTGTGATGTGCATAAATAATTAAATAAATAAATAAATAAATAAATAAAAGCATTAATGTGCAAAAGAAAACACCGCTAAGCTTCTAAAAGTTCATTACATTTTTTTTTTGACGCAGTTAGGAGTTAGTAGAGCATTATAATATGGATAACCACATCGGAAGCTTTACTAGCATACAATTGGGTAGTTTCCTATGTGAAAAATTAATTATTTCAGGTCTGTGCCTTCGGATGACCTTTCGGAGATAAGTACCCCTACATTAGAGTACACACATGCTTACTACTTACCTACTCTCTTGTGTGAGTGCAACCTGCTTAGTAATCACATTCCCAAAACAATCAATACTTACTATAAAAACAAATACTATTTAAGACTTGCAGCATTAGAATTTTATTCTGTGTCGTGGGTGTTTAAAAAACTATTTTTACCCGCACCTTTTTTATGCCGTCTTTTTTAAAAAGATAGTGTCCATGAACAGATTTTGAGCAGCAATTTGTAGTTGTAAAATCTTATTTTTTATGAGATCCAAATGAGCTGCCAAATTATCTGATGGTAAACAATCACACTGGCAACACCAGAAGATTTAAGAGCCTTGGCGACCTTAAAATAATTGTCTATTCTAGTATTCTAATATCTACATGCATGTTGTTAGACATTTTTAAATTTTAACATAAGACTTACAGTTACAATGAGGGTAAGCAGACGTCTGAAGTCGCCGGAGGTCTCTGAGCACATGTGTTCGGCAAGGGGACGGTCGTACACTGTGGAAATTGTTTTATTATTATTATTATAAACTCAAATACATAACTAGCTACCCTCGCGTTTTCAACCACTGCTCGGCTCGCGTTTTCAACCAGTAGCGTGATGCTTTGAGACTTTAACCTTCTTCGATAAATGGACTATCGAACACAAAAAAAAATGCTTTCGCTTTCGCTGTTCGTTTCGTGTTCGTCATTTGTAATGGTGAAATGTGCTGCAGTAAAATTATTTTTTTAACACGTTATTTTATCCACATATCTCGAAAAAAAACGTTTCTTTCGTTCTTTCTATGGGAGACACGAGATGAAAAAAATGAAATAATTAAAAAAAAGTATAAATCTACGTACTCCTCTCATAAGCCTGCACGATAGCTGCAATCTCCGGCTTGGTTCTGGTGCAGAGGATCTCGACGAGGGTGTCTTCATCCGTGCCCATACCTTCCATGCACTTGTGCAGCTCCTTGCACAGATACTCCTCAGGGGGCATCATTAGGGCCACGATCACATCTTCAAAATGGCCGCCCAGTTCCGATTTCAGGTCTTCAATGATATCCTATAGAACAGGAAAAAATGTAAGGGGCAGTTGTTGATTAATTATATTACAGCATAACCTTATAAAAGTATGCATTTTAATTCCAGATTTTTTATATCATCACGCTTTGTACAGCCTCAACAGAAGTACAGAGGAGATAATGTACAGACGTCCGACGCCCACTATTCATCCACGAATATTTTTTGGCCCGTACCGAGAATCGAATGCGAGACTGCTTGCTAACCACTTGCGAACACCAGCGAGACGGTCCTCTTCATTATTCATATTGCTTAAACAAAACTAAATAAATAACTAATATACAAATAGTATTTCGAGAAAAAATAACTCATTATTTTCTTGGAAACCTTGACAAGATCTCATAACATACGAAATTCACAAATGTGTAGGAACTACGGACCATGGTATTTAATGAACACACAAAAATGCTAACATGTACCAGTGATTAGTTTTCGTGCTTCCGTGACTGATGTATCATGAGTCATGAGGTTCACGTCGTCCATGGCACTATGCCCTTGATATAGAATCGACCGTAAACTATCAAGGTATGGTAAAAGATAATGACGTAATCATTGGCCATTTTAGTGTTTGGATAATTAGGAACTTGTTATTGGAGTTCTCAATTTGTATGTAAACTATATTTGTAGATACTTTTGTGTAACCTGTCAAAAATAGGGGTAAAACTAATGTTAGTGTAACAAAAACGTATTAATAGTACCTGATATTCGAGCAAGGCCTTCTTCGTCTAGGTACATAATTTAAAACTATGACTCATCAAATCTCGCCGCTTCTCACGACACGGCTTTATCTTATAATTTATTAATTATTCACTGATATGATCAAAGTCTACACAACATGCGTAACAGACAGTTTTAATTTTGTTCACAACCAATGTTGCAGGAAGGAAGGAAAGGTTATTTTGTATTGCAGTAGTGCTCAAGGAATGTCTGAAGAACACAGCGTAATGTTCAGACAAATTACGGTTACACTTTGAGACTACTTCTGGGGGAATAGGCCTCCGGTAACCTGACTTACACGACGAAACACAACGTAAGTGTTACTTCGCGGCGGTTTTCTGTGAGACCGTGGTATTACTCCGGTCAAGCCGACCCATTCGTGCCGAGACATGGCCTTCCCACTTAAGCTCAAAAATACTGCCTTTTTTTCGAAATCAAACACAATTACGGATCATCCCTTTTCTTCTATGCCAGAATTATTATGCAAAATTTGATGTTCACATAACTGTGTACGAAATAATCGCAGAGAAGAAATATGTTTTTATTAAATAGAGGAGCCAGTGCGTTACCGGAAAGTAAGCTACCAGCGTGGCCCTTGGACACCAATCACATCAGAAGAGTCAGAAATACGTTTGCGGGCATAGAGAAGGACGCTCTTTTCTTTTAATCAATTTATTATCTTTGCTAAAGTATGCAGAGCGTGACGGGACGCTATCTATTAGCATAGTGACTGTTCTGGTATATTTAGCAGTGATTGAGAGCTAGTAATGAGTAACAGATTTTCGCGGCTTTTTCTACGAAATTATAATAGAGTAGACAATACATATGTCTCTAGTCTAATAATAAATAGATACGTATAGTGTAATCTAGATAGTCTAGGTATTATTATTTACAACGATGTCGTGTATTCGGTCTCTGTATCGTTCGTGTGAGCAAATATTGATTTTGAATTGATTGTGCTGATGGTGGGTGTAGCCTAAACTTCCTATAACTTTTTATATAGGTATTATATTCCTAAATTCACATTATTTTGTTAAGGAGATTTTTTATGGAATAGGAGGCAAACGAGCAGACGGATTACATGATGGTAAGCGATCGGCGCCGCCCATGGACACCTGCTACACCAGAGGAGTCACAGGTGCGTTGCCGGCCTTTTAAGAAGGAGTACGCTCGTTTCTTGAAGGTTTGAAGGTCGTATCGGTTCGGGAATACCGCCGCCGGAAGATCATTCCATACCTTTGCTGTGCGGGGCAGAAAGTTACGCGAGGATCGCACAGTTGTTGACTGCCAACCATCTATGTGATGAACATTTTTTCGCGTGGAACGATAGCGAAAAGATGCGGCGGGGATCAAACCGAACAATTCCTCAGAACACTCCCCGTACATTAAGTACTTAATACCGGACTAGCTTATTGACCTAAAAAACTATATCAAATCTTATCTAACTATTCAAATACTTAAATATTTTTGGCAATGTTTGGTTATCATACTGATACTGACACTACCCATTAAATACTTATATACTTCTAGTTTGTGGTCACAGTACATGTTCATTTGCTGTGATTTTTCAAAAAAGTGCCATTCTAAACTCCATGCTTCAACAGAGGAAGTAAAATAAAAGTATTAGTGTTTTTGGTGACTTACCCTGCCATATTCGTGGGTGAATGCCTTAGCGATGGCCTGTCGCTGGGCATTGGAGCGTGTAGTCAAGATGTCTATGATCGCCTGCTCGTCTGTGCCGAAGCCTTTCATGGCGGCTCTTAGGGCGGCCGCATCCTCCGTCGCATTGAAGTTGGGCACTCCCACCACAGTCGGTTCACGCTAGACAAAACAATTGGGAGGTGTTATGGCTACAATTCAAATAAATTTTTATTTTTGTATCAATTGAAAAAATCTTTGGAAAGCTACATTCAACCTGAGTTCTGAATAACATAAGCCAATTTTTTTTTTATAAATTTAAGGTGATGATGTTAAAAGATCTTATATCCATCCCTGCAAAGGCGGGACACCTGTTAGTTCAATGAAAAAAAACACAACAATCTGCCAAAACCAATATACATATATGTACTAGAAATATAATTTTGAGTAAATATGCTTATTTTATTTAAAAAGTCTTTAACATACAGGCATTTTAATTTCATGTCAATATTTATTTAGAACAACAAAACTAACACTGCTCCAAATTTATAAATTAATTTCCAATTTAATTTTTTTTTAAATAGATATCAAGGAACTATTTCGTAAATCCATTGTTTATGGAGTATTGTAACATACAATTACATTAATGAATGGTAATTTCTGAATGAGTAAGTCCACTTCAAGTGGTTTGTAGTGGCCAGTCGAGTCATTTAATGATTCATATGCCATGGTCATTAATATTCAACTGCTACCCTCATTATAAAGAGTTTGGTAGTGCAGTCCACTGCATGAATGCAATACTAACATCTTTTTATATAAGTTTATTGGAGTTCTTGCCAGTTACAAGTTTTGTTTTATTTATAATAATTATTTTAAATGATTAATTATGTGGTGGTTTTATAGATTTAAGGCCTGTAAACAATGTCTGGATGGCTTGATTTTATTAGATATTTAACTTGTACAAACTATCTACTTTATAAAAATAATAATTTTAAAGGGTGGCCAAATTGCATGCAATAAAGCAAATTGGCAATTTTTTTATCAATGGTGTGCATACATGGTTTGTTTCTGTTATAAAATTCCATGTTTTGAAACTAAACAACACCAAACTGAAAATTTTAATTATCTTAAAAAGTGCAATGCATAATTTAAACTGTTGTAACACTACAAGGCTTTGAACTAGTTTCCCCAACAATCAAGTTTTAAGTCATGGCAATAAACAGGTTTATTACAAAAAGTTTTTTAGGCAAATGAGAAGAAGGCAGAATGTGTAAATATAACTCTACACTTCAAAAAGCCAATGCCATTATCAATGAAACGAAAGCTAAAATAAATGAGCCGTTTCGAGCGAAATGATAAACTATCCTTTAATGGCTCGATATTTTATTTCGGGAGGTTGTTTACTAGTCGGCGAGGTCAAGGTCGCTCGTCCTACCCTATTCGTGCCCTATTTCGTATTCTGATGTCATCGGGATCCGCCCTACGCCCACCATTACCAGGAAATATCGAATTAAGCAATCGAATACTCACTTGGTACACCATTTTACTGTCGACGTAGCGTATCTTCGTATCACAAAAAGAAATAAACGAAGTCTTGAGATTCTAATAGGTCTGTTATAAGAATTTGAACTAACAATTACACAGGGAATCTGTAAAGAAACCGGTTATTGTTATAAACTAGTACGAAAGTAGATGTATTCACGTAACAAAATTATTACGGTAAAATATGTAAATAAATTCACATGAAAACACTATACAGTACCACTTCGATCCTCGTTCGAGTTGAAACTGTCAATGTCAATTAATTATGTCCAGGAGAATCTGTCAAGTGTCAACGTACATTGTTGACGTTCAACACTCAGTTCAAAAAGCAATAAAGATGTAGGTAGGTAACATTTGATCTTTCTATTACATATATTAAATTAGTGTTCAAGCGGTGCAGTTGACAGTTGTCAAATTAATTAGGATTTCGTATAAATAATGTTGCATAGACAAATGCGAAAACGAATACATTTATCCAACGATTATCAAGTTACGAAAAATAGAAGCACATATATTTCCATAACAAAGGGGTGATTCTCCAAAAAACCTTAACTTTTATTTAACAAGTCATTATCCTCCCAGGTTTTTAAGCATCTTAGTAATTTATTTTATACAATATTTTTAATCGGTTGCTTGTAAGCAGTGGTGAGATATAATTTAATAAAATAATTATCTGTGTTTTAATCAGCAGACTCGTTAATTTTCGATTGAGGATAATGACATTATTAATTTTTTTTTAATTGATTGGAAGAATCACCCACCTTCTTTCTTATGCCTCTCCAAGTAGCTGACTACTTTTGGGTTTTTGTAATTGAAACAACAATATAATTCTTATAATTTATTCAGAAAATATAGGTACACAATAAGAAAATTTTCCTTTGAAATAATGAATTTCATTGATAAATAATACCTATGCAATTCTAACTTCCAAAAGTACGAATATCTATAACAATTAAACTACGTAATATCTAAAACATGATATTTTTTATGTATACTTAGCTCATTTATTACTGCAAAGTATGCTGCAAGTATTCATATTGGGGCATTTTAAAGTTTTTTGAATTAGAAATAGTTTGTACTCGTATCATACTAAGATTATAATATAAGAAGAAATTGGTAGTAGGAATTGGTATACGGCTTGAAAGTACCTATAAAAATAAAATTTTAAGAAGGTAGATAACGATAATTTTAACTGTCACTTATAAATAAGAACAGAAAATTACCTAGTAGAAAGTATGTTTTTATAATAACTATCGTGAGACATACTAAATTAACTAAAATTCGCGGGTTACTCGCGTGTACATGTTGAGAAAAGCTCTACTAGTTTCGAACCACAGAGGGGTTCTTCCTCATGAGCAGCGTGCGCGGACGCGGCGACGTCGCGCAGCCTACTGGTTAGCGTTGGACTCGCCGCAGCGCAACCATCAACAGCGATGCAGGCGCCAACCCCTGAGGAAGAACCCCTCTGTGGTTCGAAACTAGTAGAGCTTTTCTCAACATGTACACGTGAGTAACCCGCGAATTTTAGTTAATTTAGTAGAAAGTACATTATTTTAACTGTAAATGTGTAGAAATCACTGAACCGAATAATATATTTAGAGTCTACATTAGCTATATATGTTTCCGGAATAAGACACTTAAAACTATAGATATTAAAATTTTATAACAGACATTACGACGTAACACTGAGATGCGTAAAGCCACAAAAGTTTCCTTTACAAAACCAATATATTTTATATGACATTACAATAAAATTAAACTTTAGATCAACATACTTATACCGCTAATAGATGCTGTCAGAGGCGGTTTGTAGTGTTAGCTGATCATCCATTCTACGTATAGATCTATAAATAAATTATATATGTAATAGATTTTTACCTATGAAATTGCCGTTCTGCAGAACTGGCCATTTCAAATCACAATAGTTTTTGTTAGGCTTAAGGCTAATTAATTTTGTTTTAAAAACATGGGATTCTTTTTCCAAAAGTAGTCATTTGTTTATTGATTAGTGTTACATTTTCATCGCATTTCAAATCAAAAAATTCGTTTAATTTTTTTCATGCAAAACGGCAATTTCATAGGTAAAGACTTATTATTTTTATGACAGCTACCGTAATTTTGCTCTCTAGATGGCGCTGATCTTGATCTAGCAATCAGCCAGTGTCACCTAAGGTCGTTCGATATTTGAATGCTTAGTGATTGGACGGGACATTAACGAACAAAAAAAAATGATGAGCACAAACTTGCCTGACTGTAAAAACTGCAGCTTATTGTGTGTGTGTATCACTTGTAGTTAGTTTCGTTATAAACCGCCACTGCAACGTATTACCATACCTTATACTATATTTATACATACCTACAAAACCTAATACATGTCATAATGTAAATAATGAAAAAATAAAGTCATAGGTAAGTAAAGAATAAACTTTACCACTACTATTGCCATATCGCTGACTGAATACTTTATTTTATGCATTAAAGAACCAACTCGTTCGTTCGTAAACTACTCGGTTGGAGGCATAAGTGTCGTTAGTAAATAAACGATAAAAAAACAAAATATGTAAAAACTATTACTGCAGGCAACTGAAGCTATAAAATTAGATGTATATGTTACGGCTAAAGGTCGGTGTGAACGTAAACTTAAGATTAGCCGGCTAAACTTAGGTTTATCTTCGAGAAGCAGCTAAAGTTCGATAACATGTTAGTTTACGTCGTGATATTCCATCTTTAGCCGGTTAATGTGCACATTAACAGAAACAAAACGGCTAAAAATGTATTCGATAGGCGCGTGTACCACATTTTGTCTTGCAATGACATCTTTGAAAGCCTTGTCCACCTGATGTTGACTGTTCATTAGCAAGCTGACGAATAGTCATTTTTACTGATGACACTTTTTCCAAATCTACGAATTTTTGTTCACAAACTGTAAACTGATTTCGTGAAAAAAGCTGTTTGATTGTACCGTTTTCGTTGCCCAATTTATAAAGTCCGTCTCCATTTTTATCTATTGTACCATGAGTGTACCTAATAATTGTTACTTTGAATACCTACATAGTACATAAAAGTATGTGTAATGAAAGTGATGATTTTTTAATAAAGTTTTCGTGTCCAAATAGTAAACATTATTACATTGTTTCCTTTTCCATTTCCTTCTACATTTTTAGCCAAGGACCTGCAGCTACACCTAAGTGTAGCCGGCTAAAGATAGAACAAACTAACATTAACATTTCGTCGAAGATAAACCTAGGTTTAGCCGGCTAATCTTAAGTTTAGGTTCACACCTACCTTTAGCCGTAACATATACAAAACCAAACATGAACGATACTATTATATCCCATTAAAAATAGTCGGTAAGAGTTTTTTTGCGCGCGCGCACTGATCTTCGAATATTTGTGGTATTTTTTTTTAATTTGTTGGATTTTGTTTCGTGCCACTGTCAATCAGTCAGCGATATATTATTATACCTATCACATACACGCTTGTATAAAACCTTAATAATTACTTTATTACTAGTTTGGCGAAAACGCATTAATTGCAGTATTTATACTATTCCCACACCACTACCCTGTAGTCTCGCCGCACATTGTCCACGTAGTAGCCATTCATGAACGGACTCCGGAAGAAATGTCCTATCTGTAAAAAATGAATATAAATATATTATTTTATACTTTTACGGAATAACACTTGGGTTATTTCCGGTTATTTAAGATAACATAATTTTGTTTTTTATGAAATTATGAAATCTATGGTTCATCACAATTCATCATATTATCCAACAGTTTCTTGGTTATGGTACCATTCTTATATTTATATTTGTGAATTTAATAAAAACCAATGCCGAAGTAAATACTTTTGTCAAAAAAAAACAAAAACAAAGCCTTGTATCACTAAAAATACCAATTCTTCTAACAAAACTACAATGTGCAAGAACAGTCATGCCTAATAATTAATAATTTAATATAGAAATGTTGACAAATAGTCAACAAAAGATACAATTTTGTTTTCCAAACCAATGATTGCCAAAACAACGATTTTTGTCATGATTAAATATTACTTATATTTTGTAGTAAAAATTATAGGTAAATATAAAAACTGATATTTTACTGTAAATCGTATTATTAAGACTAGGGGGAGTTAAAATTAAAATGTCATATCAAATCAAATATTTAATTATGGCAATATATTTACTTACAGTCTTTTCAGAACATTAATCTACTTAAATTAAACTGACTTACATTTTCAAACAAAATGCAAATTATTACAAATAAGTGGAAAAATAATTCTCTCTATACACACACATGTTGAAAAAAAAACCTATTTATTTTAATCTTACATGATAATTAAATAACCCTGTATTTTAGAAATGTGTTGACCAAATATTTTTGATATATAATATAATTTAGAATGTTTGTAACTAACAAATAAAGTTAAACAATGAACTGAATATTTGCGATTGACACCTGCATATTTTTATGTGATATTCAGAATACTAATTGAGTCTTTACAATAAGCAATGTCTACATTATTGTTGATAATCGTAACTACATATTTTATTATTATAAAAGTCACTATTGTAGAAATTGACAAAACAAATGCATGGTAAGTAGTAAGTTTAGCAAACAGACGAGAGAATAAGTACAGATAAATAATATTTTCATAAATAGAATGTTAATTATATATACATGCAAAACATTTAAAATTTTTAAATATAGAACTCTACAGACTTTAATAATAAAAGACGTAGAGAAAAAGCAGATCACATGAAAAACAATATTTATCACAACAATTCCCTTTTCAAATTCTTATTGTCACGACACATTCCCGCTAAAAAGCGTTCGTGACGTCATAACCGTGACGTAATAGCGGTCGGCTTTGTTCTACCATCTTCTATGCCAGTGTTTTCTCTTCAAGCTGGACGATAGGGACTGGGGAAGAGCATCAAAAGTAAGAATACATTACTGTACGCATGCATTTGTAGTACAATTAAAATAAATACAATACCGCCGACGTATCTTGGCGAGTCTGAAGTTAGCCGATTAGCTGTGCAGTACACAATTTTGTTCCAAAAAGACCCATTGCGCAGACAAATGGCTAACTTCAGACTCGCCAAGATACGGCGGCCGTACTGTACTAATAACGAAGCTGATTATTGTTGTACAGCATGAGAAAAATGACGCTGTAGTAGTAAATAAAAAAAAGAGATGCCATATTTGCACGGCACAGAATAAAGTTTAATGTAGAAAAATGTAATAAAGAAAATTGACAGGTATATTTTTTCATTAGAACTATGAATATTGGCTAATCAGCTTCATTTTGGTAGCCTAGTAATCTCACTGAATTTGAAACAGCATGCGTTTCAGTGGCCCCATCATACAATATAGCTTATTAATTTACTTATTTTATAAATAAAAAATAAAAAAAATCCCAACATTTAATGTAATAAGTATGTACTTGAATAAATTGGTCAAAACCCAATTATTTACTTTTAACAATGAAAAAATACATAAAGAAAACACGTTTATAATATTTCCTATTTACAAAACACTTAATATACGTACTTTTTTAAAGTAAATAAGAAGGTATGTTAAACAATAATGACGTCACAACATAGGATACTGTACAGTCAACAATTTCAACAATCCGGTAGTTTCCACCGAGTTAAATTCAACACTCTTATTGAAATATCAAAAACGATAATGTTCTATAAATTTTATACGATATCACATTCAATAATATATGACGTCAAAATACTTTTTCGCCAAACAGCATACTTTTCTCTGCTGTTTGGCGAAAAAGAAAACTTCAATTAAAAATATGGTTAAATCCATGAAGGAAATTATGATTAAAATTAAAAAAAATAATTTTATTGAATTGCATTTTTGAGCTAGGAAACTACCTAATTCTAAAACAGAATTCAATTTAATTTCTAGTCATCAAGTACCCATTTCCATAACGATTTAATTAACATGCGACAGTATGTATTACAGGCAAAACGAGAGATGTATTTTGTATTACATTATGTATGAATAACAAAGGTTCAGTATGACTTATAATAATGTATGTACATGAATACAAGGCTTTGTTTTAATACTTATATTTAGTGTATAATGTTCATATTGATATTTTTTTTATTATTACGCTAGAAGAATAATGTGAAAATGTCTGCCCAAACAATACTCGACACCCATACATGCAATACCAAAAAGTTTCAAGCAATTTTATCCCTTATTGCATGCACCATAGCTTATAAATATAATTGATATTAAAATTTTAACAACTTTATTTACAATAATGTTCACTTTATTTATTACCGGCACATATTCAAATAGACAGAGACGAAGCTACATTCTATCAAGAGTTAGAATGAGATAGAACAACGTTTTGAATAAAATGAACAATTATTTATAAGTAAATTTAATTTTTTTTTATTATTCGAGTAACATCATAAATATAAACTTTACGTCGAAAGATTAAAGGTTTCTTTTGCATTACTATAACTTTCGAGGACTTCATTTAAAAATAAAACCTAAAGTAGTGCGTGCGTTTAGTGTAATATGGGAAAACGTTATTAATTAATAATACATAATATACATAATAATATCTGCATATAATTAAAATATCCATCTAATATTACTACACCCGATATAATTGGTTACACTTCTCATTAAAAAATCGAATAACTTGAGATTTTTTGTCGTACATATTTAATATGCAGTTTATATTAGAATTGCCACAAATAGTGATTTGGCCGAATACCGAAACCAAATATCTGGTAATGCTGTTGGCGGAAGCGCCGAATATAGCGTGGCGAAAAGTTGGATTTATATTCGCTGGTCGGAAGTCGGAAGGCTGATCTTTAAAGTGGTGGGCAACAAACTTAATGCAATCTCCAAACCAAACCATTCGAAATTTGATAAAGGATACAGTGAGAGGTTGTTTTCGGGACCATACCTAATTGTTTGCTACCAAAATATGCTCAAATGATTCAATGATAAATTTTACTTCTGATGTGTTTTATAATTTTAATTCTTGTCATTTGGGAATGAGTACATACATATAAATATGATCTCGAGTGATAGACGTTTTTATTTCAAAATTTGGTAGTCCACAAAAAAACGACCATTTAGGCCGAATACCGATTTATATACGGTAATAGCCGAATATTCGTGGCAACTCTAGTTTATATAATAAGTCGCATAATAATAATAATAATAATATATCCGCAAGGCAGCTTGTGGCGAGCTGTTGGGCAGTGGCGACCCCACGGACCTGACTCCCGGGAGGTGTCTTGTTCTTCTCTCTCCGGTTAGTCCTCGTGACAAGCTGGAGTGAACACTGATGAAGAACAAGCCCTCCTACCTCATTCTTGCCTTAATTGGCTGGCTTGAGTGGAGATTCGCAAGAGTAGGAGTTGAAGGAGACTCGGGGGAAGGATGTATCTCAGTAAGATGCTGGTAGGGGTCTTGACCGTACTTCCGGGATTGCTCTGATAGCCGTGGGATGCCTCTCCTTCCCCAAGCAGCTCAACGTATGTTGCCCCCGTGTCGCTACATGCTAGCGGCCGTTTCCGGGGGCCCATTAATTGAGTTTGCCAGTCACCCCCTGCCTGTTTATCCGTATGTATCAATATTGGTCAGGGGCAGGGGCCATAGTATTTCCATAGTTTTCATCCACTAGTCCATAGCAACCCATACCCATAACTCTATCAATTGTTACCACATTTTACAATAGTCCTGCATCAACCGGGGATTGTCCTTGGGTGCACTTTTATAGTGCATACAGGGATAATTGCCGGCTGATGTCCCATCACATTTAGATTAAAATTGTTCAACGGGCCTCTGCGAGTTGGCTTCGGCTCCTCGTATGCCTTCCAAAGGTCCGGGACCCTGTGGTCCCGTGAAAGGAAAGAACAAACATAATAATATGTACGTTTTCGGGAAATCCGTTTAAAAATCAACAAGTGATTCGATTCTTTTTCTGAGAAGTGCATTACATCAGTAAAACACATAACTTACCAAGCTTTGGTCAACCTTGGTCGGCGTTGAAGTATTTTCAGGAGATTCGTCGTCTTCGTTTAGGATACATTCTGAAATGATGACCAGAATAATATATATTTGTATATAATTATAATAAGTTTTTAAGTAATGTGGACTGCTTCGTCGACGTCGAAGACTACCAATGACGTACCTAGTCGCGTGAATTAACTGAGAAAAGCTCGACAAGTTTCGAGTCAGAACGGGGCTTTAATCGAGAGTTACAGTATCTAACTCAGCAAATTCTCGGAAATTGCTATTTTCAACAAACACGATAGTTAGTATGCTGTCAGTTATTCGGATTTTCATAATTTTTTTTGTAACAAGTTACACGGAGTCTGACCATGTGCCCAGTATGTAGCATCAGGCTCAACCCATTTTCAATGGATTTTTTACTATAACTTTTTTATGGAATAAGAGGCAAAAGGGCATACGGATCACCTGATAGTAAGTGATCTGCGCTGACCTTAGACACCCGCAACACCATAGGGCCATGCGCGTTGCCGGCTTTTTCAAGGAGTATGCTCGTTTCTTGAAGGTGTGAACTGTCATCAAGTCATACTGTCAACTTCGTCAATAGCTTTTTTAAAAATTAAGTTATGTTTTTTACATAATAAACCTTTTTTTATGGAGCAGACGGATTACCTGATGGTAAGCAATCAGCGCCGCCCATGGACACCCGCAAGAACAGAGGAGTTACGAGTGCGTTGCCGACCATTTGGGAATTAGGGATTTGGAGATTTAGGGACCCTAGTCCCAAGTGGAGGAGATTTAGGGATTGGGGCCCCTAAATCTCCTTTGAAACTCCTTTGGTACTACGAGTGTCACACAAAAACCGCTCCCAAACATGATACGCATCGGATAACATCTAAATTAATTAGTAACCCGGCCCACTGCTTGTCAACCTTGTATCTACCGGATAAATTTACATTATTTTCGTCCCAGTTATTTAAAAGGCACAAACACGGATACACAAGATGTCTGAAGAGCTACACGAAACAAGTATCGGTTATCTGAGGTCAAGAGAATATTTCTTTTTTACACAAAAATACAAACAAATGTTTGAGCTACTTTTAAACTAGAGGAAAAGTACAAGTGGAACTGGAACTATCAAATACGAGAGCTTAGACAAGATATGAAAGGGAAAAATCATCCACTAAAGCGGGGTTAACTTTGGGCCTTAGAAAACTTTCCACAACGAAATACAATATAAACTCTTCTACACTTAAACATTATGGGACATGGCTTTTCTTCATACTAGTCACAAATAACAAAGCTTGCAGCCCGTATGATAGCAAGAGAATCGTCGAATCATGAATCGGCAAACGATTACCTGATGGTAAGCAATCAGCGGCGGCCATTGACACTTGTAAAATGGAGTTACTACAAGAACGATGCCGGCCTCTTGTGGGTTATTAGGGATATGAGGATAGGGGATTTGAGGATTAAGGATGGGGTAGGGGAAGAATTGAGCCTACGGTAACCTCACTCACACGGCGAAACTCAACGCTGTGGTGTGTACCTATTGTTTCAAGCAGGTTTTCGGTGATGTTGTGGTATCACTCCAGCCGAGCCGAGCTGAGCATGGCTCTCCCACACTTGTTGATTAATTATAAATAAAAACAACAAAAGCATATAGCAACAAAAAACAATTGAAATAAGTAGGTAGGTACCCGAAGTTATCAAGAAGTCAGATAGGGGCAACATTCTTTTTGTCTGTGTACGAGTGTAGTGTGTGTACTTTCCGTGTACGAGTGATGCGGTCACAATGTTTGGGCTAAATACTGGTAGGTAGGTAGGTAGGTAGGTAGATACTGTTTCTTTGTATCTGCTGTCCCACTCATGCGCTTATCCCGTTTGTTTTGAATGATTCGCAATTGCTGTGTCTAGGTTCAAATGTAGGTTACGAAAGAAGGTTATAAAATAAAGAGTCTTTATTTTACTTTTTTTACAATAAAGAAAAGTATTCGGTAGTTCATTTCATTACCTATTTAAAATTTTTGCTGAGAAATTATTTTGGCATTGGTAAGCAATCAGTGCCGCCCATGAACATTATCATGACTTTTTTTTATGTAGTACGTCGGCAAACGAGCAGACGGACGCCGCCCATGGACACCCGTAACGGAGAAGTTACGAGTGCGTTGCCGACCTATTTGGAAATAGGGATTTAGAGATTTAGGGATTGAGGAGGGATTGGGGGAGGGGAAGGATTGGGCCTCCGGTAACCTCACTCACAAGGCGAATCTCAACGCTGTGGTTGTTTCACGACAGTTTTCTGTGAGGCCGTGGTATCACTTCGGTCGAGCCGACCCATTCGTGTCGAAGCATGACTCTCCCACACTTATAAGACTATAAGAGTTACCAAGTGCATCACTGGCATTTGATAGATTGAGGATGGGTGATGGGTAATGCGCAATGGATTACGGGGGAGATATTGGATTATGGGAATAGGAGCTGAGGTAACCTCACCCACACAATGACTATTAGGTATAATACTGTATACCTAGATAGTCACAGATAATTTAATAATTACAATTGTGTACATTTTAATTTAAAGTTTACGTTTCAGTATTAAATTAAATACATATTATGAACGTAGCTCTTCAAAATATTTTACTAAGAGTTCTAGATCCACTTGTTTTCAGAAAAAAAAAGTTGAATGCATCTTTCAGTAAATAATAACAGAAAGACGAACTGATCCAAAAGCGGTACCATTCCTCAATCAATTGCCGAGGTGGAATTAACAAAAAAATACTTTTACTTAACATTATATTTATTAATTAAAAATTTTGTAATTACTACAAAGGAAAAAAATAAAAGTAAATTTCGGACATTTTAGTATTTCAAGCACAAAAACAATGCGGAATGCAGTATCGGTATCCAGGAACAAGCTGTTTTATTTTTTATTTGCAAAATTCTTAGTCTATATTAACCATGTTATTGTCACACAACGAACACCTCTCAGGGTTTATCTTTGTCGACCTCAGCCTAGAGCAGGAGAAGGAATGGGAGTTATAGTCAATAAGATTCTGACACCCCCAGCGAGAGAAGGCATTTGATGATTTTCCCCTCACAAAAAGAAAGTTTGTTTCTGTACTGGAGAGCCGATCATTTAATCATTATTAAGTACAAAATTAATGTTAACATACAGATGAGCTTGCATGATAATAGTTATTAAGTGTAAAGAAATGTTGTGACTTATTCTTGTAAGTTGTTTTTTCTTATGTATAATATTTAAGTCATGTTCTGGACGTTTATTAAGAAAATAAGGCACTTAATATTTTGAAATTTTCATTCCGTACACGTTGTTGGTAAAATGTATTTATTTTTTTATTTATGGGACAGGTTGGGTACCTATGTTCTTGTTTAGTTTATCTTACGTATAATAATAAATACTCAATACTCCAAAATTATAGCTCTTTGGCAACGCACTTATAGCTCTTTGATGTTAGGGATGCCCATGAAGGGCACCGATTGCTTATCATCAGAAGATCCGTCGGTACGTTTACATCATGGTCACCTTGCCCCTTTGCAGGTGAACTAAGACTCCATCGTATACAAATTAATGTTTTTTTGTTCTTTAATACTATTTAGGTGGGTCAGTGGAATGTATTTACACCAAATTATATTAACATAGTAACCTGAATACTCGCGCATAACCTATAAATTAATTTGCTTTTATAAAAACTAGTACTCAATTTTTTTACAGATGGCACGGCAACAGAACTCTCTGTTAGTGTTTTACCATCCTCCCGTGCCGCGACATTCTCGAAGACGTGTGTACTCACTTTGATTAGGTAGTGTCAGCCAAAACTGTGACTTCAATGTATGCCGCAGCCCTGGAGGTATGAAGAGTGAAGCTTCTCCATTAACTGATGAAGCCAGAGTCTTCGCAGCGTCCACGAGGAGGGAGGCCTGCCAGGACGCCGCGTATATCAGCCGCATGGATGACTGCGCCGCCGTTGAAGAAATCATGGGGTATAACGCCTGATGCCGGCGGAGGTTGTAGAATGCTATGCCTGTAATTATATTAGGAGATTGTTAGTAAGTGGTGTATTGTATACAAATACTTTTATAGGAAATTATGAAGAGGCAACGTATTCTGGTATTTCCAGAAATCAAAGGCAAATATTTTGACTAGCTAGTCAACATGTTAGGCATGTGTCAAAAGATTATAATTCTTATAACTTAGAAGTATTAAAAATACTTTAATGTTGAATTTTTAACACATCAACGGGCTATTTTTTTTCGAGAGGGAACCATCAATAATTTTATCTCACGTCCTACTCCTTGCTCTCTGGTTGGGCGAGAGGGAGTGTAAGACTCTTACTAGCTAAGCATCACCCAGTTCCTTCAGCTCGAGGCCGTGGACTCGGTACTTTATTGCGCTTGACCCTCAACCCCAGCTGACCATCGTGCGATGGCATTTGAATCGGACGCAGAACGTGACCCGCTGTACGCTAGTATCTGGTTCTATTCTGACGTCGAGCTATACTATGACCCTTACATACTTAGTTGCAAATACAAGAACATTAATAATTATAGCAATCAGGGATGTTAAGGAGCTCCGTAACCGTTACCGAAACTTTCGGATATCCGATATAAAAAAATATCCGTATCGTAATCGAATCCGAAATAAAACTTCCGGATAATGTCGGATAGCGGCGGAGCCTAATTGGGATACATTACGTTTCGTTTGTACTTATTTTACATTTGAAATTCCTTAAAATTTTGATATCCGTAGCCGCAATTATCCGAAACTAACGGATAATTCGAAATAATTTCATAATCGTATCCAGTATAATAATCATTTATATCCCCATCCAATCCGTATCCGAAATTTCATATCCATAACATCCCTAATAGCAATATATAGAATTCAGATCAGGTCAAAGATATTAGTCTAGATTTGTATTACACTATTTCAACTACGATATTGGCCAGACAGTTAACGTATTGTAAAATGTAATATAATCGGTCAATGCTATTTATAACAAGGTGATCGATTGATACCGTATTCATTTAGTTCAGTAGATAATTAATTATAGTAAACAATTTAGTTTTGTTTTTAAATAAATCAATGTTCATAAAAAGAGTTAATTATATGATATGGTTGTGTAAGCAAAAATATATTTTCTTTTTATTTTTTAAAATAGACTAATGGCAACATCGGCGTCACAAGAAGGTACCTCGACCTCGGCCTAGAGCATAAATAGAAGGAATGAAAGGTTTTGAGTCAATAAGAGTCTGACACTCCCTCTCGCCTCACCCTAGGCGAATGAAGTCATTTGATGATTTTACTTCCTGAACAGAATTAATGAAGAAACAGATGACTATAATATGTCAAGTCAAAAAGATTTTAAGTAATTTCATTGCATGCCTTCTGTCCAATAATCATAGCTTAATGGCGCTTATTAGTATTTACTGCTTTCCTTCTTTAAGCTAAAATGTAGCCTGTTAATAAAATTTTTATAAGCCCGTATAGATACGTTTGTAATTGCCCCAGAATCAGTCAGTGTACAAAAATCACAATTTACTTATTCCTTGTTCTCAATAAGAGCGTTAATCAAAATAAGTATCTTTAACAATTAGAGATCTTAATTTCAGGCAATAAGGTCCAAGTTACTAATTAACATTTGGCAGACGCGCTCCCAAGTCATTATTATCTATTAAGTATGTTGTAGTGGGTTTGTAGTCTGGCTGGACACTCGTTATCAGCTGATAGCACTAACATGGAGATGTGTAGAGGTCATGTGCCATGCATAGGCCGGGTTGATAACTGTTACATTATTATTAGCTAAACCAGTTACGTTCGAACCCGTACCGACAACAAAACACAGACAAATAGTAGTGGTATAATTATTACTGCCCTTGCTAATTACTCCTTGATTATTCGAAAAAACCTCGACTTGTTTCAAGTCACACCGGGACTCTTATTCATATGCACCATGTCCACAGTGAAATAACTTTTTATGATTTAGTATGTCTGTCTAACAACATAATTTACACAAGAGAAGATACAATAGATTTGATTAAATATGGATTATGGAATATTTTATGTTAGAAAAGTCATTGAAAAGCCTTCTTGACTATACTAGAATTATTTTGATTTTGTTTAGATTTTCCAGGCCACGTATTATTGAGATTTGTTAAATATTTGGATAAATGTTAAACGTGATCAATGTAATGTTATGAAACTTGAGACCACGTGAAGACAATTTACCTACACTGATAACCGTTTAAGAAGAAAAGTTGAATATTTAAATAACATAACAAAAAGTAAGAAGCCAAAGTCATACTAAATTATTAATAGGGTAGTTTGCAAATCAAATTCAATGGTTTTTTCGAAATTGGAAAACGAAAATATTCTATGAATTTTGTAGGTACACTTTATACATTTTCTTTTCTGAGTATGGACAATGGTTTACATAAAATTTGCACGCAGTCATTATGTGATGCGTCTGCTGAGTTCTCGATAAACGCAGTGATAATGTCACTGTGATAAATATCTACGATTATTGTAAATATTCATACAGACAACTAGTGCTTACACAAAATCTACAGCAAAAATTCAATGTATGTTTAGAAATTTCAAAAACGACAATATTTTATTTATTCAACTTTATGCACAACTAGCTACTCCCAAGCAGTTTCAGTCGCTGCTCGGCTCCATTTGATTGTAGCGTAATGTTTTATAGCCAATAGCACTCGGGAACATTGTAGCTATCATCATCATGGAAATCCGACCAGACATTCCAAAGATTACCCCTTACATACAAACTTACAAATTTTACGTATTTTTAAAATTAGTATCGAAGTACACAGGTGGGCTTAATGCCAACAAGCATTCTCGCTACCCAACCTTTGGGTGATGCAGTGCGAATATTAATAAATGTTTTAGTCATATAAATATTTTTTACGTGTTTTTTTCTATATAAGGAAATTGGGTTACGTAATATTTGCACGCAGTCATTAAGTGATGACACTGGGCTCTCGATAAAAATGCAGTGATGTCACTGTGATAAATATCTACGATCATTTTAAACATTCATACGGACTTACTGATACAGAAGATATCACACTCTTTTGGTGGGTTTTTGAGTGTCAAATTGACATCTTAAAATGTTGTGCATTTAATATTATTTTAAAATAATATTAAGTTAAGTTAAGTATTAATGTAACAACTACTGATTGTTCAAATAAATAAATAAAAAAAAACTTGATGAAGCCTCTCTCGCCTCTCAAGTGGCAGTGTCTGACTCTTACTGACTAAATTCCACCCCATTCCTTCTCCTTTTTCAGGCCACGGTAATTGTGTGCCATTTTGTGTGGTATATTAGTACTCACAAGGATTTGCGTTTGTCAGTTCTCACACAGCGATTAAAGTGTAACCTGTTTAGTCTCAATGTCAGTCCTTTACCTAGAATAAGTAACAATACACTAACTTCCTGTTGTACATAGATAAGCATAGGCAAGTAGGTGACATTTAACGACCTCATTTACGGTATTTTCTCCTTAACGTATACATGGTCAGTTTTCTTATTCGTAAACGGGTTTTTTTAAGTTAATTATACGCCCTCTTTTGCTTGAGAGGCTGATTGATACTTCGAAATATCTGTAGGTACCTTCAACTTTCTTTCTTTTTAAATTTGTACCGTATTAAAACACTTCATGGGTATTACATGAAGACTTGTTGTGTGGGAATCGGATCAAAACCATTTTCAATACCCCATTCTATATAAAAAAACGGATATAAAGTAATGAATAATTTGTATTTATCAAACAAATAAAGCGAACAAAGTTGCGGTCAAAACCTATATATTTTTAAGATAGCAATACTTGACCTACAGAGGTACAGAGTACACAGACCGATTAGCAATTATTATCGGCCAGGATCACGCGACAGATAAACTACGCGAAAGTAAACAAACAATCTACTAGAAGCGTAAAGTGACACATGTGTTTATTGGGACCTTTTTTGTTGTGAACACTGTCTGAATAATAAGGTGGGATAAAGGGTCAATTACCTTTGCTAGACAAAACATTGTTTGATTTCAACAAACTAGAACGAATTGTAGATCAACAGTCATTTTGTGTAGTTATAATTTATTGCTTTATTACAATGTTCATTTCTTTTTCTAATTAAACACAAAAAAATTCAGTCGTTATTCTGCCCCCTACTAGATACGTTAACTGGGAAGAAAGATCGAAAACAAATAGCCGTAGACTCTAATTTCTAGTACATACATTCTACTAGTTCTACTTCAAACTACAAGTTTCCTACTGCAAACTACATAGATTCCCCATGTCACTGTGTATGCTTAAATCTTTAAATTAAAACTACGGAACGTATTTTGATGAGTTTTTTTTTTCATAGAGTGATTGAAGACGAAGTTTTAATGTGTTAGGTATAACATCCAATAGTGGCAAATTTAGTATCAGCATTGCATCCATTCGAAGCCGGGGGGGGGTAGCTAGTAATTTATTATAGTACAGATGCTGAATGTAGGTAGATTATAATAAATATTGTTTTGGCTTTACCTTGTGACTTCCTATTGAGAAAGAACTCCAATGTGCCCAGCCAAAGGTCCACTTTGACGCCAATAATGCTGCCTTTACAGAAGCCTACGTTATCCCTGGTGACTGTGGCGTCGTGTCGTAGGGCTCCGGTGTACGACAACCCGTAGGACTCCCCATCTCGTCCCAGGAACGATGTGAATGTGAATAGAGAATCTGACATATTGACTTTGTTTGTGCCGATGCCTACCATCTGAAAGGAGATATTAATTATGTCAGTTCTTTTTGTTTAGTCAGAAAAAGATGTGTTGTTGTGTGGATTGTAATGGTTGAAAACTCGAGAATATAGATACGGAGTTTTTATAAAAATAAAACAAACTCGCTTTCCCTTTATCCAGCCCTATGTATGCTCAAATCTTAAAAACTACGCAACGGATTATGATGCGATTTTTTATAAATGTAGTGATTGAAGAGGAAGTTTTATGCGTATTAGTATTGTATTACACACATTATATAGTGGGGAAATTTAGCATCAATCCGTGCGTAACCAGGGCGGGTCGCTAGTATTAGGTACATGGACTTAGGTATGTATTGATTTTCATATGTGGTACATTTTCTTGAGCCAGAGACGCTTTACCTATGAAAGCAATATTTAAGAAAACACTATTAGCAAATACTAGTATTTAATAGACATTCACATAGGGAGTGAAGTGAAGCCAAAAGGTCACGTGTTCTATTTAAAACTATTCTTTTGATGTACAACAAACATTTGTGACCGGTTGTTGATCAACATTGACATTGTGGCGAGTTGCCAACTTGGAAAGAAGAAGGTTCTAGCATAATGTTGTTTAAGCTGCTTGGTATTAGCTATGCATTTCTTTTACACTTTGGGCAATTTGTTGGTATTTATTTGTCGGAAAATTTAACTATTACGGTCTATTACGCACTTGGCTTTTTGTGAAAATTATGATGAATCGTATGTAAGCATTTGAATTATGTATGTAGCTAGCTCGGTTCTAGGTTCTTAGGCCTGGGCCTTGGCTATAGAACATATTTAGTACTATATAGCCTTTGTTATTTCAAACTATAATTTAGTAAAAAAAATATTTTCTTAAATTTGGGTTGAGACTGTACCTTTTTGTGATTTTCTTTAATATTCGGTACAAATGACACCGAACCCATATGCGAGGTATTCGTACTTTTCATAGAAACACATTTGATGTGTTTTGACCTGATAAATATTTGTAAATGCGTAAAATGCTCGCAGGTAGACGGATATCAAAATGCAAGATAAGATTGCAATTAGCTATTTACGAAGTATATTAACTGAATGCAATGAACCTAGTCATGTAGGCTTAAATTTTATTGTAGCGGACGTAAAATTATCAAGTGCTTTAATCGTCTACGTATTTGTAAAATGATTTAGAATGTAGAGATTACAAAGTAGATCGAATACAATGTAGTTTTAGAATTAGTTAAGTTAGTAAACATGGAAAATCAAAGCATTGTAGATATGACAATTAAAAACCAATATTTTTTTATTTTACCCCTTTTCCAGATTTTCACTCAGAATGATTATAAAACTCCATCACATCAACAGAACGCACATAAACAAATTAAAAAAAAACAATAAACAAAAGTATAACTTACAATATCAGTTCCGTAAGGTTCAGTCAACATCTTGACCTCCCAGTAGTAGTGGTAATCATGGACTAGTGGCGTGTCACCCTTGACTGCAGCAGTACCGGAACTGTAGTACGGATGGAAAGTCACCTGCTTCTGATCAGGGCACATCATCACCCAACTGCTACCTGCGGTGTGGGGCATCTCCCATTTCCATTCACTAACTGAAACAAATTATTAATTACTTATTAATATTAACCAGGTAAAGGTTAACGAACCCCGCCGGAATACAAAGATTGATAATTTTTAAGGATGTTGTATACTGTGTTGACAATTTCAACGAATGGGATAGGATTGACTGCTTTTAATTCATGGGGCGGTCTTTCACCATTCAGGTGGACCGATCAAGTGTAAGATTCATTGTCCTCCGAATTCTTCGCGGTAGTGAGAGATGCGCTGAATCGAAACCGGTGTAGGCGGATCAGCCGCTCCAGATGTTCACGATGATCCACGATCCTCAGACCTGACGGACAGGCTATAAGGAGGAAGGACTGCTTTCAAACTAGACACAAGCATTTCTACTTTACTATATGAATTTATTTTTGCAAATAGGCCATAAAAGGCACTTTTACGTGTCAAAATACACATTATAATTGTGGGATGCAATTTTTGCCATAAATCTGTGTCTAGATAAAGAGATATTTAACTTCAAGTCTGCAAGTGTGTGAGATGCAATAGAAAATGTGTTGTGTCCCACTAAGATCTATGTTTCGGCAAACAAAGGGCTAAAGAACAAATCAAATAATAAATACTTGAACAAATCAAGAAAAAATTAACAGGTGTAGGTCATTTTTATTACCAGACCTATCTCACTATATTGGTAAGAATTACCTTCATTGTAACATAGTTTGTAACTAATTCAAGGTTCTATGTGACATGATAAACTGCCACTAAGGTTACCACATAACTTCTATATTTGTTACAATGTTAAATATTATCTGAGTCATTTACAATGTTATAATAAATAAATAATTAACAATAACAATCATGGCTAATTAGACACTCTGTCTTATTTTAACATGCATTGTGTAAATTATAAGATAAATTAATTGTGATATATAAAAGTTAATTAATACATTGATTGCAAACAGCACCAGTTGCTGCAAAGGTTGCTTAAGCTTAAAAATGCATCATAGTATGTGGCATAGTATCATAAAAATGCATCATGGTATGCATTTTTAAGGCTCCAAACTAAAGAAAAAATATTCTGGTGGCCCAGAGGGAAACATTCTGAGGAAACCTGCACTTATAATTCTTAAGTTTGAAATCACCAATCCACCTTGAGCAAGTGTGGTGATTAATACTCAAACATTCTCCTTGTGAGAAGAGGCCTTTGCTCAGCAGTAGGCACATATAGGCTAATGGTGTGAAACCAAAAGGACTTAATATCCTGGACAGTCAGTGGGGAGACCTCAAGAAATAATATATAGCAGTTAATTTATTTTTTCTGATTTCTCATACTATAATGGCAGTCCAGATTTTAATGCAATGAAAATAATTTAACATTATTCTATTGTTTTGAATGCAAATGTTTTTTTTTTGTGTACAAAAATATTTTTTTTTGTCTCATGTAACTTGAACCCTATTACTAATATCATAGGCGAGAAAAGTATTTATCCGATAATGTAGTCAATTATGTAATTCTGTAATCAAAGGCCAGAATTGCATCATTCAATATAAAATCTATTAACATTTGAACTTTAACTTTTAAAGTTATCGGTAACAACTTTTTATTTGTTAACATAGTAACAACAAGGTACATTAAAAAAATATATTATATCACAAAATGCATGCCTCAAATTATATTATAATTATTTCTATTAAGATTGTGGATTAGGACAATTGAGTTGTTTCCTAGGCCAAAAATAAATTAATTTAACATTTCAATACAATAAAATATTGAAAAATAACTATACTTTTATTCATTGATTGATAGATACACTTAATCTTAGATATTTTTCAGCTAATTTTTAAGAAAAAAGCAATCTATTTGACTCAATAAAAAACTAAGACATCATAACTCAGTTCTTTATACAAATTTCATAGAAAAGTATTGTTTTTGACATTTGGATAAAAGTATTGAATTTGACTAGTAGGAAGCTACCATATTGTTTTGAAAAATAATAAGCCACCAGGAACGTAAATTAATAAATATATATTATCTGTCTATTTTTTGAAGAATGTATCATACTACAATGTTATAAATGTATATGCAAAAGTTTGGCAGTACGGACAGATGTTACATGGTGATTGGAGATTTCAAACTTATAATTATAAATTATACATTCAAATTTAATTACCCATGTTTACCTTGACCATAGGTCAGTGGTGTCTAAATAAACTTAGAAAGTAAATATAACTCAGAAGTTTGTTGTTTCATTAGCCTCATGTTAAATTGGTATTAAATAAATACAGATTGCTTATGGATTATATTTACAATAGATATTGTAAAAGATATCTTAACAAATTGAACTCAAGCCTGTATTTGGTCTGCAGATTTACTATTACTTTGCTGCCATTACTTTTAAATACTTATAGATTATTCTTTTCTTTTACTTATATTCAGTACTTTGGAAAGTGAGTATTATGATGAAACAAGGCTACTAGACACTGTTTCATTATCACAGCTATTTTTCGTGCTGTGCTAATAGTAATATTATTACAAATTATCCATATTATTTGTTTGTTTTTGTTTTGACACATCTTGTAGTTCCATGTTACTACCATTGGATGTCTTTACGGTTAGACTTTCCTTTATGGACCGTCGATTTTGGGGTAAAAATGGGGGGATGGGGGAGGGGGAGGGAGAGGACTACCCCCCAGGCCCATCCCCACCCCGCGGAGCCCTATGGTTACGGAGATATCCATGGTCAAAGTTTGTTAAAATTTTGAGGTTAAGAAAGATTTTTCGGATAATTTGTATGTATGTATGTATAACTTTAGAATCGTACCGCAGTGGGGAGGATGCCCCCTTCCCCCAGTACCACTCCCATGACAAGGCAACTCACAGTTGCCGAGAAACACGATTTTTTATAACCTTACCTCAAAACACAAAAAGTCACTTAATAGGCAAAGTCGACGCGGGCTCCTACTTCTGGGTGGTTTGCAACATGCAGCAGGCATGGCTTCTGTCACGGCTCCGGCGCTGCGGGGCTCCGGCGGTCCCACGCGAGCTAATCGTCGCAGATGGTTTTACGCCCATCACCGCGGCTTCAGCTCGCGGGCCGCCCCGCCCCTCCGCGCCTTCGCGAATTTAAAAAACACTCTCGGGGTAGGGCAGAAAAGAGACCACGTAAAGACGGTTTCGCAGCAATTCATTTCTGTCACTAACTTTTGTAGCACATTAAAACATTATGCCAAAAGACAATGTATTAATTATTTCAATATCACCTATATTCAATAGGAATATTCAAAAAAAAAAAAAAAAGAATTCAACAACACGCGAAACGTCAAATTTGGCGTGAATTTTTCAATAGACTTTACAATTTTTAAATAATATTATATCTCGTAAACCGTGAGTTTCCGCAACATAAAAATTTGTAAAAAGCCTTCTGTTAATGTGTACTATCTACCAAAAAAAAAATGAACGCTCAACTCGACGGTCCATAAAGGAAAGTCTAGCCATTATGTATTTGCTTGTTCGATACACATTGTAACTTACTGTCAGAATGCTCTCCGCATGAGCAGCCTCCATTGTTCTCCCATAGCCTAGGCCTGTTCTCGTTCCAGCACTGGCAGTAGGGCTTCGCATTTCTCCCAGACCTCTCACTATTAATTAGTCTCGATAGCATTTTGTCCTCATAAAATCACGATTCACTGGCAATATTCTTGAAATTCACTTGTGACTTATCACAAAACACAACTTTGCATGTAATACTTGTAGGAATCTCGCGCAATCACACACTTTATTCAGATTCACAACAAAATACACAATACAAAAGGAAATGTAATGCTGTTATTTTACGACGAGCAGTCGGTTGCTTTGATTATTTTTGACAGTTCAGCGGTTGACGCGGTGGAAGAGGGGTATTTATATACTATGTTCGTTCAAAAATCATACAACAACATAAAATTATTTTGTAGTAATTATTGTGACTTCTTGTTAGATCTGATAAACGTTAAAATTTATTTAAATGCAAATTTGTATAAGAAATAAACAAAAAAGGAAATATTGGATATATTTGTGCCGGCAAACACTGGTTAATTAATAATTAACCAAATTACTTCTTACACAAAAACTGATTTCTGAACGAAAAGAAACATGTAGAAGTTTCCGGAAATAACTTTTATCTCAGAGGGAAATTCAAAACAATGGTCATGTTTATTTCTAAAATAAGGAATTCTACACTATAAAACAAGTAACCTCCTAAAAGGTTATTTCAATTTAAGGGCTATCTGCCTTGAAGCAGTGAATGGTACTTAAAAAATATGCCAATCATTTGTTATAACTAAAGAAGTAAACGCACAAATTTTCGTGGTTTTGTTGAGTTGATATTCTGGCTTTTTCTTTTTCCTTTTTTCATCATCACTACAGTTGCATCTGTAATTACGTCGATTGAGTAAAATCCTGTGGTAAAATCTTTGAGTCAAGATCTTCGTTCACGTTCACCGTATTGATTGCAAAAAGATGGTGCGGTTGGTAGTTCTGATTGTTTTGCTAAACGCGCGCACCCCGCCCACAAATGGCTGTCAAGTGCAAAAGTGAATTGATGATTTATTTTATTATATTTTAAGATTATTACACTTTAGCTTTATGTATTAGTGTATTAGCTATGTATTTAGATAGTTTATATATTTTTTAATGAGTGAGAAGGTTTTATATTGCCTGGTCCGTGTTAATATACAGTCAAAAATAGTTATGAATGAGTGTATTATTAAGTAAAATATTAGATAATTAATTCTCAGCTGGTCGTAGCCCGTGGCTATACCAAATTGTGTGTACAACACAATTTAAAAGGTAAGCAATTTTTGTATGATTTTGTTTTTACGCAAATGTAGTACATTCCTAAAAAATAGAGTTAACTCTGTACAGGAATATTTCGCGAATATTGCACCTTTTTATTTATTTTAATGTCAACTTTAAAATACTAGAAAAATCCATAATTAATTAAATAAATATAGTACTAGTTCTAGTTGAAAATAGTAGCTGTAAATGATAAGGAAAAATATATAATTTGTTATAGTAGGTGTGACACAGTGACATGCAGGAATTTAGGTCACTTCAGGTCAGAGTTCAGACCTTTGTCTGTTGCTTACAGGCTTGCTACCAATTTCAATAACTAGAAATGTGTCTAAATGAGTCACAACTGTCTGCTACATTAATAATAAACACTATTTGTTTGGACTTATTTCAACATAATTAATTTATATTTCAGTTTTAATTAATTTGTTGCTGTTAGAAGAATATAATATTCAGTCAACTAGGTGACACAAAATGAAATTTTCTATATTATATTTCTATATTTTATTTTTTTTATAGCTTCCATTGGCGGCTTTACTCTCATAGTATATTTTAAAAAGCAACTCTGGCGTTAATTTAGGAAATCCACACTATATTTCAACCAAATTGGTCTTGTCATTTTTGTGTGTAAGAATAACAAACATACATCTACACACTTTTACATTTATCATATTATATTAGTAGGATTTCAATAAACACTGAAACAAACTACTATCTCTACACAAAATGGAATACATTACACTAAGTACTGGTTCATCACCATAGCTTAATTTTAACTTGCAGCAACTCCATACAATGGTCCACTATCCCACCCACTGAGGGCATTGTACCGCTAGTGATATTCCTCCAGCAGCTAGCACTGAGGCATACCCATGCATTTTTGGATAGACAAACGCAGCCAGTGTGCCTACACCGGCCGCCATCGTGTCCCATCTTCCCTTTCTGCTGGTATGTGAATATTTTTAAGTTTAATGAATATTTAAGAAAACTAAAGTCAGACTTGTGAAAGGAAGTTGTGCCAAATGCCTTTTTGACATGTATTTATTATAAATAATATTTATTTGAAAGGATACATTAGATTAACGTCTTTAATGAACTTTGTTTAACGGTGTCAATAGACGGGAATAGTACAAAAGTTTGGTGGTTGTATGCAGGGCGTGCGCGGGGTCGCGTGTGTGCGAGCGGGGGCGGGGGCGGGGGCCGCAAGGGCATGGCGGCGCCCGTGCACCGCTTCGCCGCCGTCGACTGCCCGCCGCGCCGCCCGCACCGCTCACACCGACATGCCGGGTACGTTGGGACCTAGCTGTAAGACTACAACGAATGAAACAATATTTGATGACCTGAACTTGACCAAGGGTCGCATGCCTTGCCTTCTTTTGCACGTAGTTCGTGTCGCTATGGAAGGCATTGTGAATTGGGGATTAATTTTTAAGGCAGTTTAGATCTGATCAGACCCAAATATTGTGCGACCAACAGGCCTTTTCCCGTCTAATGTTCCGACGATAATAAGTCGGCCTATGTTGTTTCCTCTGCGATAGGCATTTGGATGACTATCGTGAAGGGTCACAATGCTGTCCAAGGAATACGGAGAGTCTACCTCCAGTATCTCATTTCGAAGTTGCCAATACCTTTGCGGGCTGCTGCTCTTAAGGACCATGTATCTCCAACATAAGAGAAGATCGAGAAAACTAGGGCCTGGGCCAATTTGGTTTTGGTTTTGATGGAGATATTATGATCTCCATATTTTGCCAAGCTGAGGCTGACCTGAACTATTAGATTTTGGATATGTTACGGGAATGTTATGTTTATTTAGTTCCGCACTTCCATCATTTTCATCTTAATCCCATTTTATTCAATGTCGAACGTTATCTCTGCCATAGACAAAAGACATCACTTTGCGGATATCGTCACTCGTACTAGGTGGCGGGTGCTCCACTCAAATTTTGCCTTGACGTGACCCAGTAGCATTGTGAGCAGTTTACACTTCAGATTATACTCAATCCTCTACAATCCTATAGGCCTCCGCCGATGCCGGCAGTCCACGCGACGCGGCGGCAGAATGACGAGCCGAGTCTGTACGTGGAGATACCAGCCGAGCCTCCGCAGCCGACCATCGCCAGCCTCGCGGCCGCTCGCTCTGTTACCCCCGATACGTTACTGCGCACCGCAGCCCTAGGGCTCCACCACTCACCTATGATGGCCCCGCACCTCAAGTTCGGTATGCTGGTCTCCTTCGCACTGGCGACGGTCTTCCTAGCTGGAGCCAAGTACTACTTCGATCGGCAGGTGAGCGTGAGTCAATTTTTATATTTATTTCTTTTTAAATGTTTCATTTTTAACTATACTAACGTGTTATAAAGCTAATGGTGTGCTGTGTAGATCCTGATTCATTGGCCTTTATTGTAAATATTTACATTCCCGAGATTCCAGAATGAGTTTTATGAAGTTGCTTACTAATGGTTGTAAATAATGTTGTGGCGTGCTACGTGTAGTTAAGACCGCTGTTTTTAAAAACAAACATTATTAGTTTATGAACATTGCAATAACCAGAATTTAGGTGTAAACTAAAATTTTCTCAGCTGAAAAAAATTTCTTTTTACCTATACTATATAGACTGATTGAATACATATGCGTCACAACTAGTTAAAGTAAATATGTATCTTCAAACAAAAACAGCAGTATCAAACAAATTAAGGGGTATTTGTGTAACAAAAACAAAATTATCGGTCGGCAAACCAGCAGACCGACTTCCTAATAGTAAACTAAGCAGTCGGCGCCACCTATGGACTCCCGAAACAACAAAAGAGTTACGAGTGCCTTGTCGGTCTTGTCTGGATAAGAGTTTCGTTTATTTAATTTTTATTTTCGAAAGGGATAGGGAAAGGGGAGTAATTAGACCTCCGGTAACCTCAATCACACGGTGAAACACAACGTTGTGGTCGTTTCACGTCGGTTTTTTGTGAAGCTGTCAAGTCAAGTCGACCCATTCACATAAAATCCCAATACATTATTGTTTGATATTGCTGTTTTTGTTTGGAAATATCTATTATAACTTTTGTGAGGCATGGTCAACAACGAAGTCCTTATTGACAAATATGCACGACAAGCTTCCGCCCGCGGGTTCATCCGCGTGGTATGTTGATAAAAAGTAGCCTATGCCCTATTCGGGAGTGTAGTTATCCTGTGCCTGTGCCAAATTTCATCCAGATCCGTCCAGCCGTTTTGGCGTGATTGAGTGACAAACATCCAAACAACGTAACTATCCTATAAAATAATTTTAGTAAGAGTAAGATAGTTTGGTCGAGTGTGGTATAGAAGTGTCTGTTCGGCAGGTGATCCGCGCGGGGTCGGGCGCGGGCGGCGGGGGCGAGGCGGGCGTGGTATGCGCGGCCGTGGCGTGCGTGTGCGGCGTGGGCTGCGCGCTGTCGCTGTGCCGCGCGCGGCCCGCGCCCCCGCCGCTGCCGCCCGACCGCGTCTCCTCCACCGCGCAGCGCGACCGACACGTACGTACACACTCTCGCTCATACCGACCCTTCTTCTCACACCCATACCTATTGAGCGTTATCACCGATACCGCGATCTCGAACAGAAACAAAACATTCCCTCTCATACCCCATCTCGCTTGATTCTAGGGGCGTCTTCTCAAGCCTATAAACCTAATGAACATGAATCATTACGCTTTCGACCAGAAAAAACACATGAGCTGACATATAAGTTGCTAAAATTTAATAAATGAACATTAATCATCACGATTTCAAACAAAAAACACATATAGAATGAAATATGAAGTGCTAAAGTTGGATAAATGGGTCATAAATAATCAACATAATTTTAGAATGTTGATTCAAAACACCACTCATGGTTGACTAGAAAACCTTTGTGTTAGGTCCACCTTTATACAAACTTGAAATAATAAATAAACAAACGCCTTTTGCATTCCAGCCTCCACCATCAGAACCATCAGATGACATCTCGCTGGCGACCCTCTTACAATCTTCCGAGCGATCGCAGCCTGTAACCGAGTCTCCCGAGGCGCCGCCCCCGTACAAGATCGCAGTCCTGATGCCTGGCCGCGACGCTAGCCCTCCGCCCCCTGCGTACAGCTCACTCAGCTAGCTAGCGGCTCCCGTGAGCCAGGAATTCATCATATAGACTGTACATGAGGGTAAGGTTAAAACTCAATACTAGTTAAAAAGCACCAAAAATTTTAAAAACATTTTACAATACTAAAAAAGCATAAATTTTGCTTGTCACGTTGGCAACACTAAATTTTTGTTATTGGTGTTGCCATTTTATTGTAGCTTATTAAAACAATGTGATGGTCTGGTGATAAACTCATTTTTGATCCAAAAAGAACAGGTTATCAATTTTATGTGGCTTCCATCCTTTTTATACTTGTATTGTATGAACATGAAGCCAAATTTTGTCATTAGTTCAGTTAATATTGCTTGAATTTGCATGCTTAAAAAGTTGAGCATTTTTAGAATTAAAATTACCCTAACCTTACCCTAGTCTATATGCAAGTGATATTTAATACCCTGACTCACGAGTATCACCACTCACAAGTATCACTGAAATGATCTTAATACCTTGACGATCACTTTTTGAAGTTCCCACCTTTTACTAAGATTCCAATGTCCTTTCCGATTAATATTAAAATTTTGGCACTGTTCAATAACTATATCCAAGAAATTAAAAGTCCATTATTATTTATTGGAAATACAACCTGTTTTGTAAGGCCCAGTACTTAATATTTATGTCTTGCCAGTGTTAATAAACTGTAATGTTAGCGACTATTTATTTTTGTTGTCCCTCAATATATTCTGTCTCTATCTTCTTACACCTGTTAGAAAGTAAGAGTAAATATTTTAGTTTAGTCTGTGTTCAAATGCGATATCGTTTTGTTGATTTTGTGGGGAATTTTAACATTCATTCTTTTATGTAAGTTGGTCCTTAGATAATAATTGTTGTTATGAAAAAAGGGTGTGCGAAGCGAACTACTATATAGCCTTGCTTACTTCGCTGACATAGGACATAAGGTAGGATAAAGAAATAATCTTAAAATTCTCCATAGAATTACTTGGTTTACGGCCATAGATCGATGTTTATAAGTCTAAAGTATATAAATGTTATATGTTAAATGGCCATTCAGACGGAGCAAGGTCTCTGCCGTAATACTAGATCTCTTAACTCATTACATAGATCGTACGTTAGGACTTACCAATCATAAGTCGATTTTAAAATGTAAATAACAATAAGTGCGGTGTTCAATAATCGGCAGAAATATTGAAGATATTTTTAGAATTGTCTCGAAACTAGTTTTGTATGCCATATAACGATAGAGAGATTATCTTAAACCCCATTTTACTCTGTACATGTATAGCATAGTATAGTTTAGTATGTCTGTATTTATATGCTCATGTAAATGCCTACAGATTGTCTGAATGCTACAACCAAACTTGTGTCCACGGCTATACTATAAATAACTAAATACTGTCAAATCCTGCCAAATTATTACTTCAAATTGGTTGTAGACTTCAGACATTTAATTACAATCATTACAATTTCAATAGCACTTCAGTGCACTGCCAACTTAAAAAGCTGCTGATAAGGGGTTGCCAGACATGGCAATTTCAATATTGCCAGATAAAAAAATATACAATTGGTAGTTTTTCGAAAATCTCCATGCACTTTTAATAGTATCTGTTCAGACACATTTTAACACATTTCTTATATTAGAACTATTAAAGCGCTGAATTTGACTTTGAAAATCTGGTAACCCGTTCTGAATTAAAATCAGCAGTTCTTATAATAGTAAATAATGTGGTGAATTGATTACATTGTAGCGGTGTTGTACTTCTTGTATATTTTGTTACAATTTGTTCAAATGTATGGCGACCAGAACTATTGACTGAGGTATCGACGCACAATGGATAGAAATCGTTTGAAGTTCTGGTCCTCGAATAAAAGATACCGTATAAAAAATATTATTAATTATTTTGAGAAATACACAAAATTTTTAAGATATTTGTTGGTTGGAAAATTAAAAGGAAAAACAGTTTTATTTGCATTAAATTTAAAGAAGTGCATTACCGTATAAATAAACCTATAATAATAATAATAAGCTAAGTCTAGTCATTCGTTAGTTATAATAAATGTGATGTTATTTAGTTAAACGTTGTACTTTGTTGGCGTTTGCAATTATTTTACATTGGAATATCCTTTTTATAGAAAAGGAGGTCAGTTCGTCTTTTATAACAGACGCTTCGTTATTAAAGATTGTATATCTGTGATTTTTGTTGTTTTATTGTGTTATTGGTTTATACTAATTGATTTCACATTAAGGGCTGATTTTCAATGGTTAGATAAAAGTTATCTGCGGAATAATTATGATGCTGTCGCGTCAGAATGTTTGTATAAGACAGTGACAGCAACAATTTTATTCTTATGGTAACATTATCTGACTATTTGAAAAATCAGCCCTAAATAGCTAATACAGCCTATTTTGTTATCAGACAGGGGTTGCGAGAGCATTCATGTACCGCGGCCCAGGCCCGCAGGGGAAGGAATGGGTGGTTTTTCTTTCAGTAAATCTCGCCCGACCTAGGGCGGAAGAAATTATTTGATGGGTGTTCTCAGCATTCGTAACTGTCACAAAATTTGAAAAGGTCTGGCACCGATCAAACTTTAGCTTTTTTAATATTAGTTTGAATGATAATTAAAACATTTATTCATAACACCATACATTCTTTTGTCTCTAAGAGTTGGTAAGAGAACGATTTTCCAAAAAACTAACATTTATTTAACGAAGCGTTATCTTCCCGTGCTTTAAGCATTTTAGTAAAGCTTATTATTAAAAATGTTTTCATTGGATTTCTTGTAAGCAGGGATAAGAGGAAATTGACATGGTTAGTACTTCGTTGACAGTGACGATTACAGGCGTCTAGATAGCCAAAAGTGATACGACAGTACGTCTGTCGAGGTTCCATTTTTTATATTTTTAAATCAGTACGCCACACGCTGATCCATTTTTATATCTCTGCAATCTAACACGCCCCCGGCCCGAAGCAGAAGAAAGACAGTGGTTTTCCATCAGTAAGAGTTTGACACTTCCTTTCGCCATACCATGGACAAGAGAAGTCATTTGATGAATTTGCCTAAACGAAAAACTATTATGCTTGGGCCACACTAACGGGAAATGCCAATAATTATCGCGATAATTGATGATATTAAACAACGAAAAATAAACCCTAAATCATTTGTTTAGTGATCAAATTACACCCACGATTAACGTCCATTATTGCGATAATTAATGGCATTTCCCGTTAGTGTGGCCCAAGCATTATAAAGAAAGGCACGTTGTACTGTCGCAGCATTATTAACAAAATTCGTTGGTGTCACAAGAAATTTTTGTACGTCCTTTGGCAACGTATGAATAAAAGTTATGTATCAACATATGTAACCTATGATATATGTAGTACTCCAGGAACGTGTAATTTACTATAAAGTCAAAAAGAACGGTTTATTTCAAGGAAAGTTGGGAGAAATAAAAGACGAGTTATATGCTCACATTATAATATATTCTCTATTTATACATAACATTAAGTACGGTGATTGTGTCAAATAAATTATTAAAATTACATGGTACACTAGAAGCGGGCCGCAGTGGCGAGAAAGAAACTTAAAAATATTGTATTATTTCAGAGTCATTTTATCCACTGAGGATCATAAACGGCGAGTATATGAACATAAACGAATTGCTATAGCAAACAAAACCGACAAATCCTGAATACTCAAATTATTTTCTGCATTCATATTGATGAAATGACCCCACAACAAAAAAAAATAACAATATAATATTCAAGTTACAATCTTAAACTTTATAATAAGGTTTTATTACAATATTCCACTAAGGCCCAGTTAATTTACACGAAGAAACGGTGACGGTGCACGAAACACGACATAAAGCCTCGTTCACACGACACTGCTTTGGTAAGGCATAGAATTACATCATCATACACTCTATACTCGCTTAAATAATGTACTTTTCGTAAAATGTCGTGTGGACCGGCCATAACACAAATATTAATTGGTGATAAATTCATACTATTTTACATTGTAATAAAATTGTATTATTAAATAAAACCATCACATGGAATGTATGTACATAATAAAAGTATTAGAATGTTGTCATAAGCCTCGTTAATTTGTCATAATATAAGAAATACGGAATAATATAATAGAAAAAAGCAAATTCATTCAATACTTTTACAAAACAATATCACTTTATTATATTCGATTTAATTAAATAAAATATAGATATAAATAAACGACAGAATTATCATGTCAAAACAAACTATTATCATATCAACTTGTCATAGGTTTGCGCAAATCTTGCGCTGCATTGCGCTAACCTTTGCGCAACTTCACAACATTTGTTCTAAGCATTTCATTAACTCAAAACTAACGCAAATTATAGTTACACACTTTTTTCTTTTTTTAGTATTTAAGTAACATCTGACACATTTCGATCTAAGTGACAATATAAATTTTAGTAATAGCATTTGTATAGTTGCCTTGATATTGAAAACTTCATAATATTCGTCCTATTGTATGTAAAATTATCTGTCAATTGACATTTAAAAATTTAAAACACAAAACACACTATTAAAACTAAAGTCACATTCATAAGTAATCATAGAGGATTATATTGTTTAAAAATTATGACTAGCCGTCAGCTTTATTTAATCATTTTAATAAGAAGTATTTTATTTATAAAATTGCCGTTTGACAAAGGCTTAGCGGCGAAAACGGCAACTTTATAAATAAATACCTTTTATAAATATTTATACACGTAAAGCGCTCATAAGACATGGTCAGTTAGATTTGAAATTATTACAATTGACTACAGTTATCGTTGCGCCATCTTGTGATAAGAGGCAAGAGTGGTATTCATAGTTTAAAAGAAAAACAATAAATAAAAATAAATATTGGTAGAAATGGGTGCTACCATAGCATAATATACGTTATTTTATCAATCAAAAAAATATTATTATTATATACGAAGAATGTTTTAGTTAAAAGAAGCCATAATCACGAAGTCTTGCTAAAAGGCTCTTTATATAACAATTTACGTATAGAAAAGGGAAATTAATTTACTTAACATTCAGTAAATTAAATACAATTAACTAATAAATTGATAAAATATGTAGGTATTGGTACATATTGATTCTATTACACACAACTATAGCATTTCAAGTCACTATTTTCTTAACGAAAACCTTTCTCTAAAGTCAAATTTGAAGAATATAATAATATTTAAAGATTAGCAAACAAAACTGAATGGTATATCTTGTTAGTATAGTAAGAATCTTATTTCCAAGTTGTGTACAACAGAATCAACTAATCACTATAATATAAAAACAGTATCATAACTCAAAATATTTTCCTCAATTTTACATAGAAGCAAGAAGTCCTGATGTCAAGCTATCCGGTTATTACACATTTATAAATACATGCCTGTCTTACCTGGGAATTTAATTTGAAAAAACGTCGTCGGCAGTAGTAGAGAGCGAATAATTTAATTAGTGCTAACAAAGGCAGTTGAGGCTAGTGGGATCCAAGCTCTTTTCGACAGAAAGAGTAGGAAATACAATTCATAGGATTCACGTAAACTTTTGAGACATGTCAGAGTCATTATATTGCATTGAATTTACTTCTGATTTTTGATAAAAAACTATTTTAATACTAATACTCAAGCTTACACCGGTGTCGACGCTTTGCCATCGTTCGAAACCTTAAGAAAAAACATCGATCCTTTTCTGACCTCTGAGCCAGTTCATTATAGACTGTAATTCCTTATGTTTAGAAAAAGATTTTTTAAACTGTCTCACTAAATTGCATTTTAGTAACGGTATTTTTCAGGTTTGGTAAAATAATTTAAGTTACAATACTATTACAAAATCAATGAAACATAATTAGTACTGGCTGAAATGCAGCACAGTACAGCGATGGAGATCAACTCGTGTCTACGAAAGCTAAAGTCATGATTACACCCGTTGTATCTCGAAGAGTTTCACATCTGTGTCGTACCATATCGGCGGGTCCACGTTGCTGAGGAGAAAATAATATAACAATTAATATGTTATGTTTTACTTATTTTAAGATAGAAAGAGGTAAAATACTATTTTGCAACATACTACTACTATTTTTTTGTCGAGGAGATTCCTCTCTATAGAAATGTCCAGTTTAAAAAAAATGGTAACATGTTAGATGTAAATTCCTCATTATCAACATAAGCTATCCAGTTCGGGCCGAGCTATCGATTTTCTTGTCAAATGTATTTGTGAGTACATACATCGAACATAGTTATTCCCCTGGTGGACGTTTTCCAACGGCTCGACAAAAGTAACAGTTGTTAAAAAAAGAATAGTAAATGACAAATCAAGTAGAGAGAAATTCAGAACACTAATTTGTGGATCCGAGTGGTTCCGTACGGGAATCGATACTGCGACAGTTGTGCGGCAGCAATTTGCTTAGTCCCTGCAATAACTGTGCAGACAGAAAACATAGAACGCCTGGCTCGAACCAGCTAGCTTATGGTGAAAATGAGCCATGTGTATACCTATATCGAAAATGTATTCTTTTCAGGACATTTGGGGCAGGCATTTGATAGGCAGAAAAAAACTTCTAGAAGATTGTTATTAGTCAGTTTAAATATTTAATTGTCGCGTTTGTGTTGAAAGATATAGTATATTTTGAAAAATCTTACCGTATATAGATGACACCCCACAGATACGTGCGGAACCAGGCCGCAGTGCCGGCGTTGGCTTGGTACTTGCGGATGAGGATGGGGTGAGGCACTGGCAATAGACCCACCAGAGTACCGTGCTGCAGAAACCGGAGGATCTCTGACTCGTCTGTCAGCCCCCTATTACAAACAATAATTAAATTGGTATAATTGATGAGTGAGATGCTTAAGACTTTGTCGTCCCACCACAAAAAACCATGCAGTTTCTTGCTCTTTCTTCTTCATAGGAATCTACACTTTGGAACGAGCAAATATCTTCATCAGAGGACACACAGGCAGACTGACACGTAAAAAGTTATATTTAGAATTTTTTTGCTTGACATTCAATGTCAAGAAAAAAAAATCTAAATGTAACTTTAAAAAAAGTGCAAAATAAATGAATTCGAAATATTTTCATATCAATACCAATTCGTTCAAAAATGTTGCAATAAAAAAGCAAGCTAACATTATGTATATTCTTCAGAGAAAATTAATGACATATAAATAAATGTAGCACTCACTTGTCGATGCAGATCTTCTCGACTTGCGGCACGAGAACCTGCAGAAGACGCATGATGGTCTGCAGCGGCAACTTGCCGCGCCAGCTAGACACCCACTCCGCCGAGGGCCGCCACTCCGTGCCCTCCTGTGGCCGGCGACCTCCACTGCCTACTTGCAGGCTGTTTCTCTGTGCACATCAGGAGAATGATCATTTGTGAACTTGCGCTTATATTGCGCAAAAGTTTTAGATATTGCGCATAAAATTAAATAATGCGAAACGAGTTATTGACATATTATTGCAGCAAAACGGGCAAGAAGCGATAGAGTACTAAGTTCGAGTTATTTTTCCGTTTATCAGTTACCTTGTTTAGCTCTCTGAGTGGTCGGTTAACTTGGAACAGGCCAATAAGAGCATGAAACGTCATAAATATTGATATCGATTGCGTTAACGTAAACCAAACTCGCACCAGGCACTTAAGTAGCAAACTATTCATATTTTCTTTTTGTACAACACCATTATATTAATTTAATTATTTGGTTATCTGATTAAAACATTTTTTTCTAGCCTATAATGTCCCACTGCTGGCCTAAGGCCTCCCCATCTCGTTTCCACACCTCCCGATCTTTGGACCACCAGTCTCGACGATAGGCGTCTAGATCGTCACGCCATTTTAATGTCGTTACCTTCCGATCCGTACCGTCGTTACATACCGACCGATCGGTCCGTTTAATGCTAATAATGGCTACATTCCATTGTCCTTTGGCAAACCCTGAGCCTGGGCTTCTGGCACTCGATGAGAGACCAGGTTTGCGCACCGTATGTCGATTAAAACATATTTAGAAAGAATAATTGACAACAACTACTCACATGTGTCACAGTCCGTTTATCACCATCATCCTCGGCATCAGCGTCATCAGGCCTGTCCTGTCCGTCAGGTCCGGCCCGCTGCGGCAGCAGCCTGTCCCTGGGCTCGCGAGTGTCCCCGTCGTGCGGTATGCTGGTGGCTTCGCTCGCGTCCGACATGGCGGCGTCGGCCGACTCGATGGTGTCGCCCTCTAGCCGCTGCGGGGGCGGGTGAGCCGACTCGCGCTCTGTCATCGTGCTGATGGCTGTGTCAAGGATAGTAATAATCAAAGTCAAAATCAAAATTATTTATTCCAACCATAAATAGGTACTTTTTAAACGTCAACATAAAATAGTAGTCTGTCAGTCTGTTCGTCAGTAAAGCTAGGTGCTCGTTACAAATTGTAGATTCGAATGGAGAAGAACGAGCAAGAAACTCCGCAATATATTTAAGAAATTTACTTATACTAATATTATTTTAATAGGTGAAATTTGTAAGATTGTATGTAGGGTGTAATTTTTGGCACTGCTGCTGGTAGGATTTCCAATATTATTTACTGATAGATAGCTACAATGTTCCTGGGTGTTATTTGCTATAAAACATCACCAAAAGAAGCTCTTAGTGCGTTACTTTTTTAGCTGTTTTGTTTTATTTGGGTAAGTAAAATCCCACAAGGTTGACTCAAATTCAATTTTTTTTGGTTACCTAAATCGTTACTACATCTTATGAACTCATGAAATAAAGTATGAAATATGAGCTTAGCATAAATGATATTATTTTCAAAAACGAAATAGATTTGAAATGTATTTTTGTTTATGAAATAAATATTTAAATTATATCGATACTCACCAGGGGTCTCAGCAAGTGTAGGGTTGAGTGTGCCAGGCTCCGCTGGCTGGGCGGGCCGGGACCCTTCCATTGGGGTCTCAGCTACAGACTCAGCGCTGCGAGACCTAACAGACAGCATTACACCACATATTAACTTAGGAAGGGTAGATAGTGGTAGATTTCATGCTGAGGAGAGACCGGGGTTGGTTATCATAGATGCCATAATAGACAACGAAAGAATTCGTTAGTTTCCTACGTGAAAAATAAATTATTTTGACCTTTCAATACAACGAATTATTAAAATATAATCATAATTTAATAATCAATTATTATTATAATTTTATAATCAATTAATTAAATATAATCATTTTCATTAATTTTAGTTTTTTGTAAGCTAACTGGAAATAATGACAGTATTCAATTTTAAAACTAGATGGAAAATACCACATTACGGATTTTTATCATCATATTAATAGCAAAAACTTTACACGTTTAGCCAGGTACCTGCAACCTGCAACCCGAGGCTTCCTTCAACTATCAAGTCCTCTATCTATATGTAGTAGGCTCATTGATACGAATATTCATTGGACTCAATGAATCACGCAATTCGTGTCTAAAGAAGTTTGATATCTTCGCGATTTTTCCCCTCCAGTCGCCAAAAATGTAAAAATCAACGCATGAGACAACCAACCCAGATTTCCTCAAAACAGAGGACACTAGTAAAAGTTAGGATGCGTTAATACAATTCAAATGCTTATTAAAAAAAGTTTTGTTTGTTTTACTTGTTACAAGTTTATTGATGTAATATTATTATGTATTATGTAACTTTAAGTTAGCTGTAAAAGTTATTTTTAGTAACAGTTAATAGGATTTTAGTCTAATAACTTCAGTTTCGTATTCAGTTAAAATGACAAGGCTCTTACATTGAGAGACAATTATCACACATAATGAAGTAATCAGCATTTTCAGTCAATGTTGATCAGTGAGCACGAGCACATTATTATGGTGTGAGTAATGGAAACGAAAGTAGCTGTCAGTAGGTTATATGGACTGAACGTCTATGCTTTTTTCTGAGGGGAAAATCATCAAATGACTTCCCCCGCCTATAGTAAGGCGAGAGGGAAAAAACACCCCCATTCTTTCTCCTGCTCTAGGCCGAGGCTGCGGTTCCTCATTGCGTTTACCCCGCAACCCCGCCTGAACATCAGCCCTATAGGGCCCCGTCTGTGGTGGTCTATTGGCTCTTTGCGGCGCGCGCGGAACGCTACGCGCCGTACGCTCGGGCCTGGTTCTGGTCGGGCGGCGAGCTACCCTTACTCGCCGACCGCAGGCCCGCGCTTACAGTGGCCGGAGATCACCTGCACGTTAATGTACCAGGCACTCTATTTTTACAGTGTGTGAGGTTAAACGAAGAACATATTAAAGAAACCGATTTTATGCCCAATCACACTTTTTCCATGGGACTAATATTCAAGTCTCAAAAATAAAGTTACATTTCCCCATACAAATGGCAAGAGCTGATTGATCATTTTGCTTTTGAGATTTCAATATTGGTCTTATTGAAAAATTTGTTTTATTATTTGAGCTCCAGGATCGGGTCCTTGAATATGTCTATCGTTTATCCTAACAGTGTACTATTTAGCTCAACATTTAACTATCAGCCTAGCTCCATATTAAAGTGTGAGTATGTTTATGTGAGTGCTATAGTATATAGTATAGTTATGATGTATAATTAGCTAGCGATGCACATGCGCGTATTGTAAATACCGCAGCCGTCCGCCTTTCTTCCTTCTGTCTGTTCCATTTGGTAATGTGTTTTCTTCTAGCTGTATTGGCGTTTGGTCGGGCTGCTGGCTGGGTGGATCAATAATAATCTTTATTTTAATTGATAAAAGGTTAGATTTTGTTTGAGCGTTTTTGTCAAAAAGTATATGGTGTAGGAGTTATTACTATAGTCAGAATTTTAATTCGATTCCTGATTTGACATGACCTATTGTCATTTTGTGAAATAATGATACCACATATAACAGTGTAGTGATGAACACAAAAATCGATAAACAATCAGTGAATCAGTTTCAGGGAGGCATTCAAAATATTACGGCTACCGTATGGTCTAAATGCATATCCCATATTGTCAAAGAAGAGGAAAAAATTAGTAAGCTAGATATGTTAATTGACAATAAAAATCACAGACACAATTCATAAAAAATGTTACAGAAAGTAACAGCGATAGCGATAGCAATGACGGCGACAATTTATAAAATTTCTGTTTTATTTGTCATGTTCCTTCATGATCACATTTTTTATTAATTTCACACACAATTACAAAAGAAAAGTCTCAGATCGTTAATTAGTTCTCAAAACTAAATTATCGGTTCAGAAATATTTTATTTCCTGATAAACTTAGTTTACGAGATTAGATTTATAAACGAGAGGAATCGATTCAGAAATATTCGATTTCCACATCGAATAATTTCGCAACGTCACTATTTATTACGTGTCATAACGTTGCAACACTGAAATTGTCAAATCTGGAATGGAATTAAAATTCTGAGTATAGGTACTTTGTTTAGAGTATTTTAGTTCATATTTTGTCCAAAAGTTTGAAAACTATTTAGTTTTGTTGTTGGGAGTTTTCATTTTGTAGTATAGCTGATTCTTTCATAGATAATGTAACTTTTAAATCACAGTTCTTAATCTCAATTATAATAAATTGTACAGAAAAATGGGATACGTCCCAAAAGTAGGTAGAACACAAGTAATAGTCCTTCAGAGCAGCCTTAAAAATATGTTACTTACTTGTGAGTCTCATAAGGTAACATTTTGTGATGTCGGGCGTGTAAAATTGATTTTACCTGGTCAAGTGTAGCCATGTGATTTTTATTAAGAAATAGGGAACCAACAGAAATTCTGTTGGTAAGCGATCAACGCCACCCAAAAACGTTGCCCCGCCTTACGACTTTCTCCTGTCTTGTAAGGATGCGTTTAAAACAGTTTGTGGAAGAAGAAGAAGACAAAGAGTTGTTCCGTGCGGGAATCGAACTCGCGCCACTTTGTGCGTCAGCCTGCCAACCAACATACCAAGTCTCTGTGTTGCAAAACTTTTGTGGAATAGGATGAAAAGAAAATAGACCTCTCATTGTCCCACTCATATGGCAGAACACAACGCTGTAGTTGTTTCACGACGGTGTCCTATGACATCGTGATATCACTCCGGTTTAACCGACACATTTTTTTATGGGGAGGTCGGCAAACAAGTTTACGGATAACTGGATAATAGGCAATACGAGTAGGTACCGGATATTTAAGGATTGGAAAGGAATGGGGGGAGAGGGAGGCGGGCCTCCGGTAACCTCAGCCACACGGTGAAACACAAGGCTGTGGTTGTTTCATGCCGGATTTCTGTGAGGCCGTGGTGGTATCACTCCGGTCGAGCCGACGCATTCGTGCGGATGCTTGGCTCTCCCACACTGTATTTCTGTATTAAGATTGGTATTTACCTGGGCAGCGCGACCTTATGGTGCAGCTGTCCCTTGGCCCGCCCGGCGGCGAGGGAGCGCGCGATGGCGGAGTGTTCGTGCGGCAAGTTGGCCAGGTTGTGGAACACGGCGCGCTTGCGGATTATTGTGTACACCAGGTTCGAGTTACCTGACGGATATACCACATTTTAATTATTTCAGCCATTCTTACAAAACCTTAATTGGTAATTAGCATCTACAAATGTAACGGTGATGGTGACAATTTGGTAGTTTCCTGGGTGAAAAATAAATTACTTTACCTTTCCAACGCGATTATTATTTTTTTAATATTTTTAAATATTTCATTCATTCATTGATTTGACCATATACTTAATTTTATATCTTTTCTAGATAACTTTTTAAATAGGTATCCTATTTGCCGTCACAATAAAAGTACTTAATTTGACTAGTTGGAAACTACCGGATTGGATAAATTCAATGAATATCTTGAAATATCAAAAAGGATATATTTCTCTGAAGTACGTACAGGTTGTTGTACTTTCGCTCTTAAACTCACTAGATTTAAATACGAAATCAATAACCAAAGCATTTTTTTTTTATGAGAATAATTTTGTAAATTGAAACAATTAATATCATGCGTTTTTTCATCCCTAATGGCTAATTAAATACGGCTAATAATACGGCTAATAATACTTAATTTTTTATTTCAATTCATATCTAATTATAAAAGAAAGTAAAAAAATATTGACTTACCATCAAACTGGTACTGGATCATGTTATTGAACATCTCCAGCAGGAAGAACACGAGATGGTGATGGTGAGGCTGCGAGAACAGGAACCAGGGAGTACTGAACGCCTCCAGCAGGTGCAGCAACTTGGTCGACGCCACCATCGACAGCGTCTTCAGGTACGGAGACACTGGGTGGACGGACAGTACAACATTTACTTATATACAAGTAGTACAACACAATTATTAGGACATAGTATGATGTAGTATACTATGTGAGAGTAACTTTACCGGGAGCCCAATCTTCAAATACCTAAGCCCCCGAAAAGCTAGCAACGTACTTGTAGCTTCTCGATGTTTCGGGTGTCCATGGCGGCGTCAATCGCTTTCTATTAGATAACCCAAAAGCAGACTTTTATTGCCGAATTACCCAATAAAGTAAAATCACTATATATCACACACACACACATAACACCTCTCTTTTTCCGTCGGGAGTTAAAAACAAAGTCTCCTTCTTTGTCCTTATATATCTCTATGTATGCTTAAATCTTTGCAACTACGCAACGGATTTTGATGCGTTTTTTATAGAGTGATTGAAGTTTTTAAATAAGTATATGAAGGCACCGCGGTGTTGGTACAAACATCAACATCCCGATCAACGTCTTCACAGTCCATCGTAGGGCGTAGGATTTTACAATCAAACCGAATAAATTACAAAAATAACGGACGTCGGCGATCCGCCTCCTGTGACAGTCACAGCGCTTGCTCTCAACCATAATGCGCACGCAGAACTATCTGTTTGACGTTCCGCCAGAGTACGATTCGTTGCACTCTAGTCCGATAAATTGTGTTAAAAGCTCCTTCAAAATTCAATTTAAATAATCGACGCGCCGTCATTAACGTTTAAATACGTTAAATAGTTGAGAAGTTTACACACGTGCACGTGCGAAGCTGGTGTGTGTTCCTAGTACAGATTAAAAATCTTACCATTGACAAGTATAGTAAGCAAACAATCGAAGAGTGGCTGCAGTCTCTGATGTCCAGTCGTGATGATCTTGTGGAAGACCACGACCAGCAGGTCGGCGTGGGAGCCCGTGAACACCGGGATGTCCATCGGAACCGTCGCCGTGTACGGCTTGTTCAGCCGGACGCCCAGGTTGCGCTCCCCGGATAGAAGGAGCAGGATGAATACGCCAATGTGCATTAGACCGACGCGGGCTAAGGATGGCAGAAAAAAAAATATAATAAGATGCAATCTAACATTTTTTCTGACAATTAAACCTAACTCAATTGGTTTTTCGTAATCCTAAAATCCTTTACATACAAAATTTCATCGGTATCATTAGAGCAGTTTCCGAGATGTCAATAGATTCAAGATTACATGCAATTTAAAATATACTACCTCAATGACTGAGATTGGGTCTGTTGATTTCTGACAGTGAAACCTAATTGGTGTTTCGTCCTCAAAACCATTTACATACAAAATTCATCAAAATCGTCAATGCCGTTTCCGAGATCGAGTAACAAACATTAAAGAAATAACTTACATTGGTCGGCGCGTGAGTCGTTGAGATGATACAGTATGGGCACCAACACTTCTAGCACATCGCTGCTCTTTAGCACGTAGTACATGAATTTCTGAAATAAAATCATTATTTGTTAATTCGATAACTAAATGGTATATTTCTTAGTGATTGTGGACGGGTAAAAGGCTGCTGTACAATGCGTCGGAAGACAACAACTCTTTGTGTGATCCTCAAATTATTGTTCCGGATCTGAGAAATTGTATGTTTCTGAACGCACACACGACACTGGACAAAATCCTAGTGATTCAGTTCATTATTCATAGCAGACTGTCTATGGAAGCAATCAATTTTGACTCGACTTCAAGTAAACAATTATAGCTTTTTAATTTGGAATTTGTATGATATAGCCAACTTAGTGATTCTATAATCCTATACGTTCAAAAATTCAATTTCAAAATAAAGCGATTCTCACTCCATTACACGGTCCATAACAAAGCTGGCGAAAAACGAATAGTAGGTAGTGCTGCAAATGGAATGACGGATTACCTGATGGTAAGCAATCAGTCCCGCCCTTCGTCGGACACTTGTAACACCAGAACAGGTACAAGTGCGTCGCTAAGCTTTTGAGGATTAGAGTTTTGGAGGTTTGGGTTTTGAGATTAGGAAGGTATGAGGGGATGGGGAGGCTTTGCCTCTGGTAACCTCACTCGCACGGCGAAACACAACGCTGTTATGTTTTTTATGTGATAGGTCGGCAAATTAGCGAACTGATTACCTGATGGTGAGCTATCGACGCCGTCCATGGACACACGCAACATCAAAGTCAAAAGATTTGAAAATTAAGGATTGGGAAGGGATGGGGGAGGAGGAGGGATTGGGTCCTCCGGTAACCTCATTTACACAGCGAAACACAACGGTGTGGTAATTTCATGTCGGTTTTCTGTGAGGCCGCCATTTGTGCCGAAGCATGGCTCTCCCACACTTAAACACTTATTTGATGAACAAACCTTATTATAGTCACACATCTTCCAGAACAGCACCAACAACTCCTGATGCAGGTTGACCTTCTTAGCGGAGTTTGGCAAGTATGTCTGAGCTAACGGGTTGTTGAGGAGTCGGGTCACTCCTCGAAGAATGAACTGGAAGTCTTCATCACGGTGGATGCGGGACAGGTAGTTGATGAAGAGGTTGTCTGGTAGCGTCTGAAAATGGTGATGTTAAAAGTATAAAGAGTATAATTTTTGTATCGATTTCAATGAAGTTTGGTATAGAGATAGATGATATTTATTGAAGCCCATTATTGGCTTCTTTTGTGAAGAAGATTTAAAGTTATAAGTTAAAGACTTCTTTTTTTAACTTATAACTTAAAATCTACTTCGTAAGTACCTACTAAGTTGAATTGAAAAGATGTTGGTTCTTCGATAATACGTTTATGATGTGAATATGATTATATTAGACTTACTACAACGTAACAATGCATTATTTACAAAGTTGCTCAAAAGTAGAACAACGTAAGGTCCTGTTAGTAGAATTCAGGATTCCCTTATATCAAAATACTGGAATTAAAATTGGAATTAAATTTGGAAAGTAGAAATAATAAGCATTTATAAATAAGACCTCTCTTTTGAGGAGGGAAAACTCAAATGTACACGTCGCCCAACCCAATGCGAGGGTTAGAGCCAGACTTACTGACTAAAACCACCCAGTTCCTTCTCCTGCTTTCCTGGCCAAAGCCACTGTACATTACTGCGCAAAATATGACCTCGCGACATTAGCGCCATCTTGTAAGCGCAAAACGTTAGACATTATCGCATTCTTTTTTTCTATATGACGATTGTTACTACATACCTCATCCGACTCTTCATTGACAGCGTTGCTTGTATCATGGTCCAGAGTGACGATTAGTACTTGAAGAGCGACCTGCAACAAACAAACAAAACAAATTATCGGAATTATATAATTACAAGCTGCTTTTTTGTATCAAATAAAAGAATTGTTATTCGTAAGGTTGGGATCCATAGCATTTGTATTCTTCGCTATTACGGAAACACGGATAGTAATTTGTCACATTGTGCCTCGGCTATATGACTGTATATCTTGTGGTTTAAAGAATCTGAGTGTGGGAGAGCCACGCTTCGGCACGAATGAAAATCGACGTTTGCCGACGGTTGCCGGAGGCACAATCCCTCCATCCAACCCTTAAATCTCCTAAAACCCTAATCCCAAAAAGGCCAGCAAGGCACTCGTAAGTCGGCATAGCGTGCTCCATGAGTAACACCGAATGCTTACCATCAGGTAATCCGTAAGCTTGTTTGCCGACCTATCACATAATAATAAAATCTATAGTTAATACTGTTCGCTCGGCTACATGATTGTCAATCTTGTTGCTAAGATAGTAAAAACTAAAATCAATATAAGCTCAGACACTGACCTCAACAAGCGGCTCCAGTGTGTCGGCGAAGAGGAGATGGTTGTACGGCAGGCCGAGCCCCACAGGGTCGTAGGAACACACCGTGTTGACCAGCGACGTGAATAGGGGCAGCGCGTGACGATTGTCCGGGCTGGTCAGGTACCTGTGACACAGAAGATACACGATTAGAATAGTAATACATTCTACTTAAGTGGTTTTCATATAAATACGACGTCTTCATATTTCGATAGATAGCCCAACACACAATATTTTAATTTATATTTTCTGTTTGTCCATGTCCATTCTCGGAACCACACGGTCCCGGAACTTTGGAAGCCGTACGAGGGGCCGGAGTCAACAAGCAGAAAGGCTAGCTCGGCCCTTTGAAAAACTTTAATATGAGTGAAATGGGACATCAGCCGGCTGTTATCCATATATGCACTATAAAAGTGCACCCAAGGACAATCCCCGGTTGATGCAAGACTATTGTGCAATATGGTATTTTCTGTTTATTTTTAAGAACCTCCTACTTGGATTTTTTCCTGTGCCGACGTTTATAAACATAGAATTTTAAAAATCACACCCAGACGTGGGTGTTTTTTGGTTATTTTAAGGCAATTTATCCAAAACAGCAGATCTGGAAATCACTAGGGTGCAGTCTATCTCTGTTTTATTCAGCTAAAGAAGATTTCAACTTTTTTTTTGCTGATACGGTGATAAAGATAACAAAAACAATTTAAAGTAAAAACAAGTTTAAAACTCACGCGATCCACTTATTGTGATGCGAGGCGGCATGTGAGGCGGGCTTGTAGATGGTCTCGCTGAAGCAGGTCAGCATAAGTCGGAGGAGCTCCGTGCGCGCCGCTTCATGCGCCGCCACGCGCGCCGGAGACCGCGCGAACCCCACGCCCCCGGCCCAAATATACTCACAACTATCTAAGGAAGATAGTTCTTCGGCACGCTCCTATGAAGATAGAGATAAAGATAATTTTATTTTGCAAAGATAAATCTATATGAATATTATAAAGCTATACATATAAAGATTAATCATGACGCAACAGTATCATAATTATTCCCCAGGTAAGTTTATTCTAACCAATGAAAAATCAGCCTTTATTTCATCACCGGCTATTTTTTATACCCCATAAAAAATAGCCGGTGATGCGGGTTAAACGCAATGAGTCACCGCGGCCTCAGCCCAGAGCAGGTGAAAGAACGGAGGGGTTTTGTGTCAGTAGAATTTCTCCTGACAAAAAAGTTGTATAAAATAGCCGGTAGCCAAATCTCAGACTTCTTGAATACATAAAGAAAATTTTAGTTAAATAAATAATTAAAATTTTTATAAACATCTGTAAAGCCGTTTCGGTTGAGTAAGGTAACTAACATTGTGACACGAGAATTTTATATATTAGATAAGTGTACCAGGTTATGTTTGCATTACATACAATATGCCAAAGTATGACCTTCACGGCGCATTGTTTTAACAGTTCGGGCCTCGACTACACGACATATTCAGTGAACACTGAGTACACTAATCGTTTTCATACCAATCTCGAATACATTAGTAATTTAAGGAACAATTAATTATTTGTCTACCATTCAGTATCTAAGTGCCTACGTTATTTTATTAATGTGACTAATGGCATCTCTAGTCTCTATTACAGTACCAGTAGTATTTAGGTTATGTAGGTACATTATCGCCTGTTATAATTTATTAATTTTAACTAGCGACCTGCCTCGGCCTCTCGCGGGTGCAAAGTCGATAGTAAATTTCTCCACTATTTAAAGAATGGCATGTACCTTTATCTTCTATCACACTATATATATAAAACCAGCTACTCTCGCGTGGTTTCACCCGCTGTTCAGCCCCATTTGATCGTAGCGTGATGTTTTATAGCCTATACACTCAGGAACATTGTAGCTATCTATCAGTGAAAGAATTTTGGCAATCTGACCAGCTGTTCCAAAGATTACCCCCTACATACAAACTTACAAATTTTACCTCTTTATAATATTAGTATAGATATACATCATCAAAATCAGTTGCGTAGTTTTAAAGATTAAAGCGCATAATATCCCTTTGTTATAGGGGCACAGAAAGCTATTGTTTTATACTGTAGTGATGTAGAAAGTAGTAGGAAGTATAGAAAATTAAATAAGTATAGGCAAGCCAGATGCTGAAGCACGTACAACACGAATGGGTCGGCTCAACCAGAGTGATACCACGGCCTTACAGAAAACTGGCGTGAAACAAACACAGCGTTGTCTTCTACTGTGTGACTAAGGTTACTGGAGGCCCAAAATCGATTAAAAACCAGTATCCAACCCTCATCTAGATAGTCGTCCAAGCTACCGGCGGTTATGGCTCCAGAGAGATAAACCTCCTCATAATGCGTGCTGTTTCAAGGAAAATTGCCTGCCTATCAGTACCTTGATCCGCCCTACGCTAGCCTCCATGGTTGGTTGGCAAAGGATTTCTTTATGATAATTATTTATATAAAATTGTTATTAAATACTTATTCCTTTTCCAACGAGTTTATAAACGGAAAAGGAGAAGGGAGAAGTGTACCTTTAGGAGAAGAATGAAGGAAATTATTTATTTAGTCTCAACTCAACTCAAGGTAACAAAAAGCATTTAAAAATAGGCCAAAGAAGACCTATCTGTCTATAACAATATTTATAGAAAACCATTTAATTAATATCTATTGAACAGTAAAAAATAATGTTTAAGTGTAATAAATAACTTTATTTTTGTTTTTTTTTTTTTTTCGTTTTTCTTTTAAGATTAGTGTCATATGAAATCATAGAAAAAATTTTTTTTTAGATTATTTGTATAATGCGAAGCTGAATTTTTCTAGCATTTTTACTAAAATATATTCCTATTATCATTCCTTTATTGAATTGCATCATATTAATACCATGCAAACGTTTAGTAACCGTCTAACGGTCTTACTAATAAAGTTCGGTTACGCACTTGTTTAACACTTTGATAGCTATTCATTGAATAGGGAGTTAGTAATACTTTATACAAGTCATTACCAATAAACAATGCGTATACCTTGAATAACTATTTATTCCTTATACTGCTGATTGCTAGCAACATTGATGAAAGCGTTCCGAAACTTCCGAACAGAAACACTTCTTGACAATATTCTTGTATTATTATAATTATTTAATTATAATAATCAATAAAATACTTGATTTTGTAAAACAAAAAGAAGGTTTTAGGTTTTTAATTTAGTTTTAAAATATTAATTTATCAATTCTTTGCGAAACATTTTTGATAAAAATGTTGATATTTCGAATGTACCTAATCAATGTCAAATACATATTTGACACAAATTAGAGTCGTGGCATTAGAATTATACTTCGATAACCCAATTAGGTACTGAAAATATTCGTAACAGCTTTTAATAATAGGTGTTATACCTATTACTGAATATCAAGCTAATATTAGGGCAGCTGATCTTATATTCCTTTACCTATAATTGATGTGAAATAATGTTATAAGTATTGAGATACATTATCTCCACGGCCAACAATTTTAAAACTTCACAATCTCCTTCAAAATTTCGGTTTATATCGCCATCATACCCCATCTTCTGGTTAGTCAACTGCCAATCAGCTGGTTCTCACCAGTAGACATGTGAAATTAAATTAGTTTATCCTAATATATCAATGAACGAACAAATAAATAAGTATTACAAATATTGTATTCGTAATACGTATCTGTATCTATTACAGATATTTCGTCACACTTCTATGCCACGTATTAATTTTTATCCTATGCTTGATGCTTGATGTTGTGAATATAAATATCAATCATCATCAGCCTATAAGTGCTCACTGCTGAGAAAAGGCCTCTTTTAATACTGAGAAGGTTTGAGCATTAATCACTACGCTTGCTCAATGCGGGTTGGCGATTACAAACTTACAATTGAATGAATATAAATATGTTCTAGTAAAAATAGAAAAGATTATGTTTATTTGGAAATAGTAATGCGATTGTTGTTTTGCCTTTTTAGGAATAACAACCTGGTTGTACCGACAAATATAAAAATACACACTGGATGTTTGATTTTATTAAATATGCCTTATTCAAGCAATCACATTTCTAAAGTAACAAATTCTGCGATATGCGACACGACTTGCCAATACGATAGATACTCTGCGACACACATTTGTAATAGATTACTGACTTATTCCATGAATATCAGCTGCATCGGCTTGATCTTTTGTCGTGTAAAGGCAGGGCTCTAAAGCTATGCAGGCATGGATTTCTGCTGGGGGACCCTTAGTCCTATGCTGTACCTATATCATGAGATAGCAGATAACCAAATTCCATATTGTGTTTCTTTGAAAATTTATATTTTCTTTATAAACTCTGCACCTTCTAATGAAAATATCATCGTTAGGATCATTGCGAAATTAATTTTCTTTCTTTTTTGTTGATTTTTCGGATTTCACAATCACTAAACACATTTTAGCAAAATAATGTAAAATCAATTTTATGAGTCTGACAGTTAAAATACGAAAATGATCGCTTATTCACACGTTATACTAGGTCCACGGGCTGAATAAGTCTTGTCTAACATTTCATACAATTTTGACAATGGTTATAACAGCTGTATACGCGGGAAATGTCAAAAATTGATTATTAGTAATGAGTCTGCTATACCTCTGTTATAAGATGTGTGTAATTTTTTATTAGTAAGGGGGTAAAGCTGTGGCTTAAGCTTTGCAACAACTGTTATTGACGTTGTCATGGCAACCGTGAACGATCCAATATGGTGTCACTCCGCTCTAGTGAGCACGCAAATGATAAAACACGAAGATAACAGATACGCTGTGGGAATATTAGTTAAATAGGTTCATGTCGCACCCACATAATAACGTCGATAGATAATACGGTAGTTTCCAACTAGTCAAATTCAATACTTTTATCCAAACGTCAAAAACTATACTTTTCTATGAAATTTGTATGAAAAACTGAGCTATGACGTCATAACATTTTTGCGTCAAATAGCTTACTTATTTCCCAATAATTAGCTAAAAAAAATCTAAAACTTGGCGTATCGATCGATCGATGAATAAAAGTTTAGTTATTTTTCAATATTTTATAGTATTGAAACATCGAATTAATTTATTTTTGACCTAGGAAACTACCCCATTGAATACTTAGCACAATGTTTTTCTACATAAAACAAAATACCTATCGATAATAAATTTATCACTGTGTATGCTTAAATATTTAGACCTACGCAACGGATTTTGTCGATTGAATAGGAAAGTTTAATGTTTAATAACATCCATTATTGTGGAGTAATTTAGTATTAGCATTGCATCAAATAATAATAAATTACGATAACAACTACCCACACTGAAACAAACTTCTGCCTACGTGTTCAAGAAATAAGGATATGACGTCATTAAGGCTTGTTCATCATAGTAACTATAAAGCTAATTTTAATATAGGAGCAATAAGAATCAATTTGTGCTCCGTCCCCATACCCTAGAGACAAAAAGCAACGAGAGATCGATATTGAATCTTATGTATGCTACAATGAAGCCTAAATTGAATTGACATCATAAGAATTCGCGTTTGTCATCTAAACAGTGAATTATTAGCTATAGTTATCGTGTAATAATCGATTTCTATCGATTATAAACTTTAAAAATAGGTCATATGGAAATTTAGGGTTATATTATATTTAAGTTATACGTGTAGGAGAGCCATGCTTCGGCACGAATGGGTCGGCTCGACCGGAGTGATACCACGGCCTCACAGAATACCGGCGTGAAACAACCTACAGCGTTGTGTTTCGCCGTGTCAGTGAGGTTACCGGAGGCCCAATCCCTCCCCTTCCCCTATCCATTCCCGATCCTTATATCAACAACCCCTATCCCCAAAAGGCCGGCAACGAACTCGTAACTCCTTTGGTGTTGCGGGGGTCCATGGGCGGCGCCAATTGCTTACCATCAGGTAATCCGTATGCTCGTTTGCCGTATACCATAAAAAAAAATTCTTGAACATACATAGCTTAGTATATGCTATACTAAGCTTAAATGTGGCAGAGCCACGAATGGGACGGCTCGACCAGAGTGATACCACGGTCTCACAGAAAACCGGAGTGAAATAACGCCAGTGTCGTGTTTCGTCATGTAGGTGAGGTTACCAAAGGCATCCCTTCCTAATACTCAGCACCAATTGTTTACCATCAGGTAATCCATCCAATCATTTGCCGAGCAATCTCAAAAAGTAAAACATAGACGCAGAAACTTTAGCTCAACATATAAAAACTACACTTAGCAACGCAATGGCGTTATGCTACATAAAAAATGCATTTTCTTGACGATAAAAAAAAAGTATTTGTACAAGTTCAGTCATGTAAGTTAAGTGGTTTGTGTGGCGTTGGACAAATATTGCAACAACTAGATTAGTCCATTAAGCCTTACCAGTTATTCAAAATAGACTACAATCTCTTTGAGTTTAATTTCAATCTTATTCTATCGTGATAAGGATTAGAAATTTAACAGATGCAATGTAGTATAACAGTAAGAAAGATTAGGCAATATCCTTAGTCAAAAAAACTTAAACTCTTCAAAATATTGACAAATAATCAAATTACCGATATACTTTAATTTTCCGTTTTTGCTATCATATTTTAAGAAATAAGTGCTAATAATGCTATTAGACGCAAATATTATGACGTCATTTTTTTTATGAACTGACAGGACGGTAAACGTACGTACGGATTACCTGATGGTAAGCAATCGGCGCCGCCCATGGACACCCGCAACACCAAAGAAGTTACCAGTACGTTGCCGGGCTTTTGGGGATAAGGGTTGCGGATATAAGGATTATGAAGGGATAGGGTAGGGGGAGGGATTATCGATGGTGAGCGATCAGCGTCGCCGAAGTTATAAGTGCGTTGTAGCCTTTTATGGATTTGGGTTTCGGACATATAGGCACTAAGGGCGAGATTGGGGGAGGAAAGAAGGATTGGGCCTCCGTCATAAGTTGCAATTTTATACAAATAGAAGTATCGTTTTTGTCTTGACGTTTAAATAAATGTATTGAATTTGACTATTCGGAAACTACCGTAGTAGTACCTTACAGGTCGTACGTAACGCAAAGTAAATTGAATTATGATAATCCACCTGAACAAAGATCCCCGAAGGGCCTCAGCGAGGCAGGGGTTGCGTCGCGGCTCGGTTCGGAGAGATCGCCGTGGTGGGCGTGTACTTCTCTCCGAACCGAACTCTCGTCGAGTTCCACAACTCCCTCAGGGAGTTAGTCACCGTCGTCGTCGGGTTCCGTCCCCTCCCCGTGTTGGTCCTCGGGGACTTCAATGCCAAGAATTTGGCTTGGGGTTCCCGGCTCACTGATGTCCGGGGAAGGATGGTCGAAGACTGGGCTCTGGAGACAGGCCTAGTCGTGCTGAACCGGGGTTCTGTCCCCACGTGCGTACGGATGCGGGGCGAGTCAGTGGTGGACATTTCGTTTGCTAGCCCCGCTCTGTCATCGCGCGTTGTTGACTGGCGCGTCATGGAGGAGGTGGAGACGTTTTCGGACCACCGGTATATACGGTTCGACGTCTCCGCCGAGTCCGCAGACCCGCCAGTCAGACGGGCCCCGTGTGGCCCGCGTTGGGCGCTTAGGCAACTGGACCGGGAGCTTTTCCTGGAAGCCGCAGTCGTGCAGGCCTGGGTGATACCACCGGTCAGGCCAGCCGACATTAACGAGGAGGCGAGATGGCTCCAGGACGCCATGTCAAGGATGTGCGACGTGGCGATGCCCCGGATCCGACCGTGCCAACGCAAGCGCCAGGTGTATTGGTGGTCGCAGGAATTGGCAGACCTGCGCGGTGAGTGCACCGCAGCGCGACGCCGATACACCAGGCACCGCAGGCTCCGTCTCCGCCCTCTGGACGCTGAAACCAGAGAGGCGGAGCTATACGAGGAGTACAGGGCGGCGAAGGCCACCCTCAGGGTGGAGATCCGGCGGGCCAAAGATCGGGCCCGCGAGGAGATGTTGGAGACTCTGAACAGAGACCCGTGGGGACGCCCCTACCGGATGGTGCGTGATAAGCTCCGCACCTGGGCGCCCCCACTGACTCAGAGTCTCCGGCCGGAGGTCGTGGACGAAGTGGTTGGGGCGCTATTCCCCCGACCACAGATGGGTTACACGCCTCCGGCTATGCCCCCGCCCCCTGCGGTGCCCAATGCGGGCTACATCGACGACGACGACGAATCCGCTCCGGAAGTGACCGAGGTAGATTTGAGAGTGGCGGTGCGCCGGCTGAGCGGCAAGAATACCGCCCCAGGACCTGACGGGCTGCATGCCAAGATCTGGGTCCTGGCCTCGGAGGCTCTCAGGCCTCGACTACTTGGTCTGTTCAGCGCATGTTTGGAGAGAGGCCAGTTTCCGCTGTCGTGGAAGACGAGTAAACTGGTCCTCGTGAAGAAGCCGGGGCGTCCTGCGGACTCCCCGTCCGCGTACCGGCCCATTGTGCTGCTCGACGAGGTGGGAAAGCTGTTCGAGAGGATAATCTCAGACCGCCTCGTCGGGCACCTGTCTGAAAGGGGGCCGGATTTAGCGGACGGCCAGTTCGGCTTCCGCAGAGGGCGCTCCACGGTGGACGCCATCATGCGCGTGAGGGACCTCACGACGGGGACAGCGTTGGCCGGGAGGCGAGTCGTCGTGGCGGTGTCTCTGGACATCGCCAACGCCTTTAACTCGTTGCCCTGGAGCTGCATTTTGGAGGCACTCCGGTATCACCGGGTGCCTGCCTATCTCCGTCGTGTAGTCGAGGCTTACTTGACGGACAGATGCGTCATCTACCCCGGTCACCGGGGCGTGTGGAATCGGCGAGAGGTGTCGCGCGGTGTCCCACAGGGATCGGTCCTGGGACCTCTCCTGTGGAACATCGGGTACGATTGGGTGCTACGCACCGACCTCCCGAGCGGCGTCAGCATTGTCTGTTATGCTGACGACACGCTGGTGCTGGCGAACGGGAGGTCGCATCAGGCGGCGGCCGACCTGATGTCACAAGCGGTTGCGACAGTCGTTGCAAGGATCCGGCAGTTGGGACTCGAGGTGGCGCTCCACAAGTCCGAGGCCATGTGCTTCTATGGCCGTCGGAGCGCGCCACCTCCAGGTGGGTCCCAAATAACGGCAGGAGGAGTTACCATCGGCGTCGAGTCGGCGATGAAGTACCTGGGTCTCGTCCTCGACAGCCGATGGAACTTCACGGAGCATTTTCGTCGTTTGGCCCCTAAGCTAGAACGGTCTGGGGCCGCGCTCAAGCGGCTCCTTCCCAACCTCGGGGGGCCAAACGCCTCCTGCCGGAGGTTGTATATGGGGATTGTGCGATCCATGGCCCTCTACGGTGCCCCTGTGTGGGCGCCGGCCTTGAAGCGGCGGCCGGCTCGTACGCTGGTCGCGTCCCAGAGGGTCATGGCTATTCGAGTAATCCGCGGGTATCGCACGATCTCCGGGGAGGCGGCGAACCTCCTTGCCGGATCACCACCGTGGGATCTAGAAGCGAAGGCGCTCGCGCGCGTCTACAGTTTGCGCGCAGACGCGCGTCGCCGGGGCGAAGATCCTCTGCCGCGCCAAATTAGTGCGTGGCGGAATGAGCTCCGGCGAGATCTCATGGCAGAGTGGAAACAACGACTGTCGCAACCGAGGGCCGGGCACGCTACCATAGCAGCGGTAAGACCCCTCTTGGAGGAGTGGCTTGAGAGACGCCACGGCGTCCTCACCTTCCGCCTGACGCAGGTGCTTACCGGGCACGGCAGCTTCGGTAGGTTCCTGTTTCGGATTCAGCGGGAGGAAACGCCCGAGTGTCGTCATTGTGAGGACCACCTAGAGGATACGGTGGAGCATACGGTAGCGGTATGCCCTGCCTGGGCTGAGCACCGCCATATCCTCAGGGAAGTGATCGGCGGCGGCGACCTCTCGCGCCCGGCCTTAGTCGAGGCCATGGTGCGGAGTGAGAGGAACTGGGACGCCGTCTCCTCCTTTTGTGAAGCAGTCATGCTCGCAAAGAGAGAGGCGGCCCGCGTGAGGGAGCAATCCTCCTCCTCACGCCCCAGCAGCCGCAACTGGCGACACTACGGGCGTCGGGGATCGAGGGACGATCTCCGGCCACCGTAAGTACGGGCGAGTAAGGGCAGCTCGCCGCCCGACCAGAACCAGGCCCGAGCGTACGGCGCGTAGCGTTCCGCGCGCGCCTCAAAGAGCCAATAGACCACCACAGACGGGGCCCTAAAGGGCTGATGTTCAGCCGGGGTTGCGGGGTAAGCGCAATAAGGTACCGCGACCTCGGCACAGAGCAGGAGAAGGAACAGGGGGGTTTTTAGTCAGTAAGAGTCTGACACTCCCTCCTGCCCGGCCCTGGGCGGGAGAAGTCATTTGATGATTTTCCCCTCACAAAAAAAAAAAAAAAACCTGAACAAAGATAAGTACATTGCAAGTTAATAATAAAAAGCTTCTAATAATAAAGAAGCTTGTAAAAACTAATTTGTTACTTTAAAAGTACTTATCTATATATATAAAAAAATCAATGCCACTTTTCGTTGTAATGTTATAACTCAACAATGCCTATACCGATTTGGCTAATTTTGGTCTTGAATTATTCGTGGAAGTCCAGATAAGGTTTATACCTATGTACATAGCAAAAATTTGAAGAAACTTGGAAATGTGTAAATTCGACATCCACGCGGAGCCGTGGGCGACCGCTAGTAATAAATAATTAGGTACGTGGAATAACTGAAACAGATTCTAAATTTCACAATGATAATAATATCATTTTCAACTGTAAAACAAAGCAATAAGGCTGAAATTCAAGTAGGATCTTTGTTCTAATATACCTAAGCCTATTTTGAACAACACAATGATTAGATAAGTATTATTATCAATGGATCAATACTTACAGGACCTGCTCGCTTCGTTGTGGTCACCGTGAAGTCTGGGCAGAATAGTAGATCCTGTGCATAAATGAATAGGGTTTTATTTTCAGTGACAGTAATTTTGTGAGGTTTAATTTTCAATATTTTTTTTTAATTTATTTAAAAAAACGTTGCCCCACTTTAGGATTTTCTCCTGTGTTGTGTGTGCGTTTACAAACATACAATGTCACATACCTACACATGACACCCAGACCCGAAACAACAATTTGTGGATCTCACAAAGTGTTGTTCCGTGCGGGAATCGAACCCGCGACACGTTGCACGGCAGGCAGTTGCCCAGCCACCGCACCAACCGTGCAGTCAATTGTATTTGGGCTACCCTGTTCGTGTTAACAGAAGCCGATTAAGGGATCTCGGACTACCGTGTCGGGTAAAACGCTGCTTTGGTTATTTGTGTTATGCAGAAGTTCCTCAACTCAAGAACATATTTGATGAAAAAATTGCTACATGTTTGGAGTTAAAAAACGTGTCAGTATACTGACACGCCTCGTATCCCCCAAATTATAGGCAGAGACGTTATAATGGCGGATTATGTCACATAAATATTATTCTTTCTACGTCCTCTTTTGACTAGGTACGCAGGAAGACACGTGTGGGGTGACTCTATTGTCAAATACCCGGCATGATTCTAGACTCCATGCTAAGCCGGAATAATCCAATAATACTTTACCAAATCTAATGAGTTTGGAATCAAACCTGCTACTCGTAACTTGGAAGTCACAAATTTTGACCACTCAACCAAGGAGGCATTTCTTGTTTTAGCGCAAAAAAAGATAATTTACAAACTCATACCAGTCACCTAGGTAACCAATACAAAAATCAATAGAACCCAATGATGTATAAAACTATAACTATAACGAAATGAAGGCAATTGACAACATCGCGCTTAGTTACGCACCAACCTGCCGCGCGACGCTACGTTTGTTTTTAATTTATATTGTGTGTGTAAACCTGTGCGAAACATAAAGAAAGCATGTCGTCGTGTGTGTTCAGACGATGTACAAATTATACTCCAAAAGTTAAAGACAAAAATGTGTCATTTCATGCGTAAGCTCACCAAATAATCTATTTTTATTTTATTTTTTTCGACGCCGCCCGGCGCCGCCATCTTATGGCGGCCGGCGCATGAAGGTATAGTCACGTGCCGTCGGTATAACTGAAGATGTATATTTATCTCCCTCTAGCAAAGGCATTCCACTATACGATGTCATATTTTCTTTCCCTTTCTTTACTCGTAGAAGTAGTTATCTAATATTTTCGCCGTTTTTAAGCGCCGCGATGTTGGTTCATGACGTGTCTATATATAATACGTCATTGATAGAACCATTTAAATTGTAAAACAGATACGAACATAGATAAGATACTCACACAGACAGCGTTGATAAGTGACTGGGCTAATGGCACTGACTCATTCTCCGCAGCTGCAGGTAATGATGACCAGAAGAAACCATGCCATTCTGGTTCCTCCAACATGTACGGTAACACTCTTGTGAGGAGACGAGCGCAGTTTAATGCTGTAGAAAGTGATAGGTAAATATTAAGACTGCAATTTAAATAGTAGACTGCATTTTAATAAGTAGAGCCAAGCTTCGACACTAATGAGTCAGTTCAACAGGAGTGATACCACAGCTTCAAAGAAGTCCGGCGTGAAACAACCACAGCGTTATGACTCGCTGTGTGAATGAGGTTACCGGAGGCCCAATCCTTCCCTCCCCCAATCCCAAAATCTACTAATCCCTTAACTCCAGTCAGCAAGAGACTCGTAACTCCTCCATTACAATAAAATATTAAAAAAATGTGATAAGCTGGCAAACGGATAACGTAATGGTACGCAATCCCCGCCGCCCATTGACACCCGTAACAAAGAGGAGTTACAGAGGACAACATTGGAGGAGGGGAAGGATTTCACCTAAATAAAGGTCAGTCTGAAATAAGTGTCAATCACTCCTACTTTTCCTCCTACATTTTAATTGACTGTTCAACTGACTGCTGCCCAATGTGTTGAGGGCATGGAACAGCACAGTTGTGTCATTTGTATATGTAGATTACATTCTCTTTTTTTAGCAGAGAATATTTTTAGATTTCTGTTTTTTTTTTATAATCTTAATAAGCATCTTCTTTCTTCTCTTTTAAGTTCTTTAGATTAAGGAGATTGATATTGTGCTTTGTGTATGGCATAATGATCATTTGTTGGTATTCTGAAGTTTTGTATGCATTTAATTTCAAAATTATTCTGTCCTGATTGACAAAATTTGATAACAAGTACTTGTATATTAATGTACATTTTTAAATAGATTATTGATAGCTGAAAATATAAAAAATGATAATAATGTTTACAATGTTATTTTAATGACAACATAAGGGATTTTAGAGTCCTTCTCTATGTAATACAAATATTAAAAAATCTTCCTAAGGAATGAGATTAGCCTTCAAAATCATTACTGCCTCAAAAATGAATGATGATTGATCATCCGTGTAGAAACACAAGTCATTTTATACATTAAATATTACTCAAAGAAATGCATTGAAACATCATAATATTATTTTAAATTCCAATCTGATTCATCACTAAGAACAGGAAGTAAACTTACATGAATCTAAATAGATCTAAAGATTTTTGAATTTTATTCTGTTGTTGTCTGACAAGGAATCACACCTTATCTGATACAGATAGTAAAATATTACATTTAAACCTCCTTGCAGTACTAGGAAATTTCTCATACCATGTTTTCAATTTTTTTCACCATTATTGATTGAAAAAATATGTTAACACTCCAAATTTTATTTTTTATTTCTTCATCCATGTATGGGTAGTGTTTCAAAGTAACAGTATGATGATTGAGTACCCATTCGAAGCAATTTAATATAACATGTAATTGTTAGTAAAAAGGTGCAAGAAAACATATAACAAACTATGACTTGTAAGTAATTTTAAAACAGTGTTAATGTTTACTAATTATAATTCAAATATACTAGTGAAGTTCTACCTGTCTGCTGTTCCCTCTGAGTCCTGCAGCTGCTGTCCACCATCTTCACCAGTTTTTCTACAGCCTTATATACTAGTGTCGCGAGATTGTTAGGAGATTCTTCTCGTAGAGCACGGATCTCTGCACCAGGCACCAGTGCGAAAACATCCTGAACATTGGTCACGCTCTCTGACCAGAATTGGTCCCAAAAACTATCGTCCCCAGAGTCAATTGGCTAAAACGAAATCATTTCATCAATACTCATCGACATCATAAATATAATTTATTTTAATTTACCAAATTCTATAGACTTACCTGTGTTTTTGACGTAAGCTGAACAACAGCTTTTCTAAAGTTCAATTTTGTGTCAGCGTTACCCATTTTTCGTGAATTCTAATTGTATAAACACATTAAACCCATTTCAACTTCTGTTCACAAAAACAATGAAAATTGACAAACTGACAGGAATAAGTTGAGTTGACAGAAGACGACGTGTCAAAGACAAATTGTAATCTTTTTAATGCATAGGGATTGAGAGTCATGATTGAGAGAAATACGTCTTTTTTAATATAAAATCTTCAACGTAATTGCTCTTATTTAGATTAATAATACTGTTATTAGCTACGAATTAAACAAATATAAAAAGTCAGTGTATGATTTTATTTAAATTTGACGTTTCACATTCAATTATTGATCTGTGACTTTATTCTCTTCTTTTGTCTGGTTTGTCTATGAGTTATCAAATCATTTCGAAGTCTGGAAAATGGCTGCTGCAACTATTGCCCGCAGTGCTCTAAAAGGATTATTACGAAGCTCTACTACCGTTAGAACACCGGTAGTATGCCGACTTTCAACAGTTGCTCTGCAGCAAAAGTTTAGATCAATAAACGCTGCCCTAAAGACGTACAACACCCAGTATCATCAAAATGGGGTAAGGGTCTTCTTAGTCAATACAACGTGATATTTTACGCACCAGGAGCTCTAGTTGTAATTTAATAGAGTTAGTAAGAATATTAACAATGTTTCATACATGTATAAGCTCTAAGTAAATCTTCTTTAAATTATAACCTCAATCTTATTGCATAACAAATGTGTACAGTGTTCCCCAAATTGTTTAGGTACAGCGAACACAACAGTATACCACAGGAGGGCACCACAAGCCCTCGCCACAGGAAATAGAGGAACGAGTGCTGAAAGTTTGCAAGGCATACGACAAACTCAGTTGTGTTAAGGTACATACATAAAATTTATTCCCATAATATTCTGTTTCAGGCCCAGAATATCAGTGTCCGCAACTACAGCGGCGGGCCCCCACTCACATTAGAACTTATTAAAAGTAGAGTGCTACTTGTACTTCAACTTTATGACAAAATTAATCCTGAAAAGGTAGCCTTTACTGAAATTATTACAAATAGTTGTTATCTCAAGCTAGTGTGTTATTGTCTATGCTTACTGACTTTCAAATATTACTGTAATAACATTCTTTTAAACCTTATTTCCTCTCTGTTTCAGCTGAGTGTAGACTGCCACTTCATAAATGATCTGGGTCTGGACTCCTTGGATCATGTGGAGGTCATAATGGCAATGGAAGATGAATTTGGATTTGAAATTCCTGATGGAGATGCGGAGAGGCTGGTTAGACCTAAAGACATAATCCAATACATTGCTGACAAAGAGGATATTTATGAATAAATTGAGAATAACAATTAGCATTGTCTGCAATTTCAGGCCAGTTGTGCATAATGCCTGTTCAAAATCCATTTCTATATAAATTACAGTGTTTTAGAATACAACTGGTCTAAGATGTAAAGGCATTGAGCTTAGGATTTAGTTTCATTATTTTACATGTACAATTCTAATAAGAATGAACAATGTAAGTTATGCTGATCCAACATCCACATCTGAAGATGTAAAAAGTGTAAATTCTGTTTTTATTGATTATATGCCTGTTAGAGTAGATCATTTGTTTTTCATTTTGTGCAGATCTATTCCTGAGCAACTCTACTGTTTTAATTTTAGTACAAATTTTAGTATTAGTCATGAAAAGCAATTGATGTTACACTGCATTTGACATTTTCTTATTTGTAGTAAAATAATGATTGCTTGTGTGATAACTTTCAGTTGATAATAACATGTTCTTAAAGAAAACTTTATTTTTTCTTATTTTAACCATTTATTTTACACCACTCAAATTATAGAATACCTATTATAAGTAGTTGCTCACTGAATTTTTCACTTTCAAATGAATATGTACTGTATTGTGGAAAAGGTTGGGCCCCGACTAATTGACCTCTACTGCTGAAAAACATGATAACGAGTTCATAATGTCACTTGAGTAAATAAAACGTGTGTAAGTTTTAACATAGCTTCTAGATGGCGCTGTTCTAATAGACACCTCATACAAATTGTTTATGTTAGAAGGGTGTAGTGCTGATACTAATGAATCTCCCTTATTTAATGGATGTTACTGTGCATATAGAAATAAACCTATAATAAAAACCGATTCAAGGGCTTGTTGCATACTTATCACGATATAAATAAATATCAATATAAGGGATATAGGGACAGAGAAAGTTACTTTATTTTATACTATGTAGTGCTGATTAGCGACTACCCTTATATTTTGTAAACAATGTTTGGATGGTAAAACAGGGTGACTTGAGAACGATTTTCAACATTTCTTTAACCCATGTTTGTATATATTGATTGCTCTAATGTTTTACGCATCTCTATAGACAGTACTGTCCTAGGTTTCTACGCCTACGTCAATGCAGTCAATTGCAAAACAAAAATGAACAATAGCTTATGCATTGCTCCAAGGTGATCTAAAGGCTATTATGTATAATCCCTTCACAAAGACAAACTTCAGCTCCTGAATACCTACCTGTTATCAGTGTTCAGTACAACAGACACTGATAAAAATATCTTTGTTTGCATAAATACCGTCTGCGCCCTCTACTTACCCTCGTAGGGCATACGTATACCAGTCTCGATTCCCACACAATCTAATTGACATGATTTGTTCAATAATTTTACTGTTCTGTTGCATACAACTACAATAACTGTTGTGATTGAAGTTTTAGCTAGTTAGATTTACTAGTAACACTCCAAGAAAAATAGGCATATTGAAAATTAAAAATGTACTGACTAACAGATTATTGTTAACAGGTTGAATAAAACAAATAACTGAGAATCATAGTATTTATACATTTTTATTTTGATGAAATTTCACAGAGATAAAGGAGATGGGGTCAGAAATACGAAAGTTCCAGCAAAACGTGGAATCGAATACTGACTAGTTCTAATTGTAGACACTGAGACAACATTGAGAAAAACACATTTATATTTCTATGGTTTCTGTCTATGGACAACAGTTAATGCAGTAATTATATAATATTTATGTAGCTACATTTAGTGGTAGATAGGTGAGTGGCTGAAGTAACTTTATTCCTGCATCTCCATTTATCTTTAAAAAAGAAAGATACTTTCTAAGCATACAATAACATTTATATACAGACTAAGCTCGCCACATCTACTCACTGCACTGGTCTTACACACACACATAGGTCCAAGTCCTCACATAATATATTACACCACTATGTACACAACATTCTGTAGTTTGCAGCCTCGAGATATATTATTCTCTTATAAACAAAAACAATTGAAATACTGATACTCCCAATTTCATCTGCCAAAAATGGCAAAGTTCATGCTGACACAAACAACAACAGCCTATTTACAAAATAAATAACAAACAACAAAATAGTCTACGCGTCACCTGCGAGCAGTCTGCGCAGCTATTATAGCTACGGAATGCGATCACAACTACTGATTGTTCGACGGTAGGTTTGGCGGAACAATGAAGTTCATTTGAGGAAATTATCGTTGTTTGGTGAGGCAGCGGCGGGCCGCGCGCTATCTGTACCGGTTGGACCGCGGCCGGGCTGCTGACCGCAGACGGCGTGCCGCCCCTGGGTCCACTCGGGCCACTCGCACCACTGGTTGCATCCAGTCGCCCAGCCCGTGCATCGCCCGTTTCCTCTTTTTTATATCTTTATCATCAGTCTCTGAACGTAGTTTTCGTTCCTCTTTCTCGTCCTTAGACTTTTCTTCTGATATTTTTAACTCCTGTAAAGTATTGTCTTTGCTATCAGATATGTCCATTGGATCACATTTCTCAGATATTGAGTCCTCTGTCAAAGTTTTGTCTTTCGAGTCAAACTCTGTTTTGGACTTTTCTAGTATAGTTTTGTCTTCTTTTTCAGTCTCAGATAAATTAGTATCTTCCTCGCTGATCGCATCTTGTGTGGTATCGTCATCTGGTGGCTCTGCTGACGATCGGTCTAAACTGCTGTCTACTTTGTGTTCAGACTCTACACTGCTTGTTCTGGAACTCTTCTTAGTTTGCTTCTTTTTATTAGGCCAGCCTGTTCTATTCTTCTTTTTAAATTTTCCGCGTCTGCCTTTAGGTCGGTCTGCTGCTTCTTTGATCTCATTTCTAATCAGATCACAGTTCTCACACTCGGACACCATGCTGGACACGTCTAGGATATTAGTAGACGTGGTAACGGCGGGCTCACCATCCATCACCTCATCAGACACGTCGTACTCCGCCGCGTCTTCGAAAACTTCAGACAAAAACTGTTGTAATCTCTCAGATGCCTCTTGAGTTTCAGAAATGACAGGTTCAACTTTGGCATTACTGTGCGTATCGCTAATTGTATCTTCCGAAGCGGTGGACTTGTTATCGTCAGCATGTCTCCGCCGGTGCACCAAACCAGCCGAGCCGAGAATAGCCAAGGTAGATGCATGTTCACGGGGGGATTTTCGAGGGTGCCCCTCGAGAGCGAGAAGCGCAGCCGTTCTTTTTCTAATTTTCTGTTTCTTCATTCCTCGCGTCCCGTAAGACCGCGACGGTCCTGGCTTTTCTTCTCGTTTGACCAAGTCACTTAGTGGACAGCAATTTGGCTTTAAAGGTGGTAACTGACCAATTTCATATGGTAACTTTGGCGATTTTGAATATAATGCTGTAACAAGAGAGAGAATACAAATTAATATAATATAAAATGACATAAAACTTACATTTACAATTGTCTATATTTTATTAATATTTACATTTTTATTTAAATAACTCTAAAATTTTATTTTTTATATTACTATAAAATTCATAATATTTCAAAATATAAAAATAAAGAAGCCAGCCGGTAGCCGGAGCCAGGTCTAAGCTATTGGTGGTTAGGGCTCCAGAGACAGAAATTATTGATATATATTAATATTACTTATTTCCAAAACTTACCAAAATATTTAGGTATATTCTTAACAAGCACTTTGTCCTCATCTTGTCTTTTGAAGGTTTCAAACCAGGGCTCACTATGTGGCACAGATTCAAAGGCAAATTCCAATTGCTCCACAGCTGGGGTGTACTTCAGCTTCCCATCTTCCCACTTCATACATCGCTCGACGGGTTCTTCTCTCAATGGACTTACTTCGCCGTCAGGTGGTACAGGAGGCTCTGCAGGCACTATTTGTTCAACTACCTCTGGAGGCTCAGGAGGAGGTTCCGTACTTTGTGCTTTACACGGCACTCTGCGTGCTCGTTTAGCGACAGCAGGCGTCCGTTTCTTTCGCCTCCGCTTATCTTCGGGCCAACTGTCTTCCTCTGAAGATTCCTCCTTTAGTGCGAGTGGCCGTGCTTGTCTTCGCCTTTCTACAGGTGGCGGCGGTGGCGGCGTCGTTGTTTTTCTTCGCGAACTCAGTTCTTTGTCGTCATCGTCGGAAGACGTGGAACTTGTGGAGCTGGCGCGTTTTGGAAACATAAATTGTTCCGCTTCATCACTGAGAACAGATAACTCGGAGCGCCGCACTTTTCTGAACTTAACGACTAGAGGCTTTGTACCATTACATGAAGGGGATGAATCTTTTCTTTTATTCGAGAACCCGCCACTCGACCTAAGCTTTGTGCTGACACCCACTACTTTGTAGTACTGTCGGTCTTCCGTGGCCGCTTCACTGGCTCTTTTACTGCACCGGGTATTATGTTTTTTCTCATCTTCTACCACTCCATTACGCCTTGGACTGAGGTTACCATTGACTGTAGAGTCTGGTGACTGGGATCGCTTCGAACGTTTGCTTTTGGGTGGGTCGCTGTCACCATTGCACATTTTTCTTAGCGAACGGCGCTCACCGTTGATGGGTGTAGCTTTATCTAGGAAAGTGGCGACATCAGTGCCGGCACCGATGAGCGAATCCAGCGCGAGAAAGTTTGTGTGGTTACGCACAAAGGCGAGGTGGTGCGGGGATCGCCGGTGTAATGCCGCATCTCCGTAGTCTTGGTTGCACATCTCACAGTAGCCACCCTTTACTTCTTTATCTTCCTTCTCCTTGATTCTTGGACGACTTTTACGCGTCATTCTGTCAACAAATATTTACTATTAGAACATGACAATTCATGCACCAATTCACATTGTGGTAATGTGTGACTTCTACCTACTTTTGGATGGCAATATCTTTTTGATTATTGACAACAATTTTCTCTGGTGTTTCTTTCTTCTTTTCTTTTGGAGGGTCTGGTTCTAATGATAACTCTGGCCATTCATCAAATTCCTTGTAAATAGGTCTGCACAACCTGGAATTGTACATAACAATTCAGCTTTTTGTTTATCAGTGAGTTAAAAGACATACTGTTTTTTATAAATGTTATTTCATACTTGTCCAAAAATTCAATCTTGATAAAATGTTTAGTGAAGTACGTGATATGCGCTACGCGCGGCGGCGCGAAGAATGTATCATACAGTTTATCCAATAGACTTATAGCCTGAAAGATTAATAAATATTTTGTAAAGATATATAATAATACAGCGCAAGATAAATATATAGAGGTTATAACAGGAAAAAGAAAGTGATTAATCATTTTAGACAAACACATGCAGAAATGGAACAAGCTCTAAGAAGACCTACTGAAGCATCAAATCTCATTCACATAAACTGACATTCTGTTACTTAATGCACCCAGGCACCGGTCTAATTATTGGCAGTTTCAGGACAAAGGTATATATCATTTAAATTACCTTACAATAGGCATTTTTACCATGATAATTTGTCAGTTTATGTACAAGAGATATGTATTCATTACAAAGTATTTATTACTAACTGTATGAATCTTAATATTTATCTACAATTACTTACAATGGGTATGTGTTAGGTTTAAAAACTTACAATACAAAAAGGTATCAATTTCATGGATATAGAGTAGCAATAGAGGTATTTCAAGCATATACACATGAATATAACAACATTGTCTAAATATAATGTAGTGCCACATGTTATCCATCAAACTGGCACCTTAGGTGGGGGTCAATATAAAGTGGGGTGTTGTGGATGTACCTTCTGGACAGAGATCTGTATGTATTTATTGTTGGGTGTGTGGTGAGGCGGGTCTGGCCGCACGCGCTCCAGCATGGCATCGGCGCGCGCGCGCCCCTCACGCCGCGCCCATCGCGCGGGGCCCGCGACTCCTGCGCCCCCCGCACCTCCTGTCTCTGTCACTCGATCGCGCACTACGTGCGTCACGCGGGATGTCAGAAATAATTCTTGCTGCTGTAAGCAAAACATTGTCAATCAATACCATTTCACATTTCCAATGGATAAAAACATCATTAATATAAAAAAAGTTTATTAATTAATATTATCATAATACTCAATGGTTTGTAATGACTTCACATTAATTAAGTATTTGGTGAAGTAAATAATATTAAGTAATTAGTAACTAAAATTAAGATAGTAATTTATGAGTGGGCGGAATCAATGGCATAACAAAAGCCATGTGTTTTCATAACACATTAACATAACAAATACTATGATGAACGCTAAAAAAACTATATACAGCATTCATCCATGAATTATATTTTGTTGGAAATAAAATTATGGTTATAATTTCTTATTAGAATTCATTGTTGTCTCAGAGCAGAACAAGGATAAACAGAATTTGTGATAATTTTGACTATGAGGAGGTAAATGTTTTTAGTTAAATAATGAAATTTTCCATCATTTTGACTAACATATATTTTGCACTTTTTATTAACAAATGCAAATTTTGTCATATTACCCCTGACAATGATGTTAAGATTAAAGAGTTGTTTTGATACCCTTTGTAAACGATTCAAATCCACAGGTTTCAAATTAATTCTGATGTAAACATTTTCAAAATTTATTTAATTTAAAAATTTCTATCATAATATCTTTTGTACGAAAAAAACATAGTAATCTTAAGTAATATAACTTTAAAAACACAACAAATAAATAAAGCTTTACTTTATTATTATGCAAAAACATGTCAAAAACTCACTTATCAACAGCTTTATAACACATTTTGTGGTTTATTCATAAATGTTGTTAATTTTATAAAAGATTACACACATAACTTCTGATAAATAAATGTTACAAATATAAGCAATTTGTACAGTAATATTTGAGAACTCAGCAAAACTGTCAAAAAGTGCAACATAATCAGTGTTGCTAAATGTTTTCAACAAGCTCATGCAACAAGTTGTCCTAATAGTTTTTGCTGTTGGAATGCATTTTAATAAATAGCTGCATATCACAGTGTATGTGCTGTCTTGCTAACCTTGCAATTAACAAGTCAACATATTCTACACACAAAGGTTGACTTACAGTGCATAATAGACCCATTAATGCATCTGTCAGTGTGATTATAGCCATCAAGTTTATGTACCTCTTCAGACCTAGTGAGACTAACAAGGATACTTATTCACACATAGTAGATCACTACAAAATATAACACATTACTATCATAATTATTAGCATATCAGATACTAACTGTTGATAACATACACTCTTAAACAATTTTATTTAATTAATCTAATGTTGCCAGCATTAAATTGTGGATTTATGAGATCAACTTTAGGAAAAATGTGGCAACTCTTATAAGAATTTAGTGTCAGCAAATGTTATTGTTTAGGTAATGCAGTGTGAAGTGACATTATGTGAAAGTCAGCATTGCACCAGGCTGACCTAATACGCGTAATGTATGTGTCGCAACAGCTACCTACTTGGTGCGAGCGACGGCGTTTGGTCAGAGAGCATTCTCGGAATATGTTATTGAGCGATGCATGCGACGGCACAATGTAACGGAGCGGCTAGCAGCGCCGCGAGTTATCGACGCGCCGGAACACACAACGCCGAGTTTTCCTTGAAATACGGTCGACACAACGAGACGACGCCGGCGGGCCGCGCCATCGCGCCCTCCACGACTCGCGCCAACCGTCCCGCGCAAAAAAATAACACACCAAATAGCCACACACCAATCTCACCCTTAAGACATAACACTTAAGACTCACAACCCCTTGGTTAGTCGAAAGCAATATCAACTGTCAAAAATTAAGCAGACACACGCGTAACCCGAAGGAAACTACATTTCAAACGGCTTTTAAAATGGATGTAGTGCAACTCAGCGCGAGAGAGCGCGCCGCTTGGCCTCGGCCCGCTGCATTTCGCGGTACGGCGGCAGTGGCTCTAACGCGACCGTACAAAAGATGACCTAAAATTGAACGCAAGCTTTGCGACCCACTAGCCACTCCAACTGTTTTTAATCTGTTTTCTAAACAATTCTGACACGATCGTTGGGTCGGTACGCACGTGTGGTTAATATAGAGTGTATATACTTACATAAAAGCCGTCCGCGAGGCCCCCGCGCTCCGCTTATCACAAAAATAAGTAACTATATACTAGTCACTGAGACGACCACTATGTTCGTCACTCACAGAATTACCTTCGGACGGTAAATTCTTACAAATTGCAAGTAGCACTCTTTAAGGTATATGATTATAAACTAATCACGCAACATTTAAAACAGTTTTTATACGTATTTATACACAATTGATAAATAAAATCGAAAAAGTAACAACAAACACAAATCTGTCATACAAGATGGAGATATTTCACGTTAGTTTATGTTTTGGACACTAGAGGCGCTGTTGTTTAGTGGAAGGGGACACTTCTCTCATTGGTCCATTCAACTTGCGTTCCTTTTCAACTAGAAATGCTTTTATTTAAAACATTTGATTGAAATATTCATAAGAGATACAAACCTAAAACTTATTAAAAATACGAAATTCACACTTCAGACACATTTCTGGACTAAAGTTAAACCCAAATTAAACCAATAAAATTTGATATCATATTAATCGTTATTTTTTTTATTTGCTTAGGGTAGATTGGTAAGCAAAACATGGAACTGACCGTAAATAACATGACTAAATACAGTTAACCTGTACAAAGACTGTCGAATTAAAAAATACTGTTATCCCTCTTTTAGTCGTCCTATATTTATACATAACCAAAAAATATGTGGCAACGTAGCTATGTATCTATCGGATCTACTTCAGGAGAATAACAATTTTGGCGGTAAAAGCTACAAAATGTATGCACTTACCAAACCTAAGTCCTGAATTCTGCGACTCATGGCTCTAGACAAACCATGGTCTTGAACATCCAAATAAAAACAGAATTTCCTCCTCACTGCAAAACAGCAACAGTAATGTGATTAAACAAAACGATCACAGTTTCGGAGAAATAGGTCACATTGAAAATATGACGCACGCACCTCTATTATATTTTTCGTCTGAATTCAAAGTTGATACCATTTTTGTTATCAAAGAGACAGGGGAACCACTAACTTTCAAGGTACATAATCAATGTATATTCGTTGGAATTTCAATTATTTAACTATTTTTTATAAAATAATTATATAAGTTAGCGATTCAACTAAGAAAATTAGGCAAAATATATTTCGTAAAAATACGTTTCGAACGTCGAAATGTCATTGACAGCTGTGACGAATAGAGAAAAGAGTTTGAGAAGATCTATGGTAAAAATCGATACATCAATCGATTCTAGTTTAATAAAAATAGTTTATTCTTTCAAATACATATTTATATTGTTATTACAATTTAGATATTCAAATTCATTACTGACTAATGTATAAATGAGCGAAGGAACTAATGTAGTAGTTAAAAACATTATTACTATACACACGCACACTTTTATTTGTTATTTCTGTAGATTCTAATGTATATTTATGTATACTTAAATAACTACATAGCCAAGTGAAATGTATTGAAATTACTGTACCTAAACATTCTTATGTATTATGTATCAATTATTACAACAAAATAAATAAACAATAACAACAGTTTCCACTACAATAATACAATATAGAATCAACTCCATTCGTTTCCATAGGCGCCGACCGGGACGCGTGTAGGTAGGCATCGGCAGTACATGGCCGTCTATATAGTATTTTATTGATTGCTCACGTGTTTGTATGTACTAGCCGTGGACGTTCATGTTACATAGTTATCTAGGTACTGTAGGTACGCTCGCCCGGCCCGTTTATTTCGTACAGTAAAAGCTATGTAGGTCGTCCGGATGTTTACCTGGAATTTTAAGCCTACGCTTCCAGGTTGCATTTAGATACCGTACAAAGTTTGAGTTCAAAAGTGCTCACATTTCACAGCATAATTTTTTGATTGTTTTAAAAACAATGTTTAACAATTTAACATAAATTGAAATTGTCCACTAAAACTTCGAATGGCAATAGATACCAAAGATTATTTTGTATGAACACTACCGTTCTAATACTTATACCATACGCGATACACCCGACAAAAGCTGTTGAAAATAGCCAATAAGTACACTGAAATCGCTATCAATGTTACCTACACAAAAGCGACTACCTATTTACCCACTAGCAGTAAGTAGCTTGAGGTTGGGGACCTGTTGAAGGAAGCAGCTATAAACTGTGTTTGTAATACAACTAGTGCAATATAAAGAAAATTGTATTGTGATAACTTAATACATACTATGATCGTATATATCATGTTGCAGTTAATAAATGGGATTGTTTAGCCGAGAAATGTTAATGATTGTTCGACTTTACGCTGCGCTGCGCTGCTATAGTTTCGTTTCATAGGCTCGTGGGCTTGTTAGATGAATATAAATGTAACCGGGAGCGCCATCTAGGAAAAGGTATGTCAAATAATGCCGAACGCATTGTTGAAACAAATGTATTATCCGCCACTAGATGGCATGGCACAGAATTCCGGGAAATTTCGAATTCCGTAATACTCGCATTCGCATGTTTATTTTTGTGCACTTGGTACTTGGCTTGCTAGTTGTGACTTTTCTACTTACAGCAATCGGTGGTTGAGTGCTGTTAGTTTATATCCTTTATTTGTTTTTAAATTCATTGATAATATGTATACAACCCTTTCTACTTACCGAAAGCTGTAACCCCGGAGCGGTCTAAGCCGGTGGCTAATGGCTCTAGTGAAAGGAATCTCCGAACAATACGAATAAGACTTGATTGAGGCTGAGGCTATTGGCAGATACGACTATCAGGCTAGTTTATCGTCATCTCAATGTTATTGTCAAAACTCTACCACAGAAAACAAAAATTATTTTTAAGGCATGGAGCGCCAAACGAGTAGACGGATAACTGGACGGCAAGCAATCGGCACTGCCGTTGAACAGCCGCTCATGGGAGTTAGGTACTTACTGTTAGAGCGCTGCCAGTCTTTTCTCATAAGTTGTTAAGGACTTAGGATGGGGGCTGTGTAGGAGGGGGTAGATTGGGACTCCGGGCCTCACTCATACCAACAACACAATGGAAACGTTGTTCCATCGGTGCTGGTATTTACGTTAGTATGGGTAAATAATACTCATGACCTTATTATCATTGTTTTCAGCGTAGGCTTTTAAATAGGTATGAATATAATCAGATTAGAGTTTATTCGAATAATTATATTTTATAGACTACATCCCTGTCTAAACTAATATTATAAATGCGAAAGTAACTCTGTCTGTCTTTTCTTCACGCCTAAACTACTGAACCGATTTCTGTGAAATTTGGTACAGACATAGTTTCGAACTAAAGAAAAGACATAAGTATAGTAGTTTATATACCAAAAATATGTAGGAAGTCACTTATTCCACGCGAACGGAGTCACGTTCAAAAACTAGTAGGTACCTACATAAACCACTTTGACAAGGAACAATAAAATTGGAAAGTTTCTTCAGTCAAAAATAAATTATTTCAGCTTATAAAACCTTATGACAATTCAATATAAGCATTGAATTTGACTAGTTAGAAACTACTATATTCTGCTGCAGCTGACAATTTAGAACAAGCAAAATTCTCTCTCCGATTTGGGAATCGAACCCGATGCACTTATCATAAAGGCGAATGGAAATCTTGATTTGAAACTTTTTTAACAGTCAACTCAATATTATTAACAGGTAATTTAAATCTATTGGGACCAAATAAAATCTGTTTAGTTGGATCATCATAATCTCATGGATTTAGTGAGGTACCAATAGGCGTATATGGCTGAAAGGTAAATCTCGCTGTATGGTGAAAATAAAACTCAAGGTCCCACTTACATTAAACTTATATTTAAATAAAAGTTAATTATAATTTTACAATATTACATTTAATATACATAGCCACTTTGTAAAAATTCTTATGTATAATTAAATATTATTTTATAAATATGATAGGATGACAGGCGCTAGCTAGACAACCAGAGACAGCTTACAAAAATATATAATGCGTGGGGCACAATAGGTGTATAGAATTCGCGGTTTATTAACGCTGTACTTGCGTCTCACGCTAGTAAGCGAATAAAGCGCTTGTCAGAATTTAGGGACTGCGCTTTGTTTGCAACTCAAGGGAAGCTATAATGCAGCAGCATAAGCGCTGTAGCGCCAAAGGAGAAAACTTGAAATTATAGGCGGGAAAATTTAAGTTAAAGCATAAGACCATAACAAACATATCCAAATGTTGTGACCCCGCGCTGACTCTGAGTGAACGGTGACAATCGGCCATGTGGACGTGAACGTATTAAAAAGTTATTATTTTTTCATATAAAGACAGTAACACGACTTAAAAATTTAAAAATCTAAACTCACTTATCATCAGTCTCAAATTCGTCGACTCGACTGATTGTAGACAGTCACAGATAACCACCACAATCTATTTTTACTCGTTCACGCAGAAAAAGAAATACCCAAATGTCATTTACAAACTAACTTTTTGAACTAGCATGGACAATGTATTGATATCATTAACTACGTGTCCTGTGTATAATATTAATGCGACTGGCTATCTTCGCTTTGTTCGCCATTCGTTTCACCGTTGAGAACAGGAGGCGTGGGCGGCTTTATAGGCGGCGCGGGTATCACCTGGAAGAAAAACAGATATTAGTTTTTAAGAAATACATATTTATAAAAGGAGTTGCGTGCACAGACAGTACAAAAAAATTAGCTACAGATGGAACATAAATAGTTCTGTACACAGATACAAAATAAATTGATATATGGAACTGGTTTCGTTCGTGACCTTGTAGCCTTACGATACAAACAAATATCTCAGAAACATTATTTAAACATTACAGTATAGAGATAAAGCAGCTACGAATAACACGTATTTGGTTAGAAGAATTTAGTTTATCATCTTTAAGGTAGGAGGAATTAAAATATATGGTGTTTCGCCCTCCCGTTATTTCTAACGGTATATACGTCTACATTTCAATCTATTTCTCTATGCAAATTATTCTATTTTTGGCTACGTTCAATGCGTAGTTGTTTGTCGTCATGGAGAGTTTTGTTATCATCGACATACCAACACTGACATAAGTTTATACATTCAAAACACCAATTGGAAAGTAGATTTTAGTTGAAATGTAACAGATGTTTCTGATAATATTTATTATTAAAAAAAATTGATATTCCTTTATGTTTTTATTAATTACATAGTTCTAATTATGCGAAATATATCTTTAGATCAAATCCGAATTGCTAGGGTGTGGTAAGTTACAATGGATGTATTTCATGCGTTTATTCAAAGAACTATTCTATAATTCAAACATTCTGTGATATTTGGAATAATATACTAGTATACTACTGTCGAAAACTAGGTATTTACAATTAGTTTCTAATAAAGACTGAGTGTTTTTTAAACGAAAATGAAGGCGAACTTCAAAATTCAAATTACTAATCTTCTATTCAAAATTCTACGTTTTTCTGTCACTCTGAGCACCAAGATCCACCATAACCGACTGTGTCATCATGGTGGTGACATGTTTGAGTTGCTTGGGTTCCATTGGGGAAAAGGATTGGGAATAGGGCAATATGGTGTGGCACCAACACGGCAATATATTGGCACAATATAAACCACCTTTACCAATAAATACATAAACATATAAATATCCAATACAATGAACACACAAATTTTGAATTTAACAAAAAATATTTTTATTATAAAATCTCCGCATCCGCCATAAGCAAACACACACAGATAACCACCACCTATCAACTGTCACTTCTCCCGCCAAAAAGTGAAAACCAACTGTCAAAACCATGTTGCTGTAAAACTCTAATGCCACATCATCAGTAATAATAGAAATTATCCACGAGTCTAAGATCTAAGGGCAACAAAGGCACTAAACCATGAAAGAAGCATACATTTAAAAATGTAATCTCTATTTTGAGAAGTATATTTAAAAAAAGAAAAGACGGCTGCTAATCTATTTAGCAGTAGCAATGAGCCCGCCCTCAAGACAAACATAATATGTAAGGACTAGGTGGTTTCTACACCTTTATTAGCCTTACCAAAGAAAACAAATCCCAAATCACACGTATCTACTAAAATGAATGAAGAATGGATTGATCAGATTCCTCCAATTTGAAATAGTCGAATTTCCTTTGCTGTACAAAAATGGAGGACATGAAATGTAAGTTTCAATAATAAGATCTGTTTCGTTTTTCTGTATAATTGTTTCACTCTCCTGTGACGTGTTCTTAAAGAAAGGATTATATTTGGATAGGTACGTAATCTAAAAACATCAGTCCCCGCGGATAGCCGCCATGATTACTAATGTATTGTTGACATAAGTTTCCACAACAACACCCATGCTATCTATGTTATGTTAGCCCATGCTTCAAACATTGCGTACTTGTATCTCAGCCGCGTCTTCGTCGTCCTGTTAAATAAATTGCGTTTTTTATTAATTTTGAATAGATTGAGATTGTTTTATAGGAATTTTGTCTGACACTTAGGGTGATTCTTCACATCAATTAAAAAAAAATTAATAATGTCATTATCCTCAACCGAAAATTAACGAGTCTGCTGATTAAAACACAGATAATTATTTTATTAAATTAAATCTCACCACTGCTTACAAACAACCGATTAAAAATATTGTATAAAATAAATTACTAAGATGCTTAAAAACCTGGGAGGATAATGACTTGTTAAACAAAAGTTAAGGTTTTTTGGAGAATCACCCACTACCATTTAGAAGTAGTTCAGAGTGTTTATGAAGAAGAAATATTGATCTATTTAAATCCAAAAAGTGTTGTAACATAATAATAAACCATTATAATGTAGGTCTGATTGTTTTGAAGTTTGTTTTTGCTTGAGGAAAATGTGGCTTGCTTCAGTTTCAGCACACGAACTTTTGTTCATGTACAGATTTAAGTATATTTAGAGCTTATTCTTTCAAGTAAATTGAGATGTTATTGCTTGATTGAATACACATAGTTATTTCCGGGTAACATCGTAAAATTTAGAGTACAAATTATGAGAAAAGTAAATGTTGATATAAGAAATCGGCTTTTGTAGCATAATTTTATTACTTAAAGACATACTTAGTAGCTTCTACAGCATTAACACAATAAATACTAACTACATAGACATCTATGGTCTCGTATTCTTATAAAAAGTAACAAAGTGTTTGTTTGCATATTCAGTTTCTTGTTTTATTACTAGTTGGTATATTTTTAATTAGTCACAAATTTTTCGTAAGTATATTTCCTTAGGTGCGTGATGTTGTCTAATGTAATCTTATTCTAAAGTTTCGTAACAATTCTACCATTGTAAAACAACTCTATTAATGTTAAGAACAATGCCGAATAAGTCAAATGTATGATGATAAAATCATCGATTCGACAATAGAGAGATAAACTTATCTAGTAAAAATTAGCTAAGTATGTGAAAACTGAAAATAGTGATAAATGTTTGGATGTGGTATGGATGGGATGAGACACTCACAGAAGGTTTGGGGCGATGCGTGTCGACGGCGGGCACGGAGAGCTTGATGTGTTCCTCGCGACAGCCGTACGCCACCGGCGTCAGCTTGATCACCGTGTGCAGCGGCACGTGCAGGTACGGGAGCTCCTCTGGTACAAGCAGACATGTTTGCTTTTAAGAACGGATATTTCAAGGCCAAAATCTTCGATAAAGACTTCAGACAGGGGGACAGAGGCAATTGAGAGGTATTAAAAGAAACTTAAAAATCGCCTATAGTTGATTGATTAAAGAATTTATTATATTTAATAATAATTTATTTATTTAGTAGATTTTATTGAATCGAGTGTTGCAATATTATCACACTAATAACATGTTACATTGATTAACATTAAATACTCATTAATTTATAATAGTTAAGATAATTAAATAAAAAGGTATAAGCTGTTTAGGGAAAAAACAAATCTGTTTGTCCATGAAAGTTGCATCCAAATAATTAAATATTTATCAAATGTAGTTAAATTGCTGTAAATTCAAATAGCTTTCATATGAGCTCTAAGTAGCTAACATAAGTTATTATGCGAGTACAAAATAAATCCCAAAACTAATTGTTCTCATCACACGAACATGCTATGCTATCTCAAAAGTTAATTTGCGAAATCATTTCTGAGTCCGCGGTGAAATCATGTTTATTTAAAGTTTCGTATTCTCAAATGGAGTGAAATCTACATTGGCGCCACCATGTGAATAACGAAGTGAAAGGAATTAAAACAAGTGAGTATTTTGACATTTGTGTACAGGCGGGATGAGAAGCGGAGTCGTAATGCCACTTTCGAGACGATTTACTATTTATAGAATGGCACTGCTGGACTTACAAAATTCCTAAAAAGTATCCTCAATACTGACCAGCGGACTTATCGAGGAAGTAGGCGAGCAGACATCGCATGACGGCCTGGTGAGAGACGACGAGCACGTTGCCCTGGCGCTCCAGCTCCATGATGACGGGCTCCAGCCGCGCCACCAGGTCCTCATAGCTCTCGCCGCGGGGGTACCTGTACGCGAACTTGTTCGCGTCGCGAGCGTTGAAGTCCGACGGGTATTTCTGTTGAATCTCCGCGTACGTCATCTCTTCGCATATACCCTGGAAGTTGAAGTTAGATTTTAATTATTTAGCTTTGAAGGCTTTAAGTGATTTTAGAAGTCAATTAGCTTAAATTGACTATAATTAAAGTAGCCTATGTCTATGCCTGTGCCAAATTTCATTCAGATCCGCCCAGCCCTTTTGGCGTGATTGAGTAACAAAAATATCCAAACATCGTATTTTTCGCATTCATATATAGATAATATTAGTAAGAAACAAGATGACAGTTTTCATTTCGTAGAAAAATTTAGTTGTAATTAAGTTAGATAATTAAGTACAAGCCATGTCAAAAGAATACGAGTAAATCATTGGATGGTCCACCTGGATCATCTAGCTTCACTAACGACTGACAGACTACTATTATGTTTATGGTTTAGTTGAAATAAATGATTTTGACTTTTGACATAAACTCAATAAACTCTTAATCAACACTGCCTTCCAATGTTAGATGACTAAACTGATTCATTATTAAATTAACTTCCAAGATTTTATTATAAAAAATAAACCGATATCTCGGCAATCTTACCGCATCAATCTCATTGAGTGCCTTCCACCTCTCTTGTGGAGCCTTGACATCTTTGACGGTCTGTATGGCCCTCTTCATCCACGAGGTCCAGACCCTCAGGCCGGGTATTTGTTGCTGGTCGATGTAATTGGCGAGGGCCTTAGCATATTGCCGGCCGCGTGGGGAGAGATCGCTGTCGCCGCCAATACGACCCACAATGTTATGTGTGCTTTCACCATGCTGCAAATATTAAAAAAAGGTTATTTATAAGTTCAAATTGTTGAAGATGCTTAAAGGAAAAATGTATAATTCCTGTAATGTGCATACCCCAAATGGGCGATGTTTATTTTAAAAAGTTATTTGCACAAGAAACTCTAATTTAAAATAATATTTCATTTAAAATTGTGTTAAAATATCGTATCAATTAATAATAAGAATAAAATAAATATTAACAGTGTGCAATAAACTATTGTTTCAATATAAATACTGTGGAACCAATTTCATAATGCCTAACAGAGAATTTGATTGTAAAACTGATTGAAAAACAAATCAAATCAAATATTTTAGTTTCTTGTTTGTTCTTCCACAGGAATCTACATTTCTGGACAAGCACATAGCTCTACTAACAGGTCTGACCTGAGTGACATTATTAAATTTTTGCCTCAACCATCATAAAGTCGTATAGGTACTATGCGAATTATAAAAAGTATTTTGTACATCAGAATAAAAGTCTGGTTTCACTTTCATCAATTAAATTTACACGCCAATTATACAACACCACTTTAACATATTCAATCTTAATTAAAGTTTGTGCAATGGATGGTTTTACTTATCGCACAAGACCACCTTAATATATAATTGTAATACGGAATCAGATATGAGAGGTCTAAAGTGTTTGAACTATATTTTTATTACATCCTAAAATATTTTTTCTTAATACTGATAACACGATGATGTTTTGATTAGCTTGAACCTTCTTTTAATTAAGAGACCAGATGAAGTAAACATCACACAATCAGAAAGTTGCAAAGAGTAAATAACAAAATCCAACTCACCCTGGTCAAATATATAGTCCGGGGAACAATATGTATGTTCATGAGATAATATACAATCCGGCTCTGTATGTGTCCTTCATGTTTATGTACCACCACCTTCTCTCCAGTGTCATAGATTTTCATGTAGCTGTAATCAGACTCCAGGCTTTCATCCAAAGGCTCATATTTCTCTTTGTAATGCTCTATCCGGAGCAGGAAGTCGTTTAGTACATTGTCTGTGTTTTGAATGTTTGTGTAGTCAGGGCTGCTTACTTTTACCTCCTGTAATTTGGTTAGGAATATATATTAAATAGGTACAATTACCATTATTTGTAATGCAAGAAGATCTGTTGTTTTTTGGGCATGTACCTTTATAATATTTTGACATTTTAAAAGTTTATTTGAACAAATGTTGTTTACTTATATTTATAAACCAATAATTTTGAAATACTACTGGAAGTTTGATTAATATATACTAATATGCTGATTAGTTAGCACCTCAGAAGTGATAATCAAATACATTATGGAAGCTCTGCAGTCTCCAATCACTCTCATACCACTATCCAATCTTGTAGTTGGATAGTTTCCGAGGTCAAAAATAAATTATTTTAACTGTTCAATTTTTTTTTTTTTTTTTTTTTTTTACGTTGGCAACACTGGTAGCCGGTCGTCAAAAACCGACCTCAAGTTTTAATTTAATTTTAAAATTAGTTTTAAGTGATATTTAAGTTCCAAATACGTATATTTGTGTTAGAATACATACGTAATTATTGCAAGCAGTGTGTGCCTAGTGATATTAATAATACTTCTTCCACAAAACCGAAAAGTTGTTGCGGCTGTCAACGGACGAAGATATCGTCTTATTCGAATAATTAAACCAGGGGAGTATATGTGATAAGTAATTACTGTTATTAGTTTAAACAACAAAAACACCAAAATACTAACTAAAATCCTGGATTGGACTGATTAACACAAAACCGGGTAAACTTTAACTACTTAGAAACAAACTTACAAAAATAAAAAAATATACTATATTGCTATTGTGCTGTAGAATTTGTGTAAATTACATCGTTAAGCAGTATAGTTAATGTTAAAAAACATAATTTGTACGCTTTTCTCAGTAGTATATGACTATATCAGGTACCAATTGTATTCCAATATTTTGCTCATACCTACATATATTAAAAAGAAATATTCTTATGATCGAACATCCAAACTTAACTAAATTATTATTTTTCATATTCTTTACCTCTTTTGTACTTTAAATTCAACTCATTCCCTTCTTACTCACCTACCTTTCTTTTTTTTTTGCTGTTTTCTTTTTTTTTCCTTTATTTCAGTGTTCATTTCTACATACCTGCCAATATGATGACCCGGGCAAAGGAAATGGAAATTAAACTGAGGGCAGCACTTAAGGAATTGGAGTCATCCAAACTCCTGTGTGACCAACTGCTGCAGGAGCGGGAAGACAATGAAGTGGAAGTGAAGAACATTATTAATAGGAATAGTAAACTCAAAACTGAATTGGCCGAACTACATGTATGTCACACGGACCTGCTAGACCAACATAATAGATTATTTAACGAAGTCAGTGCTTTTCAGCAGTGCACCGAGACTCATGAACATGCTCTGACACGCATATCACAACTTGAGCATGATCTAAGAAAAGCCCATAATACAATAAATAAACTAGAGGCTAGTAAACAATCAGTACAGTCAGCTGATACTCTTTCTTTATATGATGAGTTAGTTGGGAGTGGGTCTGGTGACATATGTGAGCAGGCCATTACCATAGACTTGACTGGTGATGACACTATCCCCACTCGCCCTGTACTCAATAGTCATAATAAAATAAAAAAGTATATTAGGTTAAATAAAACAATAAGAAAATTAAAGAAAACTATTAGGAGGCAGAATCTTTTAAAGGACAGTGTAAACTTAAGAAAGCAAAAATTATTGTTAACTAATGAACTAAAGTATTGTAAAACTGAGTTTGATAAAAGTAGAAATTTGTATGAAGTAGATATTCAAGCTCTCCGAGAACAACTATTACAAAGAGAAATGTTCATAAATGAGTTGTTCCAAAAATATGAATCTGCTCAACTAGAAATAAATAAAAATATGGTTGAGGCAGGTAAGCTTGTAGATTTGGTGACATACAGTGCTGAAAGATATGAGTCATTAGCAAATAATTTCTCATGCAGCTGTGCCTGTGCCCCGGATTCAGATGTGGGGCCTATGCCTCTGGCACCTAAAATAACACAAGAAATTATAAAATATAACACTTGTGTTTTTACTGACTCAATAGGCATAGGCATTGGGTCACTTATCTCAAATGGCCTAAATCCAAATTCTGGTATAACTAACTATTGTTACCACAACATAAAATTTGGTCAGATAATTAACAAAATAATGCAGGAACCTATCACAAGACATCAGCCTATAGTTATACTAATGGGTGATAGTACAGGTGTTAGAAAGAGGGACATTCTGAATGGTGTCAACACCTTATTAAAGCTAGTTTCAGGAAAGATAGTATTATGTGCTTTCCCATATTCAGACACTCTGTCAGTGTCTGAGAATCAGAGAATACATAGTATAAATGATATGATATTCAGTTTGACATGTCATAGTGACAATTTATTGTTTTTTGACACTAACAAATTTGTTAGTAGTTTTAAATTGACTAGGAAGTCTTTGTTAATTCCTAGAAAATGTAAAGTATTACTTGCTAGCCTTCTAGCAAATATTATTAATCTAGTATTAAGTGACGAAACTATATTATTTAGACATTCTAATAATGTAGTGATTGATTGTACATATAATAGTACGACGGAGACTCAACATTTAGGGACAAATGTGGGTAGCACTCCAGATAATTTTTTAAATTAAATTTTGAGACAACAGAAGATAACCTAATGAATTCTCATACTACAAATTATCAAAAGGTTTCTTCTCGCCGCATATTATATAATAAACACAAACAAGGAAATATTACACTCCTTAGTCAAAATATTCAGGGCATTTCATCCAAATTACTAGAATTGGAATTATTTTTAGAAAAATTTAAATTTGACATAATTTGTATAACAGAGCATTGGATGAAGAAGTATCAAGTAGAATTTATGAGTTTTAAAAACTATTGTGTTGGTAGTTTCTTTAGCCGTCAAGCAATGATTCATGGTGGTAGTTTAATTTTATTAAAAAACTCAATTAAGTATAAAGAAAGACAAGATATAACTTCACTTTCCATTGAACATACAATAGAATTGTCCTGTGTAGAGCTGGATGGGCATGTTGTGATATGCGTCTATAGACCTCCAAACTTACAAAACTTAAACGTTTTTAACTCTGTTATGGAACAAGTGTTGCAGAAAACGTGTTCGAACAGTAAATTTACAATAGTATGTGGCGATTTTAATATTGATCTCTTGGAAAACAATTCTAATTGTATTAATTTAGTAAGTCTTTTTAAATCTTTTGATTTGTCTAATGTATTCCTTGAGCCCACCCGAGTAACATCCACCTCGGCTACATGTATAGATAATATATTTTGTAACTGTGATTATTTGCACAAAAATATTGTTAATAGCTTACCATCAGATCACAGTGGGTTAACAATAAACTTAAACAACATCACAACGGTGCCAAAAAAGGAAAAAATGTTTAGACATATCACGGATAAAAAAGTTGAGTCATTACATAATAATTTAAAGCAAATATTATGCAGCCCATCACAGGATTATGAAGGTCCAAGTGAGATTTATGCCAACTTACTGGCCATTATTAAAACCCAATTTGATAAATTATTCCCCTTAAAACGTAAAATCATTGAATGTAAATTTGTATTCTGTGACTGGGCTACCCCCGGTATTCGTAGAAGTAGGGGAAAGTTATTTGAACTATATGGTATGAAACCATTTAATACAAGCGAAGCCTTTAGCAAGCATGTGTCCAAATATGCAAAAATATTTAAAATGGTCTGTAAGCAAGCAAAATCTCTTTACATTAGCCGTAAGATTAAGAACGCTGAAAATAAAACAAAGGCTACATGGAAAATAATTAACAATGAGACAGGCAGACATAAATTGCATAACACGGAAATTAATTTAAATACCGGAAATGGACATGTTAGTGTAAATCGGGAAGTTGCACAAGAATTTGAATTTTTTTTCAAGAATATCCCCATTGAAACTACAAAGGACTTAGAATCATCTCCGGCACTTTCAATTAGTCTTCTCAAAAGAAATATTAAAGAATGCCGTTCTGATTTCCAATTTCAGTACACAAACCCCCAATCAGTAATAAAGGCGTTTAAAGACATTAAAGTTAAGTCTACAGAGGATCTCTGGGGAATGTCTGTTGCAGTGTGTAGGGCTTTTATAGAAGCTATAGCGCCTCATTTAGCTTTAATTTATAATAGAAGTGTAGATCAGGGAGTTTTTCCAAATTTGATGAAACATAGCAAAGTAGTTCCACTGTTTAAATCTGGCGATGATACCGATCCTAATAATTATAGGCCGGTATCTATTTTACCGGTGCTTAGTAAGGTGTTTGAAAAGCTGATGCTTTCTCAGATGCTGCGTCACTTTAACATGAATTCCATCTTTCATGATCAACAATATGGGTTCACCAAAGGTCGATGCACAACTGACGCCGGTGTAACTTTAATTAAGCGTGTTTTTGCCTCGTGGGAGGAGTCGCACGACGCTATTGGAATTTTTTGTGACCTGTCCAAGGCTTTTGATTGCGTCGAACACGAGACACTGTTGCTAAAGTTGGAACACTATGGTATTCGAGGGGCTTCACTCAATTTATTAAAATCATACCTCCAGGATAGGCAGCTTAAAGTACAGGTAAACAAAGTTAATTCTCAGGGTGCTAGCATATCTATGGGCGTACCACAGGGCTCGATATTAGGTCCTTTCCTATTTTTGGTCTACATAAATGACTTACCTCATTTATTTCAGCGAGAACCGGGAATGGTATTATTTGCTGATGACACATCGTTGATTTTTAAAATAAATAGACGGACAAATAATTATGACGAAGTAAATAATGCTATTACGAAGGTTCATAACTGGTTTACAGTTAACAATTTAGTTCTAAACGACAAAAAGACAAAGTGTATACGATTCAGTTTACCAAATGTAAAAAGTAACGAATGTGACATATTATTAAACGGCAAGAAATTGGAATTTGTAAAACAGACTACTTTTCTGGGTATAACCATAGATGAAAAACTACAATGGGGGCCCCATATCACATCTCTGGCAGGACGGTTGAGTTCTGCAGCATTTGCTGTCTGGAAGATCCGACAGCTAACAGATGTGGACACTGCAAGACTGGTGTACTTCAGCTACTTTCATAGCATTATGTCGTATGGCATCTTGTTGTGGGGACAGGCTGCTGACATTGAGTCTATATTTGTCTTGCAAAAGCGTGCAATCAGAGCAATTTACAACCTAAGGCTTCGCGAATCTCTTAGAGATAAATTTAAAGAGATCAATATTATGACTGTGCCCGGTCAGTTTATTTATGAAAATATAATGTATGTTAGGAAACACTTAATATTATTTGATAAGGTATCAGACAGACATAATTACCAAACTAGACATAGAGATAGATTGTGTCAGCCATTATTTAGATTGGCAAAGGTACACAAGTCGTTCATGGGATTCAGCGTTAAGTGTTATAACAAAATCCCAGGCGAAATACAACAATTAAATGAAAGAAATTTTAAATTATGTATAAAGAAAACTTTGTGTAAAAAAGCATATTACAAACTGAGTGATTATATTGAGGATAAGGATGCTTGGAGACGGGCTGGTCCTGCTCCACAGGATAATATACCTACACGAATATAAATAATGTTCCAGTGGATCTTTGCTTGAACGGAAGTTCTTAGATTTTGTAAATTTGTAACCATGCTATTTTTATTGTTAAACTTGATAAATTTGTAAATGTGAGTGCCCTGTAACCTATTAAAATTAGTTAGACTAGCAGAATGTCGGTCCATATGTCAGCTTGGAGTTGTCATGCTCACTCAAAGGTCACATTGGCGGTGGCACGGTCACTGGATCGCTCGATTCCCTATATTATGGTTGAGTTGGGCGATGCTGGTGTACGTGTCATGCTCGTGAACGGGCGCCGTCAATTGGGACTGGTCAGCTCCGGACTGTCTATTGTCCTTAAGGTTATTTTCTTTTTATGTTTCTCTGTATACACGCGTTACACTGTTCTCACATATTCAAACTAACTAAATAATGTATCAAAGAATGTTTATGTGACACTGATTTTAAAAGAGTAACCATGGAGTTTCTTGCTCGTTCTTCTCCATCGGAATCTACACTTTGGAACGAGCGAATAGCTTCACTAAAAGGACTGACCGACAGACTGACACTTTGTATCTTTAAAGTTGTGTTGACGTTCAAAAGTGCCTGTATGGGTCTAATTGAAATAAATAATTTTGACTTTTGACTTTTTTTGACAATACAATGAATTACTACAATATAATCATACTTTCATTAATTAATTGGAATATATAAGTTAAATTTTGGTTACCATTTTTGACGCTAAACTATTATGAGGTCATATGGTGTGATTTAATAAAAAAGTGTAGTTTTTACAATTTCAATAAAAGTATTGGAACTTGATTAGTTTGTGTATGCAAAATCATAATATGTACCTATTAGAGTGCATTTAACTATCAGTTTCCAATTTTGTATGTGTATACCTCACCATAATATTCTGTTCGATAATCCTAGGGTCGTCACATATGGACTCGACGAAGAAGAGCTTGAAGCCCATCTTGTGCACAACGATGTCGCGGATCATGCGCCGCCGGTCCAGCGTCGAGTTTGTCGCGTCAAATACCTGGGGATAATAGAATTTGTTAATACTAGGATAGAGTTTAATTTCCTTCGACAACTTATTGAAAGAAACATTGCTAAAGGATGGGATTGATGGTGCGATGCCTTAAAGATTTTAAATAGATGTAAAGGAATTTGAACGAAATATTAATAAAGCTAAGGCTCAATGTTTTTTGAACATATCAAAAACGCAGTAAAATAAAAAGCCTTCACACAATGGAAAAACTAATTGTGTCGTCTGTGTGTTCATCCACAGGGTAGGCAAAAGCCCTAATTGTGTCGATGGATGCAGGTCTTTCAACGGGCCTCATTGGAAGTAATTGGGAGAAGCTTGTTTTCAGCGCTGGAAATCTAATATATGCTGAGTTTTTTAATCATCGTATATGTCAGACTCTTATTGACTAAAAACGCCCCCGTTCCTTCATCTGATGATGATAAGGTCTGATAGTCTTTAAAGTGTGTACTTACGGCGACCTCGCCGCCCTTGACGAGCCACTCGCAGACATCGTGCAAGGCATCCAGAGCGCACTGCTGCCGTATCGCCATGGCTTCCTTGTTGTCTGCGCGGAAGAACTCATGGCTCGTGTACGCTGTGGTGGCGTGCCGCCTGTATTCACCAAGGTTGAACACTGGAATTAAAAAGAGTATTCCTTGTTTATTGTGATCTTTGCTGAAAAACTCAAAATTTTCATGCATGCGCCCTAAAGTTGATGCCCAAATAAAGTTACAAGAAAATGAAAAATAGAGGTCATTAATAGTAACCACAACGGCGCTTTATGTATAAAATGAACGTGTATAGGTATATATAGTTCGTTCCATAATTAGAGACAACAATTTGACAACAGCAAATGTCAAACTACAAAATAATGTGGTCAGATTTTTTAACATAGTGATGGGCCCGAGTACGATGTTTTAAATAAAATACCGATACCGTTTTTTTATAAAATACCCTGAGCAATATAAATCGACGTTGCGGTGATGTTTTTTATAGTTTAGTCGAATTAATAATAATAATTTAAAATAAAAATGCGAAATCCAAGACTGGCTAAAAGAAAAACATTATATTTGAGGAACCTGTGCTGCAAGCCAAGATGTTGGAGATTTCCCGGAAAGAAAAGAGTAATTATGAACGATACGTCGTGGACTGATGGCTGCTAAAAGGGGGTCACTATTTTTTGTTGCCTCCTTACCATTATGATTTTAACCCGACTGAGTTAGTATGGGCACAGGAAGGTACTAGGGAAAGTAGCTAAAAATAATAAAGATTTTAAAATGCACGAAGTCCAGAATTTAATTTCGGTCTTTCGGTCAATACCGGTCGTGGGACTTCACTATTTATGAAATGGAAAAAACTTGCAACACTCGAAATGTCAAATCGTTGTCTCTAATTATGGAACGAACTATAGTGCTATTGAACTATTTTACCCTAGATAAAATCGTTTATATAAACTATTAACAAATATATGTACACAAAACATATACCGTCATAAGATTTTGGCAGCACGTTCTATGCAAGACACGTGTAAGATTCTTTAGTAACAGTACAATACACGCCATTTAATATCCATTGAGAGTTTGAAGCGAATAGGAAAATAAGCGCGAGAATTTTAATTACATTAATTAATAAAATTAAAAGCTTGTGAATTACTTTCATAGGGAAGGTCAAACAAATTAAATAATAATAAATAAATAAATAAATAAATTTTATTAAAAACATTGAACACGTTTACAATTACAGATGGCTCAGATTTTATAGTAATAAAAAGTCTTAATAATAACAATCGTAATAGTTAACTTAATCTAGTCTAATACCTACAATACATATGTGAGGAAATAACGTTCTTAGTCTAAATATTAGGGACTACCCGAACTAGGTTTATTTAAACCTGTGTTTCAGGCTATCAATGCAAAAAAAATAATTCAATGGATATAATAATAAATAATTATCGTATTGTCTACTCCATGACTATAATAATTATTATTTTTTATTCCCAAAGGGGATGGAGCAGACAAATTTTTATAGCAATTATTTTAGGTAGGAAATAAACTTTCTGTCTGTTAGTATCACTAATAGAACTTATCAACTTGTCATTGAAATAATTTCTCTTTAATAAATGTTTAATTTCTAAGTACTAAAATACAAAATAAATACAATTATTGGAAATACCGGCTTACGTGAATTAACTGAGAAAAGCTCTACTAGTTTCAAGTTACAACGGGACTCATATTCATGAGCAGCGCGTGTCGTGGCGACGTTGCGCAGCCGATTATCGTGTGTTAACTCACGTGAGTAAGTCGTCATTTTCGATCAATTTAGTATGTATCACGTTAGTAACTATTTAAAAACATCAAAACATGTATTTAGGTGCATTATTAACGACATACAACTGAAGGTAATAATTTTTAGCGACCTTCAACTAAGTATTATAACGCAATATGGTACTGCATTTGACGTCGCATGTCCGCAATGGTGGTAACTGACCTATTCAACTTTAATTTCGATAAATTAGACTGCAGGTACTGTAATTCTTTTGCGAAAAAGAAACTTATTTTTTTTACGCAATCCAAACTATTATATTATAAATGCGAATGTAACTCTGTCTGTTTGTCTTCTTTCTTCACGCCTAAACTACTGAATCGATTTCTGTGAAATCGACAGATCGACTCGACTCGATCGTCGAGAGAAAGGGCATAGAATAGTTTTTATACCAAAAATCTGCAGGAAGTCACTATTCCACGCAAACAGAGTCGATGGTAAATGCAAGTATTTAATATTTTGTAAACAGCAGATAAGGTATCGTTTTATTGATCTGTCACCAGATGACAGTTACAGTTAAAATTTAAGTATTTACAGTTAATGTATTTCTATTGCTGATATAAAGACATATATTGAAAATAATATTTAATACAACAGACATATGGAACCCTACATGCCTTTTGCACATGACAGATTTTTATTATAAATGCATGGTACAAAAATGTATGTCTTTTAGTAATTTACCTCTAGTGTTGATTCCTATCCAGTTGAGGTATCTGGACAGTTTCTTGGAGATGTAGGTCTTGCCGCGAGCCGGCAAGCCGACCATCGCGATCACATGCGGTATGTTCACATAGTTAGCGCGTTCACCTGCGGACAAGACAAAACATATCACAATTAGAAAAGTTTAATAGACAATTAACATTTAGTTTCTTCTAAACAAATCAATGAACTACCTTCATTGGGTTTTTCATGAAATAAAAATAAGAAAAAGTGCGAGTTCGACTAAAACAGGCAATTAATAATGTGAATTATTCCTAGTTAATGTTGTTATTCGTGTGATAGGTCGGCAAACGAGCAGACTTATACCTGATGGTAAGCAATCAATGCCGCCCATGGACACCCGCTTTAACGGAGGAATTACGAGTGCATTGCCGATCTTTTGGAGATTTAGGCATTGGAGGAGGGGAAGGGTTGGGCCTCCGGTAACCTCACTCACACGGCGAAACAAAACGGTGTAGTAGTCACGTCGGTTTTTTGTGAGACCCTGGTATACCTCCGGTCAAGCCGACACCATTTGTGCCAAAGCTATCTTACCTACTATTTAACTGACATATGATGTAGAAAAACATCGTTAAATAATTGTCTTATATTCATTTTTTATCTAAATAGTAATGGGTAAACCAACAGACCTAGTATAAGTACTCAAAATAGCCTATTTTGGGCAATATTTAATATTATTTTCATCATAAAACTCTTCAAGTGAAGTAATGATTCACACAAAATGGGTGTTATCTATAAATACAGCCACTAAGTAAATGTTTACATGTGAACATGTGATACTTCATTACATGAAGAAGGTTATCATCAAATAACTACTTGTTTATGCTTAGTTTTATGACATTCCTGATAATCAATGCTGCGTTAGAATCAATATTAAACTCTCTTTTTAGTCTTAATAAGTTATAGATATGACATTTTCTACATCAAATTAATAATCCTGATTATTTGTTTAATGGCATCATTTTTTAAGTAAATGATTGTTTTTAAGCTATGTTAAAAGGAGTATATTCAAATTTAGGTTATTAATTAAATTTTTTTTTTATTTGTGACATATAAAGCAATGGCTGTCTTAATTTATCAAACCCTAAGCAAACACTATGTCTCGAATTACTATAATTGTAAAGTTAAAAAAACTAATATTTGAAATGTTAATAAAAAAATCCGCCTACAATATTCTTCATTGAATCACTTCACATAATTATTATGAACAGTAAAATCAATAAAATGCAAGGCCAGCCAGTTTTATTGGTCATAGAGTTGACCTTTTTTATTTTATGTATACTCTTTAAAACTTATTAGCAAACAATAATATGGATTTTATAATTTACTAAGGTTTACTAACAGCTTCTGTGTTCATTTTTATCTTGTAATTTTAGAACATAGTCGCTCCACCCTAAAACTTGGTTGCATTTATAAACACATAATTCAAAATCAAATTTTCTAAAATAAAGGTAATAATGAATTGTTTTTATTTTTTTACTACGCTGCCAGTATTTGTATGTCACCACCTAAGAGGCAGAATATATAATTATCTATTTGTTATCTAGGTAGAGAACATAAGATTTATTATACTGTTCATTTATTTACTTTACAATGATAAGACACATAGTTTTGTTTTTAGATATCTGTAGCCTACAAGGTCAAAATATGAACACAGTTTGCAAATTTTAAACATTAAATGAAGTGGAACAATATAGTCACATAAGTATGAAAGTTTAAAAAATATTTTGAACATAGCTATGCAATGTGCATTAGTTGCCTTTTCCCACCTGTGACACATTTAAACAAGACTCTACTCTTCTAATACAATTTCACACCTATCGACAGCATTATCCGACACGTTAATTCCATTATGATGTTTATCTTACTGATAATAAATACCACACTGTGTAACTCAATGGTTAGAAAATACCCCACGTTACCAAACGTTATCAATCCAATAATCTTTGTGAAATATATTTTCTAACGAAATGGATCATATGAGCTCGTCGCCATAAGAATTAAGTACGTCCTTGTGACGACGGCACGGAAACTATCACTAAATTCACGAATGGAATTCGCAAAACAAGAAATTTTACTAACCATCACCAAAGTACTGCTTGTTGAGGTACTTCCAACCTTCAGCGCGGTTATCTTCCGTGTCCATAGTACGAGAGTCAATTCGCTACTGTCGTCAATTGAATAAATACGTTTTTTATTAATATATTAAATTAAATTCATTACACCCAATCAGCCCCAACGACGGCAATCCGTAAACTGTCAATGTCAAACTGAAATCGATTGACACACATGACAGTGGATTTAGCTAGCATAGACAAGGGTCTTTTAAGCCGATTTTAATTTATTGTTTATATTTTATTTTGTTTTCAGCATGTAATTCTGTTTTAATGAAATTCAATTAGATTAAGTTTAATTTTCCTTGTACAATGCTCTTTAATCTTTTAACTTAATAAGATATTTCAAAACTCTTAATTTTCAGTATTTTTAGAGTCCTAAGAAGTGTAGACAAACGAAAGTTATAAATTTTTGATAAAATTCGTATTTTTTTCGTATGTATATTATTAATTTGTAAAAGATTACAGCAGACGTAACCTCTATAATATTGTTAGCAAGAGAAATGCGTCAGAGATCACGCCGTGTGTTGATGAAGTCAGTTGACGACATCCAGACGATAACCTTTACATTATAAATTGCATGATAACAGCTCATAATTTTTCCACGTCGACATAATAACTAATCGTTCCTAAGTCCACAAAATGATGCATTTGTACGATTTCGAACGAAACGAAACAAAAATTGGCATGAAAAAGGCGCGATGTGAGGGTTGCGGTTGGTAGCTCACAGATGTCGTTAATAGTATCTAATAAATTAAGTTTTTACCTATGCTAGGTTGTGTGTTCAGCAGATATCACAGATATTAATCTCACTTGTATGTTATAAAATAAAATAAAAACATATTTTTAAAATGTGTGGGTGAACTTTGATTTCCTATCAATCCATTGACATCGCAGTCCAATAAAAACAAAAAACACCAATCCAATTGGATTGGTGTTTTTTGCGCTGCCTAGACGCTGATTCGTAATCCGTTTAGCATCCACCTCTTTATTAGCCAAAATTGGTTTAGTCGTAAATATCCGAAACCGGTTTAGACTTGCTTATCATAGACTTGCTGTTATAATAAGATTAAAGTGTGATGTAAAAGCTGCGATAGACGGACAAGTATTTAAAGGTAAACAATCGTTTCTGAAGAATTATTTAAATGCTTGTGGTGCTTAAAGTTAGAATGAGTTATTAGTAAAAATTATTTACTATTTTTGGATGGTTTTTTGAGTGAGGTAATATGTAATATCATTGGAGTGAGTGGTTGTGTGTCGGCACTGGCAGCGGCCGGAAGATCAAAACAACTTGTCATAACGTGTCTCAATTAGGTTCCGCCCCTATTCGATACTATCCGAAACTTTAATTTCGGATTCGGTTACGGTTACGGATGATTTTTTATATCGGATATCCGATAGTTTCGGTTACGGTTACGGAGCTCCCTAACAGCCCTGGTTATAGATAGGTCACCACCACCTTAGTGCGCAGTCAAAAGAATTCAGTTGTGGATTTTATGAGAATTTAATTGATAATTACTATTCTTATATTCTTATTATTGATTTAAATGCAAACGATATCCCTGATCAAGTACCTAGCTATCCACTCAGTTTGAAATTATTTTCATAGATGGCTCTGCTAGTTCGTAGTCATGTGGAATGGAAAATCTCATGGCCCCTTGCAAATAATTCTAAGTCAAATTCAAGTTAAATCATATAGGTATTCCAACTAATCCTTAAACAGGTACTTTTGAAACGTCAAAATAGAATCTATTGTCTATCTAATTGACAATATTATTGTAGGTACCTAAAACCTCATATTGTTTGACTTCTCTCAATAAATCGAAAATGTAGATATTATTTATTTTTAAACAAATGTATTATTATTATCCACGTGAGCTGTTTATAAATTCGACTCATTTAGATAAATGGATAATTTTAATTTTATTCTCGATATAGATAATATTATGCAAAATTACTTCTTATTTCCTAGGTCGATATTTAGTTAGTTAAGTTAGCATTTTATATGTAGTTTTTCGCTCAGTGGCATTTATGTCGCATTAGTGAGTAGCTTCCTTTCTATCTATAGATAAATTGTAACAGAAATAGTTTAATATAGGTACGCAGAGTACTAACGTACAAAATTGGCGGGCAATTGTTTACCAATACATTAGTGACGTCATCTGTCACTAGTCTTTGAATGAAAGTGAACGAAGCTCGGTGGGTGGAGTGCGCTAATTTAGTTCGGTGGCTACGTCATTGTATGCCCTTGACATTGTGTCAAATTCGACTCGTCACTCAGAAGACTGTACTAAGTACATGAACTAATAACACATTAGCAATTCGATAAACATTCCGACTAATGCCCGGTTCCTATAATTGAGAAACGATCCGTTTTAGTTACGAATAGTAGTTTTATATACGACTCGTAAGCTAAAACCGTTCCTATAACAAACGTCTCGTCGTGCAAATTACTGACGGTTTGCAACTAACGGATGTCGGTAAGCGAATTGTATGGAGATCTATGGTGTATGTGGTGTTCCTATAAATATTTTAACCGTCAGTAGACGGTCAAGATAACTATTCGTAATGTCATTTGGTCCTAATGCGTATACAACGACGATTCGTTAAATATAGGAACCGGGCATAAGTAATTAGATGTTATCTAGAATTTGTTGAGATTTGTGTACGATCATGGGGCATGGTTTAGTCAGTAAGTGTAATGTGACGAGATGATCTTCTCAGTCAATCAAAATGCCGGGCGACGAAGATCTATTAAGATTTTCTATCCTAAAACCAAAATGACACTGAAAAAGAAGTGCCATTTTTAGCAAAAGTTCTTCTATCTAGCTTCATAATTGCAATCGATTCTAATCTGATGAGTTTTATATTTTTTTCGATATTGTGTGTAGTTCTTTAGTAATATAGAAGTTGTGTATTATACTTGGAAGTACCTACATATGTACAATTGTACTTAAGTGGAGGAATCTAAATTTTTGCATCCCTTGCCAGGAAAAGATACACATCGCACGGTATTAAATTCTTGTACCTCCTATTTGGTCTTCAAGTGTACTTATAAATATGTTATGAATGGCTATTTTTGTACCAAGACTGTTTCATACCTATCTATTCACTATTATATTTACCTCAACAGATTGCCTATCGTGTGGATCTGTACGATAAGAATAAATGATTATATTTGTAGAGTAGATGCTTGGATAACCATGCACCACTTAGATGATTTGAATTTTAGGGGTTTGTTCTGTTGTTATTATTTATACTTATATTTTCCTTTACAAATAAATAAGTTTATGGAATAATATTCGAATTCAATTTTTTATACGAAACTTGAAGTAGGTACATTACCCTGTGTGTTTCTTTTTTATTATTTTTTGAAAGTAGCGACTTACTCTGTCTGTCATCTGTTGTGATTTGAAACAAATACAACTTTTCTTAGTTAATTTTTTCTCATGAATATGTCGTTATTTCAAAAAATATGTTAGGTATGTCCTGTATTTTCTATTCCGTGGGTATGCCTCCCCTATATTATATTGTAGTCTTTGGTATGCCTCACGTTTGATTATTTCACAAACAAAAACGTTTTATGTTTTTATTTTTTATATCATTTGACAGCTGACAGTGACAGCACACCTCAGGGTAAATATTTGTCCATGAACTTGTGTCACGCGATGGCACGTGTCGTTGTCACAATTCCTATTATGGCGATTAACGGAAATACCGTCACTCGATTAATTGATACGGTATTAATTTAATTATTTGTTGATTAAAAAATAACAGCTTCTATTGTCAATATTGGTTTCATAAAACTGAACATCGTAAATTGATTGAAGCTACATGACTTATTATGTAATCGATAGAAAATACGTCTTTTTGAATTTTCGAATTTCGATTTTCTCAAGATATTCATTAAAATCTGGGTACCTACTTTGGTTAAAAATTCGTATATGCGTCATTCGGCATTAATTTGAATACAGTTCATCTTGTAAAATGGTGTCATTGCAATCGATGTTTCCATACGCACGAGCCTACGGTATTCAGGATTTGAACGTGACGTGAATTTTATTTTAGTATGTATAATCTATGATTTGTAGAATATGTTTACATAAGATATGACCGAGTTAGGAAAAGTATTAGTAAAAGATGAAGAGAACGTTTGTAAAGCACTGTTGGATATCGTGCCGTTATTATAGGTAGTAGTTATATTGTGTGCATGTAGTAAGCGATCCAGCAATGAATTGGATCATCAAGGAAATTGCAGCCTACGTACTATAACTACGTCCTGTCTGCTCGGGTCATCTGACTCCGGGAATTACTTTTAACGACGGAGATAGTAAAGTAAATACACAGATTATACCTAGTCAAACACGTTCCATATTTTCGAAAGTTGAGGAAAAATCAATTGACACTATGTGTAGGTACGTAGTAAATTTTGCAACAGATTAAATTCAATATTTTGCTTTCTGTTTTGCTGTGTGGATTTGTATCGAGCATTTGATACTGTTTAACTTGATATTTAAACTTTTACTTTCATGCTCATTCTTTTTTCCAAACTTCTGCCATGTTTATACCTTTTTTTTCATAGAAACAGTTATAAGTAAATAAAGCTAAATAACAATTTGAGAGTCAATGACGAAGTTACTTTTCGAGTTGCGTCGAGGAATGCTCCAGGGCGATATTTTAGGACAATATTTTTTAAAATAAATATATAAGTAAAAATACGCCTACTTCGAAAAGAAGATTGACTTCCTCATTATCTCCCAGAAATTAGCTTAAGGTTGAAAAGAACAATAACGGTCAAACTTTAACATCCCACAATACCTCCAATTAGTTTCCTAATTAAAATAACATTAGTCTAATAGTTCATATTATCATAAATGGATCCAGTTAGTTCCGAATTTACGATTATTTATAATTGCTTTGCCGATAACAGATGGCAAAGGTCATCTTTGTCTTCGAACTTTTGTTTATTTTGTCGGTCTTATTATGTTTTTATGATAAACTAGTTTCTGTTTTGATGAATACATATATGTGTACCTATGCACTTATTATGTTTACGTTGTGTTTGGACAATTCTGTTTGAATCATCATGTGATGAGTTGTGTAGGTATATGTTTAATAGCAAAGTTTTATGAGACTGGGGTCGG